AAGAGAGGTTGAGAAGGACAATTATTTTTACTCTAGCACAAGTTTTTATTGAAGTGGAAAGGGCTTGGAGTGTTAAGTCCCTCCCCAGGACCAGCCCATAAGGCTGAAGTCAAGGCTAAGGTCATGAGGCTAGTGCAGGTTTTATAGGTTTACCACATACAAATTATTATTGGGTCCACCTGACCCCTAGGGTATGGCTTATAGGCCTGGATCTTTGTTTTATTAAATTAAAAATCTGTTGTTCCAGGAGCTGTTTGATGTGGAGCCATCTGAGGGTGCGGAGGAGACTAAAAATACCTTGTGATGTCCCATGACCTTGGTGGGCTATTTTGATCTTTTTTTTTTGGTGGAATTGGGATTTGAATCAAGACTTCAAACTTGAAAAGCAGGCACTCTAGTGCTTGAGCCATACCTCCAATTCATTTTGCTCTGGTTATTCTGGAGATGGGTCTCATAAACTATTTGACCAGGCTGAACCTTGAGCCATGATCTCAGCCTCCCAAGTAGCTGGGATTATAGGCATAAGCCACCAGCGCCCAATGACCATTTTGATCTTAGCAGGTATTAAGAGCTGAAAAGTTACACTACACTGCTTTTCTCTCTAAAAGCTTGAAGAATTACCCATCACTCATGGCTAGCTGCTACCTAACACCTTCTTCTCATCTCGTATCTGTTAGATTTATTCACATCATTTCAGGAGGTTGTAGTTTGCCCCTTTTCATCACTGTGTAATATATCACTGTATGAGGAGTATATAAGTATATCTCAATTTATTTATGTAAGGATATTGGACATTTGTTTGCAGTTTGGGGCTATTATGAATTTTTTTTTGTGGTACTGGGGCTTGAACTCAGGGCCTTGCGCTTGCTAGGCAGGCGCTCTACCACTTCACCAGCCCATGAAATTGGGTTTGTATGCAGTTTGACTCATTTATTTCTGTTGTATTCACATTTTGATTTTGTCTCTTTTGGCCCATTTTGATCCTGCAGTTTCCCATTAGCCTTTCTCCACCTGGTTTCCCATTCAGTGATGCTCAGTGTTAGATAAAGAATTTCTTTAAGGTTGAGACGTGATGATTCTATGACTCTTTCATTTCTTTTGCCTTTACTAGCTAGAATCCAGAGAGCTCTTCTCAGTAGCTATTAAGTTGTCCTGTAACTTTTTCTTTTTTTTGAGAGGGCAGTAATGGGGTTTGAACTCAGGACATTGTATGAGGTAGGCAGGTGCTCTACCAGTTGAGCCACACAGCCAGCCCCTTTAACTTTTAAAAACAAAGTTAACTTTTTTTTTCTTTTGAGTGGGACTGGGAATTGAACTTAGAGCTTCACACTTGCAAAACAAACGCTCTACCACTTGAGCCACTCCTCCAGTCTATTTTGCTTTGCTCTGGTTACTTTGGAAATGGTGTCTCCTTGTGGAAATCTGCCTTATTGGTAGGCATATCATGGGTTTTTTTGTTGTTTTCAATTTAGGTGGTACTGGGGTTTGAACTCAGGACCTTACGCTTGCTAGGCAGGTGTTTTGTCACTTGAGCCACACCTCTCTTGATTTGATAATTTTTGAACTTGTGCCTAGGCTAGCCTGGACTTCCAACCTCCTACTTACACTTATAGTTTGGGAAGACAGGCATGTGCCAGCACACCCAGCTTTTTTTTTTTTGGTGGGACTGGGGTTTAAACTCAGGTAGGCACTCTACCACATGAGCCACACCTCCAGTCCATTTTTGCTCTGGTTATTTATTTATTTATTTTTGGAGACAGGGTCTCACGAACTATTTGCTCAGGCTGACCTTGAACCTTGATCTTCCTGAGTTCAGCCTCCCAAGTAGCTAGGATTATAGATGTGAACTACTGTGCCTGGTCAAATTTTTATGTTCTGGGTGCTTAGGGAGAATACATACTCCTACAGAACACTGGATACAGCATGCTGGTCATTTTTTCAAATCTATATTCCTATTGAATGTTTTTATTCTATCAATTTGAGAGGTGTTTAGTATGTCCCATTTTGAATCTGGGTATGTCAAGAGTTCTTTACAAATTTTATACTTTATATATTTTAAGGTTATGTTATTAGATTCATATAAATTAAGAATTGGCATATCTCAGGGCTGGGGCATTGGTCCGTGGTAGAACCAGTACTTTGCATGCATGAAAATCCTGGACTCAATCCCCAGCAAACGCCCACTGCCCAAAGTTAGTGCTCTCTCCTGGATGAGTTAAATTTTTAATTGATATGAAATGTTCTTCTTAGCAATCTTTTTTGCTTGCAGATCTAATTTGTCTGCTATTAATCTAGTTATGCTAGATTTCTTTCTTTTTATTAATGCAGTGCTGGGGATAAATCCAGGGCAAGTGCTTACCACTGAGCTTCAGCTCCAGCCCAATTTTCTTGTTTAATTCAGTTTAACAACAATCTTTTTCTTTTAATTGGAACATTTGATCAATCTACACTGAATATAGATACTATTTGGACTTAAATCTACTGTCTTTTTCTTTCTTTCTTTTTTTTTTTGGTGAAACTCAAGTTTGACCTCAGGGCCATACACTTGTTAGGCAGGCATCTACCACCTGAGCCATGCCCCCAGCCCTTGCTGCTTTGGTTGTTTTTGGTATAGGGTCTTGTGTTTAGGCTGGGTGGCTGGACAGCAATCCTTTTATTTGTTCTTCCTATATAGCTGTGATGACAGGTGCAGGTTTCCACCACACCCAGCTTACTGATTGAGATGGAGTCTTGTGACTTTTTCACCCAGGCTGACCTTGAATCTCGATCCTCCTGATCTCCACCTCCCAAGTAGCTGTGATTACAGTTGTGAGCCACAGTGCCTGGCTATCTACTATCTTATGAAAGCACTTTCTGAATGTGCCACTTGTTCTGTGTCCCTAATTTCTCTGGTTTCTGCTATTTAAAAAAAATTCATTCCATTCCTCCCTTTTCTCATCTTGGTGGTTTTATATTCTTCCACGTTTCAGTAAACTGAGATGCTGTAGACCTTAGAGAGTACAAGCTGCATCCTGTGGTCTCTTTGTTGCCTTTGGCATCATTAATTGCTCCTGAGAAACTAGCTGACTCAGGACAGCTGGTCAATTTGTATTTAATTCCAGTGGTTTTAGAATATTTCTTTTACCCTCGATCCTGTGGTTTCACTGAAGTATGATTTAGATTTACTTATACTGGTGAATACCACAGGGTGCAGAATTTAATTTTCAATTCTGGAAAACTCTCAATGATTTTTAAATATTGCCTTCCTTCCATTTCCCTCCATTCCCTCTAGAACTCCTCTTGGTCTGTCCCCCACATCTGTTCATTGTTCTTTGATGAAAAATGGTTTTGTTTCTCTGCATTGCATGCATTGAATTCCTCAGAACTACTTTCCAGTGTGCCTATTCTCTCTTTAACTGTGTCCAGTCTTGGTTCTATACTTCTATACTATTAGTAGAGATTTAAAGTTTGAATGCCTCAGGTTTTAATTTCCAAGTTTGTTAATTGATTCATTTTCATATTTATAAATTCTCATTATCTTGTTTTTATTTCATGATATTGTGCTCTTTTAAAGTGGAATTTATGTCCTCATTTTTAGTTTGCTAAGTACATTTATTTGGTGGTAATAATTATAACATTACTAACTTGTTAGAAATTTTAAGAGTATATGTATAAAGTTCATCTCCTGCACTAACTTAATGTCCTGTTGATTTTGTTGGCTGTCTTTCATAACGTTAGATTTCCATGTCTTTGGGAACTGAGGTTTTCTTGTTTAAGTGGCATCTTTCTACCCCTCCCTCTCCTCCTCTGTGAAGACATTGCCTTTCACTTTTTTTGTGGTTGTCCCCCTCCCTCTCCCCTGATTAAATGTCCAGAACATGGCCTTCAAATGGCAATGAAAGGCTGCTCTTGTACAGAGATAACAGGAGTGCCGTGGGTTTAGGCAGAGTGCCTGCATTTTCTAATTGAGATCAAAAATCATAATAAGTATTTACTGAGTTCCTACTGAATGCCAGGCACTGTTCTGTGTGTATTATTCCCATAATGCTCATAACAACTCTCACGGCAGGTGCCACTGCTTTAACAACGATATGACAACGATGATGGCGTCCACTTCACAAATAAGTAAAACAACGCGTGTAGAGGTGAAATGATGTCTTTAATAAAGACAAAACATTGCATTTAAACAAATGAACAAACAAATTATTGCCAGTGGTAAACTGAGCCCCAACTAAATCAACTAATCACTATTAACTGTTAACTTACTTGTACCTACTATAAGTTTGCAGGTATAGTTCTTTCTCTCTCTCTCTCTCTCTCTCTGTGTGTATATATATATATATATATATATATATATATATATATATATATGTATATATATGCCTCCTTTTTAAGGAACCTTTGTCTTGTTTTTGTTTTTTGTGGTACTGGGGTTTGAACTCAGGGTTTTGCACTTGCTAGGCAGGTGCTCTACCACTTGAGCCACACCCCCAGTCCTGTGGGTGAGGTGCTCCCATTCCTACAGCTCACCACCACCCCAAAATGACATTATGACCTTGAGGGACATGGTGTGACCCAAAAAGGCCAGCTGAGATCCTGAAAGTGAATACCTAGTAGCAATCTCTCATCTCTTGATTCTTATGTTCTTTTTTACTATACTTATTTTACATGTGAAGAAATAAAGGCCCCAGGAGTTAAGCAGATTGCTTAGGGTTATGTTGTTAGCAAAGGTCAAAGTCTAAATTAGGAGTCAAACTCCCTAGCCCGTAGTTTCTGATTCTTTTCTTCTTCTTTTCTTTCTTTCTTTTTTTTTTTTTTGTGGCAGTATTGGGGTTTGAACTCAGGGCCTTCCACTGGCTAGGCAAGCACACTACCACTTGAGCCACTCCACTTCTGATTCTTAAATGTTGTTATTTGCACATCTTCACCATTCCATGATGAAACACCTCTAAGGCAATATCCACCTCCATCAGAGACAACAAGCCCTCTCACCTCACTGTTGTTTACAGAGATGCCGGTACTCATGGCAGACAATGCCAAAAATGATGAGGATTGGGATATCTTGACAAGGAGCATTGAGGCCTCTGTGGAGGTTATCCAAGTGGCTGGCAAGGTGAGGATATCTCAGATAGCTTCCTGGCAGGACTACCCTATCAAGTCCTGGTTGGGCCTGTACGCACTGTGTCAGGAGAGTGGGAAGGATGTCGAGGCTACAGAGCATGACAGAGTCCAGTCCGTTTGCAGCTCCAGGCCTGGTTCCCATGTCTCTGGTCTGAGCCATACCTCCTCCATGCTCACCCAAGCCCTGGCCTGGCTTTACTCCTCTCCCTAGGTTCACAATTCCTCTTTCTCTACCAGAGATCATTATTCACTTTATTACCTACACCCTCCAACCTTCCTTTTTTCTCTAGTGGTCAGCTGATAATACCTTAGAAATCTTCAAGTTGCTTGAAGCCAAAATCTTAAATAACAAGATACCAGCTCCACTATGCCAGAAGGTGACAGATGTCATTGTCAACTACCTGAGGACAACGGTGAGGAGTCCATGCCTGTGAGCAAAGGGGGAAGGAAAGATGCCAGGTCTGAACCCAGGAGTTTTCGTTTGGTGGCTGAAGTTATTTGGAAACTCATTGGGACCTGGGATATGAGTACCTCAAGTTGCCCTTCTCCTCCTCCTCCACCTCCTCCTTCACTAGGGTATGAACTCAGGACCTTATACTTGCTAGGCAGGCACTTTAACACTTCAGCAACACCTTCACCTGTGCTGAACACTCAAGTTTCTAAATACTTTATTGGCTTGTACCTTAGCACACTTTAAGAATTGTGACCCAAGCCAGGCTCTCGTGGTACATGCCTGTAATCCTAGCTCCTTGGGAGGATGAGAGCAGGAGGATAGTGGTTCCAAGCAAAAAAATTTGTAAGACTCCCATCTCAATGGAAAAAAGCTGGGCATGGTGGTGCACACCTGTCATCCTGGTGAGTGCAGGAAGTGAAAAATAGGATCAAGGTCTAGGCTGGCCTGGGCAAAAAGTTGAGATCTTGTCTCCAAAATAACCAGAACAAAAAGGGCTGGAGATGTGGTTCAAGTAGTAGAGCACCTGCCTAGCAAGTGTGAAACCCTGAGTTCAAACCCAGTACCACCAAAAAAAAAAAAAAAAAAAAAAAATCCTGTGACTAGATAGAACAAGTGAGGGGTACCTAAACCTGCAGGTGGGATACCTAGGCAGTCACATCTAGTTCTGCAACTCGATCCATTTACCAGCCTATTTACCTCTCACCACCTGTCTGCTATCCACCTAGACTGCTCACTCATGATGCCTGCCTCTCTCGACAGCTACACACTTATGTCTCTTTCATGACACTGGTGTAATCTTCTGTGTCCTTGTCTTCCTTCCTTCCTTCCTTTTCTTGGTGGGACTGAGGTTTGAACTCAGGGTTTCACACTTACAAAGCAGGCACTCTACCATTTGAGCTATACCTCCAGTCCATTTTGCTCTCGTTATTTTGGAGATGGGGTCTTGTAAACAATTTGCCCAGGCTGGCATTGAACATCAGTCCTTTCTATCTCAGCTTCCCAAGTAGCTAGGATTGCAGGCATGAACCATTAGTGCCTGGCTACCTCATTTTCTTAACTTCCTACCTACGAGGTGTCTTTTTTCCACTTCCCTGGTCACATGTGTCTCCTGACCTATACCTCTGACTAGCCAGGGGCTTTCCAAAGGTGCACCCCTACTTTGCTTCCCCTTCTGATGGCTCACTCATTGCTTCAAGGAAGCTCTGTACTTTGAAAATGTTAGTCCAATGCCACCCAACACACAAGCCAGAGACTGAAGCTGTGTCCCTTCCTGTCTCCTTGCACACTCTAGAACGCTCTCACACTTTGTCACTGGGGGAGGTGTTGCTGGCCGAGTGGGGGCGGGACATTGAGGTAGGCACACTCCTGCCCTCTCAATAGAAGAGAATAGGAATCACTTACTGATCAAAGCTGATTCTCAGAGGCCTGGGGACCTGTCCTGGGGATTAACCTGAGCAGCCAGGCCTTCTCTTTCCAGAGGCCAGAGGGAAAGCTGGAGGAGATAGGTACTGCGCTCCTACTGGCCCTGGGGTCGCACAGCCCAGGAATGGTCATCATCAAACTGTGGGACAGCTCTGGTGCACGCAGCCTGCCCCCCAGGAGCCTCCTGGTGGCCGTGGGGAAGCTCAGCCTCTGCCCTGGTATGGATCCCCGTCACATGGGTGTCTGTTGGTGTAAGGAGTGCACAGGGTGGCAGATGCGTCACTGCGGACTCCACGCTGTCTTCATCCCCTGATTCCCTCCCTGGAAGGCTCCACCTGCATCAGTGGGGGAGGGTGTGTGCAGGGAGGATGGGGATAAACCAGAACCTATGGGGCCGACAGGAATTCGGGAGGGAGTCCCTGAGACTAGGAATGGCACAGAAGGAAAGCTGTTAAGGCATGGAGATTGCAGGACGGGGGAGGAGGCAGAAACTAGACAGAGCAAGAAGGCAGAATAGAACAGAAAGCTGCCCTTCAGCAGAGAGAGGGGAAGAACCAGTGGTGTTTTGCTGGGGAAAACTGAATTTGAATTTGGTCAGAGGTTTGGAAGTTTCTGGATGGGAATCATTGTCCAGTCTCCATCCCTGTGGCTCTATAGCCAGCAGTGGCTGCTTCACCCACTCACTCTTCTCTCTCCATTAAAAAAAAAAATCAAGTCACCAAGCTAATGACACCTGCCTCTTGTTTACATTTGGAGCTGGGGGGCCAAAGAGGCTTGGGAGAGGTCAGTAGGCCTTCTGGACATTCGTGGGTTGGACTACACAGCAAACTCAGAAGACGTAGCCAGCGAAGCTGCTCTAGCACGCAGATGTCCTCACCTCAATCTCAGACAGCACAGCTCTGGTCCTTCACATGTCCTTAAAAAGGAGAGTGCGTGAAGTTCATGGTGGTACCTTGGCATCTGTCTGGTGTGCTGACAGCCATTACTGAACTTCACCTTCCCATCAGCCTGTGAAGGAGCCTAATCAGGAACTGTGGTCCCATCTCACAGTTCAATCTGCTGAAGTTCAGATAACATAAATTAGTTGCAAGACTCTTTGGAGGCAGAGCAAGGCTCAGAAGCAGGCCTCTAACTAGCCTCCTAGGCTAGGGATGCCTTTCCTGCCCTTTCCCTCCCAGGAACAGCCACCTACATTGGTACCACATGGGAATATATTCTGCGTCTGCTGAGGATGGCACAGGAGGAAGAGGACATGTTGGCGATGTGTCATGGTGAGGCTCAGGCAGGTCTGGGAAGGCTCTGCTGGAATCAGGGAGCAAGGAAAGAAGGACAAGAAGAAGCCAAAAAATGTGGGTGTCTAGGACAGAGATGGCACAAGCAGGTCTCAGAGTATGAGCAAATGTTCGGTTTTGGGGCAAGAAACAAAATGTGAAGGGGACGCTGTGGACATTGATAGCTTTACCTATTCCTCTGTGCTTCTAGGTGGTACAGGCATAGTCAGAAGGAAGCATAGTTGGGGAGATGGTGAAAGGTTTAGTTTTTCCCTGCACAGGACCCCAGAGACCCTTTTAGAGCCAGGGATGTAATATGTCCACGTGTGTGTATGTACAGCTCATTTTGTGGGAGGAGAAAGGCAATGGGCAAATCCAATTCCATGCTCCCTTTACAGCACTCAGGGGATTGGTCATCAGTGCCCGGAAGCACCTGGATCTGGACTCTAAGGACGATGAAGTGATGGACATCACCTCAGAGGCAGTGGCTGTCAAGGCCTACCACACCCTGCATGTTCTCTTCAACCGTTGGCCCCTGAAAAGCAAGAAAAAGGTGGGAGTAGGGAGAGCTGGGGTTGGGTAGATGGCTGAAGGATTGAGACCACAGGAGCAGTGTCTGTCCCTGGAAATCATGATGACCCTCATCAGTCATCTCTTCCCATCGTCCAGGAAAGGGTACAGTCAGGAAGCATTCCACTGTCCACTCACTTGTTCATTAATTGTGTCATTATGTCATTTGCATTTACTGAGTACTCTGCATTTGCCAGATGCTGTGCTAGGCCCTGGGGACACAAAGATGAATGAGGCAAAGCCACTGAGTGCTTGTCCTACCTTTGTTCCTGAACTGAAGCCAACTCATTCTGTCTCCTTGGGCACAGGTGACAGAGCAAGCTCTGATGATAATCGGCCACCTCTTCTTCCTCATGCCACCATCCAAACTCAAGAACCAAGTGAACTGGTTAACCCGCCGGTTAATGACTTTGGCGTCCACAAATCTGAAGCCTTTCTACCTTTCCCAGGTGACTGGGGGCGGGTGGGAAGGAGATGTTAGTTCGCACAGTTTGTGTTTATTGAGTACTGATTGCTAGCGGTGGCAAAGCATGGTCCACAGACCAAATCCAGCCTAAAGCCTGTGCAGTTTTGGCATCAAGATAGACAAACAGGACCAGAGGAATGGCTCAAGTAGTAGAGCACCTGCCCAGTGAGTGTGAGGCCCTGAGTTCAAACCCCAGTGCTGCCAAAAAAAGAAAATAATAAATAACTAAAGAAAAAAGGGCTGAGGGAATGATGTAAGTGGTAGAGCACCTGCCTAGCAAGTGGAAGGTTCTGAATTCAAACCCTATTACTGCCAAAAAAAAAAAAAAAAAAAGAATGAAATGATAAGATTCAGACTGGGAGAAAATACCTACAACTCCAGAATGTATTTTTTAAAAAAGCCTTAAAACCAGTTTTATAAAAAAATAGAGAAATATAAAAATTCAAGCTGACATTTCACCAAAGATACAGAGATATCAAACAAGTTTAGGAAAAGTAGCTGACTGTCATTTATATGTCAGACAATTAAAATCACAGGGAGATGCCACTCTATGTCTATTAGGATAAATTGGCACAGTTGTTTTGGAAAAACAGTTTGGCAGTTTCTTAAAAAGAGAGGGACAGAGCTGGGTGCTGGTGGCTCACACCTGTAATCCTACCTAGCTGCTCAGGAGGCAGCAATCAGAAGGGTCACACATAACAGCAGTGACAGCAAGAACGCCCAAAACAGAAGAATCCACATTCCGATGTAGTCTTCAGACATTTGAAAATCAGCAGTAGAGCCAGTTACAGCTTTGGCTGTGATTATCCTGATTCTTTGAAGTCGAACAGCACTTGCAGTGTTGAATTGCTGTAAACATTTCTGTGGAATAAAGAGGTCATTTGAAATCAAGTACAGTTTCCTGGGTGGGATGAAAGGACAGGTTATGGCTGTATTTAGCTATGGAAGAACTAGACCCTGAGCCCAACTTGAAAAGGTCCAAGAGGGCCATGTGACATTAGGATGGCTTGGTCTGGCCTTAAGAGAAGCTGTGAGATGATGAGGTATTTGTCTGAGGCTAGGCAAGGGGCTGGGAGGACTTGTCCTGACTGTCCCTATCATACCACAGTGCATCTGCCAGCTCTTGGACGCCCTGGCTCTCAGTGGCTGTGGAGGTGTCAACTTGGCATCCCAGCTGGAAAACATTACAGACATGCTATTCAATATGGTGAGTGTGGAGGTCCTGGAAGCATCCTGGGCTTGCCTTGTCTCTTTTCTTTGGAGGTGCTGGTTCCCCCCGTGGAAGTCACCACCCACATGGCACAGATTTCTTTTGAGTGGTGACCATAAACACACACACCAAAGGCTACCCTGGAGCAGGCACAGCGTGGGATCTTCTCCATTAGCAAATTCAACATATCCTGCATGTCCCTGAAGTGACAGAGCTTTGTAGCTCCTCCTAAACTCTTGGAAAGGGAACAAGGTTCAAGTCACTCTATAATGCCATGGGGAATGCCAGGCCTTCCGAGTTAGAGCCTATAGTAGGAAGAAGACACTTGGACATTTGCAGAAGGGGTCCACCTTTCTTATAATTAATTTGTTGGCCATTGTTTTCTTCCCTCTGGAGCTGGCAACATAGATTCTTGGATTGTACATTCCTTATGGCTAAGCAACATGGCATGGCTCAGTTTCCCCACTCATTCCTAGGGCTCTGATTTAGTCTTTCAAGCCAGGTCTGAAGGCTTTGGTCTTCCTTACAGGTGAATGAAAAAATCATCAGCTCAGACCCTTATTCTGTGCAGAACCACAGCCTGGCCCTGAAGGCATTCTATATCCTGAGTAAGTGAACACATTTCCCTAGTCCTGTGGGGTGTGTGTGTGTGTGTGTGTGTGTGTGTCCTTAGGACCAGTTTTCTCTGTCCCTGGTCTGGACTGGGGGCCTAGCAGAAACTGAATGAATCTGGCAGGGCATGACATTGCTCTACCTCCATCCCTTTCCTTCCTACCCCCTTCATTGGGACTTACTTCCTTTCTTCCGGGGTGATCTGCATCTCAGAAAGGGTATACTGTGATGACAACACTGATGGGCGTGAGTGGTTGCTGACTTATAGGAGGCAGCTGGTGGAGCAGGGCAGGAAAAGTACATACGGCTGGCAAATGCTGTGCAAACACTGCTTCTTTTCCTTCCAACTTCCTTTGCTCATCATGGTGGACCCTGATTTATCTACCCTATGACATCAGTGGTTTTCTGTGAGTGTGATTTTTTCCTACTTATTACCCACCACTTAAACATTGTCCTGCTTCCCTTTTATTCACACCCTCTGATAGCCAAGCTATACAGTGATCAGGTGGTGGTGTTGATACGAAGGGCCATGGAATCCAAGGATCCAGCCAAGATCATAGTAGCCCTGGAGGTTTTCCAGGATGTGTTCCATAACGGTGAGTAGGAACATGGCATGTCCTGGGGGTCTAGCACTTGCTCTCTTTCCCAGGAAGTCTCTTTACTCTGGGAGACAGTTCCATTAAGCAGTTCATTAAAAAAATTTTTTTTTGTTGGTACAGAGGTTTGAACTCAGGACCTCACACTTTCTAGGCAGGTCCTCTACCACTTGAGTCACTCTGCCAGCCCTTTTTTTGTATTGCGCATTTTCAAGATAGGGTCTTGCAAACTATTTGCTCTGGCTGGCTTCGAAGTATGATCCTCCTGATCTCTGCCTCCTGAGTAGCTAGGATTACAGGCGTGAGCCACCGGCACCCGGCTGTTAAATAATTTTGCTTTTTTTTTTTTCCTTTTTGGCAACAGAGTAGTTAAAAACAAAATTTAAATTCAAAGTAAATTCAGTGGTTTCAAATTTTTGCCTCGTGTGCAACCTTGGGCAAATTATATTTAGTTTTTGCCTCTAAATATTTACTCATTTAAAAGTGCTTTTGGGGGGTTTCAGTGGAGAATAAATGAGAAACATATGTAATTGATATTTAAAATATATTTAAAAACTATCTGTGAAGTACTTAGAACAGTGCATACTGCAAAATTACTTTATTTCTTTTGGGTTGTTATTGGCTTTATTTTTTGAATATTTTTATTAGCACATATTAGTTGTATGAGGCAGGGTTTCATTGTGACATTTACATATGTGCTTACAATGTGCTATTTTTTTTGGCAGTACTGGGGTTTGAACTCAGGGCCTTGCTCTTGCTGGTCAGGTGCCCTACCACTTGAGCCACTCTCCCAACTTACCATGTATCTTAATTAAGATTTACTCCCTCCATTATTCTCCCTCATCCCCCCTCTCCTCCTAGAACAATTTCAGCAGGGTTCATTGTTCTGTTTTCATGCACATATACAAAGTACATCGACCATATTCACCCTGTCCCTTTACCTTTCCCTCTTCCAGTGGTGTCTACCCTAAATTGGATGTTTTATCTTCCCGTGCTGTTACTTTTAGAGTGGTTTATATAGGGTTGGGGATGTAGCCAAGTGGTAAGGTGCTTGCCTAGCACACACAAAGCCCTGTTTTCCATCTCAGCACTGTAAGAAAACAAAAAAGCCCAAAAAACTTCTAGCGTGGTTTCTCTATGATTCATGCTGTAAATAATAAGTTTCTTCCGCAATCAAGTGTTTGTGTTAAGTGCCCGGCACTGAAGGTACACACATGCACAAGACACAAACTTCCAAGATGCTCACGACTGGGCAGGGAAGATGAGGCTGTTGACGCACTGTACTAATGCAAGACAGTGTGTCTGATGTTACTGGGATGGGAGCAGGGTAGTGTGCGACAGGAATGCAGTGGGATCAATCAGGGTAGCTGGGATGGGCTTTACGTAGGAGACAGGACCCAAAGCAAGGACGGAGAGTGGAGCAGTGGGTCAGAAGAGGGAGTTCCTATCAAGGAAGAGAAAAGGTCAAAGTTCTAAAGGTTGAGATGGACAGAAGGGAGGCGAACAGCTTGGCTGGAATGGAGGCTTTGTGTGACCAGTCATAGGAGATGAAGGGATGGAGCTCAGCTTTCAGCTGTATGAAAGCCCTGTTTTGGCCCACTTTGAAGTCTAGGCTAATCAATTTCAGGGTGGTTGGGAGGCAGAGGGATGCCAGAAAAGCCCTTAGAGGCGCCACCTATCTATGGAGGCCAGGACTGTGCCTAGAATTCTTCCCATCTGTTTGTCTTCTCCTGTCTCCCAAAACAGCAGAGAAGGAGGGAGAGGCCGACTATAGCTGCTTGTCTCTTTTTTTCTAGTGCCTCAGACAGAGAAACTGAAGAGTGATGTGATGAACTCCGTCGTCATAGTAATCCAGGAGGATCACCCACCAGTGAGCAGAGTGGCTACGAGTGCAGTTGCCTTTGCACCATTGCTTCACCTTGGCAGCGGTGGCGGGGGGGTGGGGAAGGGAGGATTAGGAGGAGAGGTGGGGCAGCCCAGCCAAGCCAATGCTGGCCTAAGAGTCCTGTCCTTGGGTTGCATTTGGGTTCTTTAAAGCCCAGGAAGAGTTCAAGGAGCAGACAGGTGCTTTCAACCTGTTTCTTTTCTGAGCCTTTTCTATGGCAGCACTTTGGTGCCCCCAGTGAGGACGCTGAGCTCAATTTTTTTTTATTGTTTTATTATTCATATGTGCATACAAGGCTTGGGTCATTTCTCCCCCCTGCCCCCACCCCCTCCCTTACCACCCACTCCGCCCCCCTCTCCTCCTCACCCCCTCAATACCTGGCAGAAACTATTTTGCCCTTATCTCTAATTTTGTTGAAGAGAGAGTATAAGTAATAATAGGAAGGAACAAGGGTTTTTGCTGGTTGAGATAAGGTTAGCTATACAGGGAGTTGACTCACATTAATTTCCTGTGCATGTGTGTTACCTTCTAGGTTAATTCTTTTTGATCTAACCTTTTCTCTAGTTCCTGGTCCTCTTTTCCTATTGGCCTCAGTTGCTTTTAAGGTATCTGCTTTAGTTTCTCTGCATTAAGGGCAACAAATGCTAGCTAGTTTTTTAGGTGTCTTACCTATCCTCACCCCTCCCTTATGTGCTCTCGCTTTTATCATGTGCTCAAAGTCCAATCCCCTTGTTGTGTTTGCCCTTGATCTAATGTCCGCATATGAGGGAGAACATATGATTTTTGGTCTTTTGGGCCAGGCTAACCTCACTCAGAATGATGTTCTCCCATTCCATCCATTTACCAGTATATGATAACATTTAATTCTTCATGGCTGCATAAAATTCCATTGTGTATAAATACCACATTTTCTTGATCCATTTGTCAGTGGTGGGGCATCTTGGCTGTTTCCATAACTTGGCTATTGTGAATAGTGCTGCAATAAACATGGGTGTACAGGTGCCTCTGGAGTAACCTGTGTCACAGTCTTTTGGGTATATCCCCAAGAGTGGTATTGCTGGATCAAATGGTAGATCAATGTTTAGCTTTTTAAGTGACGCTGAGCTCAATGACATGAATTCATTCACCTGGGCTCTCACAGATTTTTGGAGGAGAGAAAACCTCCACCATCTTGTCTTGGGTGAGGTGCAGCAAGTTGTACTTCCATCCAGCTCTGCTGCCAGTGTTGGAAGCAGCCGAAGCCCCAGCCCTGGATAAGCAGAGCTGTCTGGAGCTGGGGAGCAGTGGTTTTAGTGCTAAAGGAAGGACAGTGGCACCATCCTGCAAAATAAGGACCCATTCCCTACAAGGTCCATGAAGAGCCTGGGTCTTGCAGGACAGGTCCTCACTCCTCCCGGCTTACTCCTCTTGGCTTTACCTTTGGGGGTCAGAACATAAACTCTTTCCTGGATTTGGATTCTTCCCCTCCCCCAACTCCTGTCAATTTTAATAAAGTGTTTAGTGTTCTCCAGGAGGATGGCAGGAGCTGATGTGGGTTGGAACTTGTAGACAGAGTACAGAAGCAGCCAGGTTCAGTGACTGGTGGTCTGTTGTGATCACGGAGTGGACAGAAGAGTCATTCTGAACTTTGAGTCAGGACATCTGAGTTCCTTGATGACCTCCATATTCTGCTCTGGTCCTCTGTGTCCTTACCTGGAATATAAAAGATCCCTCCCTGTCTTGCCATCCGATGACAGGTGCGGATGGAACTTCTGAGCCTCATTGAGATACTTGCCCAGTATGACTACCTGCATCTGCCCCAGGGGAACGTCATCATTGACTACCTCATCAAGCTCAGCGAGCCAGATCCCTCAGTGAGCAGGCTGGGCTGGAGGGGGAGTGAGCCTCCTGGGCAGACAGAGGCCAGGGTTAGGAACAGCAGGACAAGACAGCAGGCATGACTGGCATGGGGAGCAGGGCTTAAGAACCCTGATCAGGGGCTGGCGGAGTGACTCAAATGGTAGAGCATCTTCCTAGCAAGTGTGAGGTTCTGAGTTCAATCTCCAGTACTGCAAAACAAAAAACAGTGATTCCCTGATCTGTGAGTGCCAGGGGAGGTAACCAGTCAGAAGACTCAGCCAGTATTGCTTTGAGAATTTAATTGTTCCTTTTCTCATTGCAGAATGAAGAGGATATCCAACTTATGTGCTTCAGAATTCTGCAGATGGTACTGCCGGCTAAGGGCAAAGGGATTTCAATGTTTCTGCCTCTGCTGGCTCCCAGACAGTATTCTGACCACACGCTGCACCCTTTTTCCCCTCCCCTCCATCTAGCTCTGGTTCTGGCTGTCCGTATTCTCCCACCTCCATCTGTTCCTGTTCAGGGCCTGGGGCTCCTTTGAGAAGGGGCTCAGTAGAACAAAAGAAGGTCATTAGGTTCTGAGTCTAGAGGCCTGTGCCTGAGTCCCTCTGCAGGTTTCTAGCTATAAAATCTTGAGCATGTTGCTCTCTGGGCCACACTTTCTCCTTCAGTAATAAAGGGGGGGATCCTATGCTCTGCTTGCCCACGGCACCTGCAGGATGTCCTGGAGGATCCTGGGAGCTGACATGCAGATCTGAGCTGGGAGGGAAGCTAGCTGTGATTTATGCTCTTTCCCAGAGCATTCTGGGAAAATTCTCCCTCCACCAAGCTCTGACTCCTGACCTTCAGTATTTTTTTCTGCCTTTGGAATGTTCCCTCAGGGAGGCAATTCCAAGTCACATGATTCCAAATTTCAAGAAGCCCTGCTATGTAATCAAATCCTTCCTAGCATAATTTTACTCAGGATCTTGATTGCATTTTACTAACATAGGGCAAGAAGTGAGGAGAGGAGTGCATGGGAGGGAGGGTAGACAGAGAAGGGGATATGAATGAATGGGGAGAGGCCTGGGTATACAGGCCTCAAATGCCCTTCCAGGAAAGGAATACAGGTTATGGGGTTGGAGGGGCTGCTTTGGGCTTACCATTGAAGCCCTTGCCATGTCCCCTGCCAGGTGCCCTTGCCCAAACTGGTCACATTGGTGTGTCAGCCCAGCAACAACATGGCCTTCCTGATCCTGAGTAAGGCCACCACAGAGATAGCTCTGAAGACCCAGATCCTAGGCAAAGGCCCCTACCTCAGTAGCTTCCATCTCACGCGTGAGTGCCAGGGAAGGGTGGCCTCTGGACAAGTGGCAGCTGTGAGAGTCCAAGCTGCAACAGGCTTGGCATTGGAGTGGGAGGCAGGCTGAGACCCGTGGGGGTGTGTGTGGAGGAGGGAGGATGCAGAGCTGTGCTATGGGTTAAGCTATAGGCAGAGGTACTGGACAGGAGAGGACAAGAAAGGCAGAGGGGAGCTGCAGCAGCCTAAGGCACTTGGGCCCTCACAATGCGTGGAGAGGGGGTCTTCTTTAAGAGAGTCAACTCTAGACAGTTCCTTTTTTGCCTGTAGTCCTCTCTCTATTTTTATTCTTTTTGGGTTTTTTGAGACAATATGCAACCCTGGCTAGCCTTGATCTCATGATCTTCTCGCCCTAGCTCCCCAGAGCTGAGATTATGAGGTGTGCACCATCACGCCTGGCTAGTGTTTATTTTAACACACTGGTGTCAAGGGGTGAAAACACTATGCTTAATTACAAAGCCATGGGTACGTGGGCATTCCTGACCCTTTGTTCTTCCTTGGCTCCAACTTGGAACGTCACTCCACACTCACCTCGTCCTTGACCTCTGATCCCAGTCGGGCCAGGGGTGGGATGAGGGTGTCCATTCAGCAGATTACTTGGTGTTTTTCTTTTTTAAGCTGAAAATGTAATGATTTGTTTTTTCAGGATGAGTCAAATATCACAATCTGCTAGCATTGGCATTGATGCTCCCTCTCACTCTTCTTTGTCTTCTCATGTGAAATTCTGTTGGTGGGCTGCCGGTGCACTGACTCTGTAATTTTCTTTCTCTTCTTTTTTAACCTAGCCACCCAGGTCATCTCCCCACAGAAACTCCTGACCCATCTTGTGGTAAGTGATGCTGTGATGGGTACTACAAATCTATCTGTCCATCAACTTATTTGGCCATCCCCCCACATTTCCATCCATTCACCTACTATCTACCCACTCATCCACCCTTCTATCCACAATCCATTTATTCATTCATAAATGCATAAATTTCTACCCATCTGTCTATCCATCTATCCACGCATTCATCCATTCACCCAACCCCCAACAGTTCACTCACCTACCCATTATTTCACCCCAACTCCCACCCTTCCCCACACCCACCCACCCACCAGTCCATTCAACCAACCTTCCATCTGCCTGTCAACTCATCTATCCATCCATCCCTCCACCCATCCATCCACCTATCCATCCATGTTTCCATCCACTTATCCACCTGTCCTTCCATCGATCAATCCATCCATCCAGTCATTCCTCAAGTAGTTAAGTACTACTCTATTTCAAGTATAATGCTGTATATGGAATGAGGAGGTGGCCCTGGGGAGATGCAATGCAAGCATAGAACTTGGAGGAGGAAACTTGGTAGGACCTGGAGCCTAGGAAAGAAGGGAGAGATGGGAAAGGCCTGGCCTGTCTCCTGTAGTGCCTCATGGTGAGCTCTCTAGAGAAGGTCCCATGGCTTTCTTGACCTCATTTTCTCAGCATGTTTTATTTGCCCATGACCGTGACAGACATTATGAACACTTGGAGTTGTAGACCCACTCTTGGTGTTCACAGTCTTAAGAGGAAGGCAAACATGGTAATGCCCTAGCCACCACAGTTCAGTGTGACAAATGAACTGACAGAGGTGCAGTGAGACCTTAGAAGAGCACTAGGCTTACTTGGCCCCCAGGATGAATGGAAGGCCTGACAGAGGAGGGTGAGGTTTGAGGACATTTTGTAGAACATCGTCAATAGGTGGAAAAGAATGGGAGAGTCTAAGCTTCACCTCTGCCATTCTGTGGGTTTGTTCTAATCTTCCTTCTCTTCCCTTAAATCCTTTTCTCTGCCTCCCATTTTCTTCTCTTGTTTCTCAGTTGTTTGCCCTGAAGCCCTACAGACAAAAGAAGTTTGGTGTGAGCTCCCTACAACTCTTACAATCCTTGCATCCCATCACTTCCCTGCATCCTGTCATCAACTCAAATGTGGGCCAGCTGTGGATGAAGATGATTCCCCAGATGTTGCAGATCCTGGAAGGTGAGGGGTTGGCTGGGAGAGGGAGAGGAGTGGTGCAAACTCCAGAAGGGCTGGAGGGAGTCTTGAGGTGCAGGATGGACCTTGCTTGGGGTCCTTCTGGAATACTGTTTGGCTGAATCTGCTTCTTTCACTCATGTTCTGCATAGACCACATGCTCACTCCAGAGTTCTGTGGCTCAGAGATCCAGAAGGACTACTTCCCCTTCTTGTGGATGGAGGAACAGGAAAAAGTGTGGGCTTTCAGACAGGCCCAGGTTTGAATCTTTTCTGTGACACAGTCCAGCTATGTACATTTGACCTTCAGCAAGTCACTCATCTCTTGGGGACTCAGTGAAGTGGGCAATCCTGCAGGATTGTGGTGACAGGGAGATGAGGCATCCCGGAGCATGATCTTGTGTTGGTTCTTTCTCCCTGGCTTGGGTCTTTTGGTCCGGAGGGTTCCCATGCTCTCATCTTTCCCAGATAATGATGAGAAGAGCCTGAAGCAGAAGGATTGGGAGAACAAGCTGCTCCAGGTGAGCCCTTCCCAGGAGATACTTCACTCCACGCAAAGAGCTCCTCTTCCTTGCCGTTGGTGGGGGGAGAGGCCCTGGGATCCGCATGATAAGTGTACTAACAGGCCATGATCAGGGACTCCCTGACCAAGAGAACCTCTGTCTGGGTGCCCTTGTCTCCTGCTCCCTGCATCAGAGTCTCTACCAATACCCTAAGTCTGAATCCTCCCTCTGTATCCCCAAAGCCTTACCTGCAGTAAGGTCAGAACCCTAGCTGTGTGTCCTGGGGAAAGTCATTTACACTTCACAGGCCTAACCCTTCATCTGTAAAATGAGAGTGAGTTCCTACCTTGGAACTCAATGGGATGGTAAAGGAGTGGGCCTGGCAAGCTGGCAGGGTCCCTTCACACACAGAGTTGCCATGCCATTGTTCCTGTAGTGTCCTTCTTTAGTCCTGACTGTGCCCCCTCCATGCACTCCAGCTCATTCTCTCTCTATTTCTATACCGTGCCCTTCGCCTCTCTCTTTTTACCCACCTCCCATGGGGTGGAGAGGCCTGACACTGTCCCTTGTGGACCTCTTTTCTCTCCTTCTGTCTCAGTTTTCCAGTCAGTCACTGATGGCCATCAATGATGACAGCTGGCTGGAGCAACTCACCATGGTCATCTTGGAGAGGATAAATTATTTCAGCGATGATGAGGAGGAGAAGGTGTGTCTGTGCATGCGGCTGGGCTTGAGAGTTGCCAGGTGGCCAGGTGAGGGGAGTGTGAGGGGAGGACACTGTAGAGACAAGGTCCTTGAGGAAGGGCAGACCTTGAGAGCAGAGCACACTGGTGTCTGCAGGATTGAGGGATGGGGAGCCACACAGGAGCAGCGGTAAAGTGGTAATGGGTGAGCACCTCACATTTGCTTAGGCTCTTGAGCCCTTAGCTGTTTGTCATTTAATTGAACCTTCTGGCATTTTGGGAACACAGTGAGCTGGTACTTGGGTGCTGTAGAAAGATGACGGACCTTGGAGTCAGACTTAAGCCAGTCAATTCAGAGGATATGTGAGAGTAGAGTGTAGCTTGGCCACCGTGCTTGGTGTTGGGGATCCAGAGCTGAGTAAGAAAGGCAGGCGCCTTCTCATAGAGCTCCCAGTCTGTCTGTGAGAGTGAAGACCTGGGGCCTTCCGGGTGTCCCCAGTGTTCCCAGCCTCAGAGTCAGTCTTTGTGAGAGCTTCATGTCTCACTCGGGAAGTGACAAAAATCACTCTCCATCCCAGGACTGTTGGTGAGGATCAAATGGGGGGACACACTTTGTGAAGTCCAAAGGCTAAGCCACCATGAGGCTGTTACCAACCCTATGAAGAAACAGAGCCCAGGGCATTTAGAGGCAGATATAACTGGCTCTCCTCTCCAGGGTTTTCGATTTCCAATCTTGTTTTCTTGTCACTGAGCACACTTTGGACTTAGGAGGAATCTCCAGGCTGGAGGCCGCCGTCAGTAAACGTTTGGAAAGTACCTGCAATGTGTAGAGCTCTGTGAAGGTGGCTTAGGGACACAGTATGACGCAAGCAGGACTTTTGTCTTACAAATCCAGTTACTGAAAATATGTTCTAAGTGTCCACAGTGCACCAGACACCCTGTGAAAACTCAGGTCCTGGGAAGACAAGACGGCAGTGCAGAGTTGGGGAAGCTCTTCCCTCAGCCTGTGGAGGGGGCAAAGAAGCTTTCTTAGAGTGACCAACTGTCTTGGTTTGCTCAAGGCTGTCTCAGTTTTAGTGCTGAGAGTCTAGCGTTCCAGGAAATGGTAGAGTGGGAAGATTGGCCACCCTCTGGAGGAGTAAGTCCCAGAAGATGAGTGCTAATTGCCAGCTCAGAAGAAAAGCAGGTGCCTCAGGTCAGGGTTGGTAGAAACAGAACCTTGTGCAAGTGAATTAGCAATGAGGTGGGCATCACAGCTTGTGTGATTTACCCAGGGAGAGCACTTGAGAGAGGGAAGGTAGCAAGATGCAGAGGGCAGAAGCTGGGCCAGGTGGAGGTCTGACCCCAGGGGGAGCCCTCCATATGAATTGGACTGCAGCCTTTCCTACCTGGAGATAAGCCAGGGGGTTTTTGTGCCTAGATCCCCATCTCCTCCAGGACAGCTCTAGTAAGCAAGGATAACAATCACTAAAATGCAGAGGAGGGAGAGAAAGGTGACGCGTTGGATTTAAGCATTTTATTAATTTAAGGAGCTGTTTATGTTTCTCAGCTGGAAGTGAGAAGCGTGTGGATTTGGGAGTTTCCTGAGGTGGAAAGGCTGAGAAGGGAGACAGGCAGCTGTCTCCTCTCTAGCTCGAACCCCTACCCTGTTGGATGGCTGCCTTAGACAGACCCCCACCCACCCAGGGACCCAGAGAGCAGTGGGGAGGGGAGCCAGATGGAACAGTGGTGGCTGACAGCTCTGTTCCCTCTGCCTGCTGCTGTAGCCTCCTTCTGAGATGCTCATGACTCCCCCGCCCCCAGGCTTTCCTGTACAGATTCTTTGGCTTCACTCTGCAAACCTCAAGGAATCCGCAGCTGGTTAAGATGATGCTCTCAGCCATCCTGAAAACTTCCCATGAGGAGCTGCAGGAGAGGGAGGTGAGGACCCCTGCAGAGTGGGGACATGCTTTATTTTAGAGGCACATGGCAAGTTGTCTAAAGGTCTTGGCTGGTTGGCAAGCCAGACCACCTGGGGTAGAATCTCAGCTCTGCCATTTACTAGCTGTGTGCTCTCAGGCAAGTTACTGAACCTCTCTGTGCCTCTGTAAAATGAGTCTATGATACCTTCCTCATAAGACACTTTTATTTTTTATTTATTTATTTATTTTTAATTTTTTTTTAAATTATTCATATGTACATACAATGCTTGGGTCATTTCTCCCCCTTCTCCCCACCCCCTCCCTTACCACCCATCCCACCCCCTCCCTCTCCCCCCCACCCCCGCGATACCCAACAGAAACTATTTTGCCCTTAACTCTAATTTTGTTGAAGAGAGAGTATAAGCAATAATAGGAGGGAACAAGTGTTTTTGCTAGTTGAGATAAGGATAGCTATCCAGGGAGTTGACTCACATTAATTTCCTGTGCGTGTATTACCTTCTAGGTTAATTCTTCTTGATCTAACCTTTTCTCTAGTTCCTGGTCCCCTTCTCCTATTGGCCTCAGTTGCTTTTAAGGTATCTGCTTTAGTTTCTCTGCGTTGAGGGCAACAAATGCTATCTAATTTTTTCGGTGTCTTACCTATCCTCACCCCTCCCTTGTATGCTCTCACTTTTATCTCATAAGACACTTTTAAAAAAGCTTTTTTATTTGAAAATAATTTCACACTAATAGAAAAGTCACAAAAAAGACAAAGAAAAGAACAGCACAAAGAATTTTTGTATCTCCTTTCTCGAGATCCCCCAAATCTTAATGTTTCCCCATGTTCCCTCTCTGTGTATATACGTATTAGTATTTCTTTTATGAATCTTTTCAGGAAGTTGCAGCCAAGATGCATATTTACCACTAATTACTTCAACATGTATTACCTAAGAATTAAGGATTTGTCTCACATCAGAGAAATCAGGAAATTGACTTTGTAAAATCAGTGATCAAGTAGTCAGTGTCAGAACCACTTCAAAATCAGGAAATCAACATTTTACCTCATTTCCAGACCTGATTAAAAAGTTACTAATGAATAGTCTTTTTTTTTTTTTTAGTGGTACTGGTGTTTGAACTCAGGACCTCATGCTTGCTGGCAGGCGCTATATCACTTGAGCCATTCCACCAGCCCTTGAATGCTCTTTAGAGCAAAAGACAAAAAGATCTGGTCCAGAATCTAATTCAGAACCAAATGGTGGGACAAAAAAAAAAAAAAACCAGCACCAAATGGTACATTTAATTGTCAGTTCTCTTTAATCATCATGAGCCAGAGAGAAGTCCCTCAGCCTTTATCGTTCATGATCTCAACATTTTTTTTTAAAAGACACAATTTGTTTTGCATACTGTCCCTCCTTTCGGGTCTCTTCGTGGTTAGATTCAGCTTCTGTATTTTGGGTGGAACACTGCTGAAGATAGGTGTGTTTTAGGGCAGTGTTGAGGGTTGAAGACATAAAGGAGTCCAGCAAAACACACTCCTGCACAGCACAGCTCCCTAGGTGTTAGCTCTCGGTGAAGGTGATGTCCCTGCCCCAGGAGTCCCCTCTCCAGTGCCCCTCTCCTGCCAGGTTCTTAGCAGTCCTGGCTGTCATCAGATATTGCTGGGAATTCTTCTTCTTCTTTGGGTGGTACTGGGGCTTGAACTTAGGGCCTCATGCTTGCAAGTGGCTTGAGCCACTCCACCAGCCCTCGTCATCAGATATTTACTGAGCCAAAGTTACAGCCGGGTGACTGTGGCTCACACCTGCAATCCTACCTACTGGGGAGGTGGAGATCAGGAGGATCAAAGTTTGAAGCTAGCACCGAATAGTTCTTGAAACCCTATCTTGAAAAAAAACACAAAAATAGGACTGGTGGAGTGGCTCAAGTGGTAGAGTGCCTGCCTAGCAAGTGTGAGGCTGTGAGTTCAAGCCCCAGTACCACCTCTCCCCACCCCAAAAACAATTGCAGACAGTAGCACTGCAGAAACCAGAACACAGCAGAGGGCATGGGACAGCTATGTGGTGGCTGCTGGTGGGGCTGGTGTAGAAGGAGGGGAGCAGGTTTCCCACTTGACCATAGCATTTTCCACTGTGGCAAGGGATCCAGGAGAAAGTGGTGAGGAGGGGGAGAAGAAGATGATAAGGCCACTAGGCAGAGGGATCTGAGTTAAAGGCTGTTCCTGGTGGGGGTTGAAGAACTCCAATTTCCCCTTTGCATTTCTGTTCCTTCCGGGTGGTCACTTCCCACATTCACACTTCTGGCCTCAAATTTCAGACCTACCAGCCATTGAACTGAGTGTTTTCTCTCAGTTGGCCTATCACTGTGTCACACGCAGCACAGAACTCCCTCTCTCCTCCTGCCCTACTCCCACCCCCTTTTCTACCTGCCCATTTTAATTTTGATCCCAGCTTCTCCTAACCTAGAACCACTGGCCTCATCCAAACCTTCGGGCTTCCATCTCCTCTGCCTCTAAGTAGCCATCCAATCCTGCGGTCCGATCGGCTCTTCCCTCACTTCCACCTTGAACAACTCCCTCCAGGCTCAAGTGCAGATGTCTCCTCTGTTTTCTCGTGCAGGACTTGATAATTCCAAGATTTTATAATTCTGTGACTCAAATTCTTTATAATCTGCTGTACTTTGCTTTTGAAAATGACTCCTGCTGGGATGTTTGGTTCTCCGGACTTTAAACAGCTCGAGCCTGGAGAATCACATTTCCCTTCCTTCCTTTCTTTCCCTTTCCCCTCTCTAAGCCTCCATTCTGGGGTGGCACAGCAGGCTTAATACACTCTAAGCTGCGGCATGGGGTTGGGGCTGTCCCTGCTACAGGGCCTTGCAGTGGCACTCGGCATTGTGTCCCTGAAACATCTGAAGATAGTTCTGGATGGACTGCAGGAGTATGGCACAATGCTCACCAACCCGGAAACATCCATCCTCACTCTGATGAAGGTGCCAGCATTCCCACCACTGTGGCCTCCCCTCTCTCCCAGGCCTTGGGACTCACCTACAAACCCTCCTGTCTTAGTCTGATCAACCTTGGGAACGTTTCGTCTCCCCGCCTTTGGTCTTGTCTCACACACCCATGCTTCAGGCCCTGCTATCACTGTCCCTCCAAAAAAGACCCACCATTCTCCAGCCCCTCTTCCCCCAGCCTCTCAGTGTAATCTCTTCCTCCCCAGGCCCTGTTTTTCATTAGACAAGGAGGATAAGGTGAGATTAAGACCAGTTTCCCCTTCCCCTACAGGAACATCAGCAAAGGGAGTGGGGGCTGGTGTGTGACACCATCCATCTGAGCTATGGCAAGATTATCTCGGAGAACAAGGGAACCATCTTTAATCATCTGAACGACATCCTGACCTTGACCCTTCAGCACTATTACAACTGCGTTGTGGAAAAGGTACCTCCGATTCCTCCCCTTCCCCACTGTTCCACCTCTCCAGAGGCCCACCCCAGTGCAGTTCAGGGGGCAGGGCTCTTATGGCGATTTCCTCCCACCATTTCTGTTCCTCATTCTGCTTCTCTGCAACTCTGACCCACCGCGAGTGCAATCATGTTGGATCTGTTGAAAAGTGTCTCCTTCCCCACACATGTGCTGGGTGGGCTCTTCACTGGCCTCACCTCTGAATGGAGGAACAACGCCTGAATTCCCTGACACATTCATGGAGAGAGGCATTCAGTGAGGATAGAGTGAGCCCCAAACAACCTTCCTGCGGGGGCTGATTGTCCAGTGCATGTGTCCCTTGATGGGAGGACAAACCCTTCCCATTTCCTGTCCATCTGTCACCCAACTGGACATTCATAGAGTAGAAGACAGAAATTCAGTGGGAGGACAAATCGTGAGTGAAAAGGAAGCTAGAACCCTTCCAATTTAAGAGTTTTATGGGGCTGCAGGTGTGGTACAGTACCACTCAACCAGTGGTAGATACCTGTCTAGCAGGTGTGAGGCTCTTGGTACCTAGCATCGCCTCTCCCCCCCAAACCCACAAAGATTCTTTAGGACCCAGTGTGGTGGCTCACTCCTGTAATCTCAGCTAGTCAAGAGGCAGAGATGGGGAGGATCACGGTTCTGGGCCAGCCTGGGCAAAAAGGTGGTTGCACCACCACAACCAATAAAGCTGGGTGTGGTGTGCACACCAGTCATCCCAGCAACACAGGAAACATAAATAGTCCAGGAAGGCCCAGGCAAAAATACAAGATCTTAGCTCAAAAATAACCAAAGTGAAACAGGGATGGGAGCATGGCTCAAGTGGTAGAGCGCTTGACTAGTAGGTGCAAGGCCCTGAGTTCAAACCCAATAGTGCCAAAAAAGAAAAAATAATGTTTTATGAAGGGGAAGCTCCTTCAGGGAGTGGCGAGAGGGTGGCTCTTTCCCATTGTAGGGGCTGCTGGCTTTGTCTTTTCTTGGCCACCTCCAAGGGAACACGCAGGGCCTCAATCTAGGGAAGGTTGTGGGGGGCTTAGCTTTGAATCTCCCAGCCTGCAGGTGGGTTTCCCCGGCCCCAGAGTCTTCCTCCCCTTGGGGCTCTGAGCATGCCCCTTGGTTCAGGACAATAATCTGAAGCTGTATTACTTGAGTCCCCTGATGCACTTGACAAACGTCCTGAGCAGCCAGTCGATCACCTTGCCAAACACCATCCCCCAAAAGCTGGAAGTCATAGCCTTCATGCTGGTAAGTAGCTCTCAGGAGGCTGGGGGTGGAGGGCAGGGAGGAGGGAGTACAGGTCTCCTAGGAAACCACTAGTGGCCTCTTCTGCTAGCCAGAGGAATGAGGCCCAGGTCTGCTAGTCTCCTCCTCCTACCTTTGCTGTCCCTTCCCACCCTCAAGGTAAGGGTGAGTGCTGTGGGGCAGGTGTGCTTGGGTGCCCACCACTGTGACCTTGGGAGTGCAGCTTGGGGCAGAGGAGGAAGAAGGGCAAGGAAACCCAGCCCTGATCCTCTGGGTTCCGGGGGCGGGGTGCTTGTCACAGGAGCTCATCAGGGGAGAGCCGATGACCTGCATCTCCAGCTCCATTAGACAGAAGGCTATGAACGTCATTACGGACTTCAGGTAACAGGGTGCCGTCCACTCTACCTTCCTTTTCTTCTTTTTCCAGTACGGGGGGTTTAACTTAGTGCCTCACACTTGCACACTTGCTAGGCAGATGCCCCCTTTTTTGCTTTAGTTATTTTTTGGACAAGGTCATGTGTTTTTGCCTGGACCAGCCTCAGACTTCGATCCTCCTACCTGTGCCTCCTGTGTAGCTGGCATTACAGGTTTGATCTACCACACCCAACTTCCTTATTGCAATGGGATCTCACTAACTTTTTGCCCTGTCTGGTCTCGAGCTGAGATCATTCAGATCTCCACCTCCTCGGATTACAAGCAGGAGCCACCGCGTCCAGCCCCACTCTACCTTTCTTGATTCCTTGATTCTGTCTTGGTTTGATTTCAACTCTTTATGCCCTAGTACGTCCCCATCTCTCATTTTCTGCTTTGGCTCCTGGTATAAGGGTCTCCACACTGTAGTAAAACTCTGTGGACTGATGTCAGTCACGTTCTTTTGCTGGGATTTTTTGGGAGGGATTTTCTGAGCACCTGCCAGAGACTGCTTCCCCAATCTCTGTAAGTCCTTTGTCACTTCTGCCGGAGGCTTCCTTCTGCTTTTGGGGCCACCCCTGAGGTGTCACCTCCAAGTCCATTCTGACCACCCCATTTCTTCAAAACGTGGGGGACAAAAAACTTGTCATCACCAAACATCGGGCTCCCTGCCTCTACTGCTGTGCTTTCTCTCTTCCCCTCAGTTCTTTTCTTCTGGCGTCTCTCTTTTCAGCTCCTGTCTGTCTCTCTGCCTCTATCACCTCTCTGCACCCCTCCTGCTCCCTCTCAGCTTTCATTCCTGGCCACCGCTCACTGGTTACACTTCTGCTTCACCCTGGATCCTAGGAAGCTCAAGCCCCTCTTAGAACCAGAGTACAGAGCGGATGTACTTCGAACATGCTACAAGAGTGTGCTCAGCCTGCCGTCCTTGGAGGCCATGCTGAAGGACGCCTCTAGTCCCAGCGAGGGCCAGGCCAATGTGGTAACTATTCCCTGATGGTCACCTTTTCATAGATTTTCTAGAGGGTGAGAAGTATGGGTTTGGTGTTTTATGGAAAGTTCTTCTACCCTCTTTAATAAACACAAAATCACTGGGAAAAACGCCTCCTACAAGGAAGAGGTTTGTGGGTCGAGCAGGCTGAACTCTACCCAGGAGATTTATGTTCTTCTTGGGGGTACTTACTGTTTACGTTTGCTCGTCTGGCCCCAGAGTGGACCCTCAATTCTTCTTTCTGTAACTGTGGTACAATTGAAATGAGGCTGGCAGGTTCAAGCATGACTTTACTAGTGTTCTCTGGATAAATAACTTCTCAGGTGACCCAGAGGTAAGAGGTAGCAGTGTGTTTTCTGCAGGACCCATAGTGTTTTCTTTGGGGAGAGAAGGACTCAGTTTCAATTTTATCTTGACTGGCTGTTCATAGTTTATTGATGCCATGGTCTCTTGAGTTTTTTGAAGATGTTCATGAGAATCTTTTGAAACTAACTTATTTACTATTTCCTGAATTAGTTCTCTTTCTTTTAGGGTCAATTGGTCTGTTTATTTGGGGGTTTTGCTTTCTTTTTATTAATTATTAATTTTAATTGTATACATTTATGAGTCTTCTCATCAGGTGTGGGATTCTTGCCAGTTCATATTACTTATGTTCTGAAGGAACAACTGGTACCTCTGAGAGAGCTAAGAGGCTTCCTTACCTGTTCCCAACAGGCTTTCCTTAGGGCAGGTCTGGGCAGGATGAAGTGGGAATTTTTTTTTTTTTTTTTTTTTTGGCGTTACAAGGGTTGGAACTCAGGGCCTTATGCTTGCTAGGCAGGTGCTCTACCACTTGAGTCATACCCCCTTTTTGCTCTGTTTTTTTCCTCTTGGAGATAAGGTCTTGCCTTTTGCCCAGGCCATTCTGGACCACAATCCTAATTTAGGCTTCCCACCATAGGGATGACAGGCAATGTGCCACCACACCCAGCTTTTTTTCCATTGAGATGGGATCTCATGAACATTTTTGTCTGGACTGGCCTGCCAATCTCAACTTCCTGCCATGTCAGGAAGGCTGCCCTGCACCCAGCTATTGGTTGAGGTGGCGTCTCTCGAACTTTTTGCTTAGGATGGGCCAGAACCCTGTTCCTCCTGATCTCAGCCTCCCAAGTGGCTAGAATTACAAGCGTGAGCCACTGTGCCCACTGAGGTGGGCATTTTGACAGGGTTTTTCCATGTATGGGGCAGACTAGAAATCCCAGTGGAAAATGGGAATCCTAGTAAAAGTGGCTTTAATCAGGAGGTAGATTCCTTGTCAGCTGCTTTTCCCTTTCATTTCCTTTTCTTACCAGTTTTGGAGGCCCACAACTATTCCATAGATGCTCTCACAGGCAGATGGCCTATCTTCTTCTGAACTCAGACGTTCTACCACTTGAACCACACTCCCAGTCTGCCTATTTTCTTTATAATGCTTTGGCAAAGAGTTTCTAGTGCTGGACAGATCCACTTAGATCATTAATCACTGAGGTAGAAACCCAATGTCCCTGATTTCATGAATCAGTTTCCTTGCAGACCACCAGGCCAGCCTGCCCTGTCCCCAGTGGGGCAGAGGCCCAGGGGCCCAGTATAGGAAGTGGGGTGAGGGGATTGGAGAGGGAAGCTGTATTGTCCAGGAACTTCCAGCCTGTTGTGTGAACATAACAGAGGGATTTATTTAAGGTAGCAGGCGAGAGGGACCTGGAAATTCAGGGAAGCTTGTGGGGCAGAGTTGAGCCAGGAAGGCCAAGCAGTTAGTGGAAGGATGGGACTGTCCTCTCCACAATGCTGAGTCCCTCTTCCCTCTCAGGAACTGTTCAGGGAGACCATGCATGCTCTCCGGAAGCTAATGGAAGCGATGGTCCTTGAGGAACCCACTCGGATCCCCACCTGCTTGGAGGTCAGTGAACGTGCTCATTTCCTAGGGCTGCCTTGATAACAGCTGCATCAAAACTGGCTGGCTTAAACCCATAGAAATACATTCAGTTGTGAGGGAGACAAGTCCAAAGTCAAAGTGGTGGCAGGTTGCTTCCCACTAGAAGCTCACCTCTGGCTTCCAGTGATTCCTGGCAACCCTTGATCTTATAAACATGTCACTCCAATCTCTGTTTCCCCATCTTCTTTCACATGGCATGTTCTTGGGTGTGTGTGTGTGTGTGTGTGTGTGTGTGTGTGTCCCTCTTACTAAGGACAACAGTCATTGGATTAGATAGGGCTACCTTAATCCAGAATGAACTCACTTTCAACTTGATCATATCTACAATGACCTTATTTCCAGACAAGGTCACATTCTGAGGTTCTGGGTAGGCAGGAATTTTATCAGCTCTTTATAGTTGGGAACAAGAGTCAAAAGACAGGTAGAGGTAGAACTGGAAGGAAGGGGCTTTTTCCATTCGCTAGTACTGTCGTTAGCGTGTGTTAATTGTACAAAGGGGGACATGCAGGTGCTGCACTTTGAGTTCTCTCTTGCTCTTTTTTCCCAGCCCCCCTCCCTGTTTTTCAACAGCTTTCAGTGAGTTTCATTATACCATCTTCAAACACAGATACAACGTATTTGGATGTTATTCATTTCCCGTCATTCTCTTCCCCTCTCCCCTCAGCTTCCCAAATAATCCCACAATTGCATTCATGTTATATGTGTGCATATACAGACATATTTGTGTATCTCACACATGCTCATGTGTATGTATTCTATATGTGTGTATATGCATATATGTATTTTACACACACACACACACACACACACACACACACACGTTTTAGGTCTAGATTCCAGTGATGCAGGGATTTGAGGGAAGGGGGATCACAGCTGGGGTCCAAACAAAGTCATTCTTCTCACTGAGAACTTGCTTCTTCCCCTTTTCCCACTGCGTGGCCTCCTTCTCTCCCAATTCCACTCTGCTCCTTTATAGCAGATGGAAGCTAGAGGCATGGCCTCTGGACTTCCATACACTGCAGTTCTAGACCTTGTGTCACCTTGGGGATTTATTTAACTTCTCACAGCCTTTTTTTCCCTAGACAACAGGATGACAGCAGTACCTGGTACATACAGTCATTTTGGTAACTGAGTGAGATCATGTTTACCAACTGCTTGACTCAAAGGATCAAGTGCAAGTTCAAGAAATTTGCCAGGTTTTGAATTGAATTGTTTGTCTTTTTATTGATCTGATTTACCTTAGGCTAATGTTAGTGTGATACTTTGGCCTTTTCTCCAATATCCTGTTCCCTAGCTATCCTCTGAAATTTAAGATTTCTTTGCAGGGTTTTCTTTTTGGTGAAACTGGAGTTTGAACTCAGGGCCTTGCACTTGCTAGGTAAACACTCTACCACTTGAACCACACCCCCGGGGAACTTACTTCCCTTCTTTTCTCACATAGTAGGTTGTGTGTTCTATCCAGTGTTTTTTTCACTTATTCACATCAGTTTACAGATATATTTCTTATTTTTCATCTTAAAATACATTTTAGATTAACATATGTATGTGGCACAGTGTGTTATTTTAATACATGTATACAGTGTGTGTAATGGTTAGTGAGATCTGGACAATTGCCACCTCCATCACCTCAGACACTTATTCTTTTATGATAGGAACACCTTATTTTTTTCCTTTATAGTTACATATAACATGTAGATGTACTATAATTTATTCAGTCAATCCCCTGTAGGTAGATATTGGGCTGGCTCCTATTTTTTTTTTTCAGGTTTCATCTTTTTAATCGGCTCCATGAAGGACATCCTAAATACTATGTGAGATACAACAGAATATTTTTTCTTCCAGTATTAAAAAAATGGGACAAACATTTTAAAGACACTCTTCTATATAATCAGTGATCTTGAATAAAAAACATCTCTTAAGTAATCGTGTTGTTGATTAAGATTGCTTATAGGTACATTCAGAAATCACTTTCTGGCCATGACAAACATCATATACAAGTTTTAAAAATGTCCTTAGATACATATTCATTAAAAAAATCAGTCTGTCAAAACTTTTTGTTTTTTGTCAGAAGCAATAATCCTGAGAGCCCAAACAAAAAACTTGATAAAAAGAAAAATATCTGAATTCCACCAATGTCTCAGAATTTGTCTTTAAATGGGAAAAAAATTCTTAAAGAACACATGGGGCTTTCTAAAAGGTTTTTAACAAGCTACCTTGGGAGCTCAATTCAAAAATAAAACTTGATGTACTAAAGCAGATGTTTTATCACAGCTCCAACAATCTTTATTAGCACAGAGATTTGGAAGGATGATCCTGGATCAGAAGTGTTACTCCTTATGTATATTACATGTGTACGTGTCACATCTCAGTTGTCATAATTATCCCTATAATTTCCTCCCCAGTAACGGTCATAACGACCCTGGATGCCACTGTAGTCTCTGGACCATCAGTATCCATGTCCATATCCCCCAGGTTGACTGTCATACCTGCTGCTCCCATATCCCTGGTCCCCGTCACCTCTAGAGTAGCTGTGACCACACCTGTGTGCCCCAAAGACAACCCTCTGGTGCCCCAGGTGGATTTGCCTGCATGGTCCACATGGCTCTGGTGACCATCCAGGCACTCTTCAGTCATGGCTTTCATGGCTGGAGACATGCTCTGCATTGGTGAAGATGATGAAGCCAAAAATCCTGGGATTGTTGAGTCTAGACCCGAAGCTGCTGAAGTGGTCTTCCAGGGCTTGCTCATCGGTTAGCCCTCCCACGAAGAGTGTTCCTTCTTCAGAAGACAAGGCAATGCATTCGAGTCCTGGAAACTTAAAAGCAAAGAGTCCAGACTGGCAACAAGGTCTGAGGAGCAGGAAGAATAGCTTCCAATATTTTTGCTGCTAGTGTCCTTATTTAACTTTTAATTGCAAAACGAAATAGAGTCACAGGGAGTTTCAGAAGTAATACGTGGAGTCCTTTGAATGCTTTCCCTAGAGGAAATGAACCCTCTGGGCTCAAACCCAGGACCTTGCATATGCTAGATAAGCGTTGTACCATTAAGTTACATCCCCAGTCTTTTTTTTTTTTTTAAGACAGGGTCTTGTATGTACTTGAACTTACTATGTAGACCAAGCTAACCTTGAACTCATGATCCTCTTGCCTCATTCTTGTACTGGGATCATTATGCTTGGCTTCTGGTAATGTTTTATGTCATCTATGTACTATCAAAACTAGGGAATTAAGCTGAGTATGGTGGTGCTGAGGCAGGAGAATTGAAAATTTGAGGCCAGCCTGGGCTACATAGCATAGAAGGATCCTTTCTCAAAAACAAATGAACAAACAAACCAAAAACGCTCACTGGAAACTCCACTCATTCGGCAAAATGGTGACACTTGTGGTCCCAGCACTTGGGAAGTGGAAAGCAGGAGGATTGTGAGTTCAAGGCTAGCCTGGACTACCTGGAACCACCCTGTCTCAAAAAATTTTTAAAAAAATCAATTGTGACCACCTGTGTCTTCTAGTTGGTGTGTTTAGTCCAATTTACTTTTAAAGAAATCGTTGCTATGGCTTTGGGTCTACTGCTTTATTAATTGTGCTTTGTTTCTCTGATTTTTTCCTCGAGCTTGCTAGGTGAGTACCACTTGCTCTACCACAAGTCCCATCGTGTTTTTTTATTGTATTTCTTTAAATAGATTTTAGAGCGGTTGCTTTAGGGATTACAGGCTACTCAGAAACTTTTTACTTTGTAGGAACAATGTTTTATTATTTAAGTGAAATGTAGACATTTTATCACCACATAGGTTCCTTTATTCTTCGCTTCTTTGCTGTGTCATGTATTAAGTTTACATGCATTAAAAACCATATCAATTTTGTCATAGTTTCTTTGAGCCATCCAGCATTCTTCAGAGAATACAATGAAAAAATAGTCTAAAATGATAAAAGGAGAAAGGAAAATAAATGAATAAATAAATAAATAAATAAATGAAAGAATAGTCTATCGTCTTTCCGGTGGTATTTGTCATTTCTGTTGGCCTTCTTTCATTTCGGATGCTCCCGAGCTCCTCCTGTTATCATTCTCTTCCTTTAACAGCTCTTTGAGGGACTCTGCTTTTATTGTTTCTGATTTTCCATTTTTATTTTCTTAATTTTTTCCGGTTGACCTGGGGTTTGAACTCAGGGCTTCATGCTTACAAAGCAGGTGCTCTACTGCTTGAGTCATACCTCTAGCCCTCATTTTCTTAATTTTTTATCATCGTCTCAAGCACCTACAGAAATGGAGTGAGTACTGTAAAGAACCCTCAGGTATCATCATCCAGTTTCAAGGATTAATCACAACCAATTTTATTTACCTATACTCCTCACACACCCAACTTCTTTACCCCTGGATTATTTTGAAGAAAATTCACATGACTTTACCCATAAATATTTTAATGTGTTTATCTAAAAAGATAAGAACTCCCATTAAAAATATATCTGTGTTATCATTGTTTGAAATTTAACTTCAATTTCATTTCCTAATATCAATATTTAATTTTTCCTGATTATCTCATCTTTTGTGGAGCTAGGGATGCACCCAGGGCCTTATGCAGGCTGAGCGAGTGCTCTGGAACTAAGCTATACCCCTCCTGATGAAAATCAAATCTGTCCATTTGAATAAGGTTCCAAGTAAGGCACACGTTTCTGCCGGTTAATTTTGTTGCTTATGTCTCTTAACCTGCAGATTTCCCTTCTGTCATTTTTTTCCCCCTGAGATTTCTTTGAAGAAACCAAATTATTCTGTAAATTTTCCATATTCTGTGTTGCACTGATTACATCCTTTTAGGGCCATTTAACGAGTTCCTCTGTCCAGTAATTCCTGATGAGGCTTGATTAGATTTAGGCTTAACTTTTGGCGAGGTTACTTCATAGGTACTTTTGTCTTCTTTCACCAAAAGGCACATAGTGTCTGGCTGTTTCTCCCAACTGTGATGTTCGTAGCCTTTAAGCGTCATTCATTTAGTAGTGGTTGTGAACTGGTGATATTTAAAATTAAAAAGCTACTGAAGAATGGGAGTGGTGGGTGGGGGAACTGTGGGAATGTTGACCCATTGGGGCCAACATCATTTGAGAGTCGCTGCTTAAACTTGAGAGAAAGAGGCCCCAATGGTAAACCGTCTAACATATCAGGAAAAAATTGGGGGGCTGGGGAAACAGGCTCCTGGTGCCAGACTCACATAAGATCTGCCTCTAGGCTCTAAGAGTTATGATCCTGGTCCTTTGCAAAAGGAAGGCTCAGGCTATCTTTCTACCCTTTGGGAAGAAGCTAATCATGCCTCTCCTTTTTTCCTTTCAGCTACTGGATTCGTGGCTGAATTCCCAAAAGGACAATGAGCGGGAACGGGCCATGTGGTGTGTTGCTCGGATTCTTGGTTTCACTGTTAAAATGAATAATTTTGAAGTGAGTGGGTATCTTCCCTATAGCCTGGGCCCTGGTACCCCCTCTGGTCATCTTTATCCCAAACTATATCATGTGTAGCACCTGGCCACAGTCCCCTAGCCTTACCATCCCTCTCCTGGCCCCATCTTCTATTTTCTCTGTGCACCCATCTTGTTCTTTCCTGTCTCCCTCTTTCCTTCCCCCAACATCATCTGGCCTTTTTCTCCCTCTGCTGATTCCATACCACTCCATTTGGTTCAGTCTGCATTCATGCCAATGGTCACCAAACACTTGCCTCATGCCAGGCACTGCTTATGTGCTTTATATACATTATGGAGGAAGCACGGATGACTGAGACGGTTGCTTGTCTTCTTGGATCTTCCAGTTAACTGGAAGAAAGGCATGCACAGAACAGATGGGAGTAGGAGATGATAAGAATGAGCAAAACAAATGTGGCAGGAACAAGATGTCAAAACGCAAATGATTCTAAGTGATGGATCAGGGAAAGTTTCATGAGTGGGATAGCAAGAGGCAAAGAAAGGGGGAATAATCTAAGAGCATTTCCAAACTGTGATCCTATATGGGTCTTATAGCCACAACTTGTCTGTCTAGTGTGTGTGTGTGTGTGTGTGTGTGTGTGTATGAATATGAGATTAAACCCAGGCCCTCGTGTGTGATAAGCACTTGATCTACCACCAAGCGACACCCCCAGCCCTTCCATTCATGTTAATCTCACTTAGTTCTACCCTTGCCTTTTTCTTAGTTCTTTTCCTGTGATAATCTAGCCTGAAGGAGTTTCTGAGATAATTTATGATTCCAGCTCTCCTCCCTAGGTGGAAATCCAGTTCACTCGACTGGGACCCCTGGTGAGGCTGCTGGCCATACGGTGTCAGGACCCAGTGGACAACATCTCCTTCCTGTCTTCCCAGGCTGTTTACAACCTCTACTGCATCCTCTTGCTGCAAAAGCGTATGGAGGGCCTTCTCTCCTCATTCCCCACCCAGCCTCCCATTTAGGCCTGGCCATTCCCACACACTCTGTTCCTGAAGAGTAAGAACAAAGAATTTGCCTGAGTTCTTCAAACATCCACAGATATTTCTCCTTCTTGGGATCAAATACCTACTCAGGCAACAGTCCTTTCAAATTAGTTTCTGCACAGTTCTGTCTTGGTCTGAGGCAAAGGGAGGGTTCTTTTGACATTGACTCTCCCACTCCCGTCATAGGAAATACCTATCCCCAAGCTGGTTTAGTTCAGTCAGTGTTTGTGGTGAGGTCAGGGTCCCTGAACACTTGGAAAGGGGAAGCCAAAGTCTTCTCTGTCTGAGGGGTGGAGCTGGTGTCTTTGTTTCAGAGATGATGAGGAAGAAACAAGGCTTGTGGGAAGAAGAAGACAAGAGTGAAGTCTACAGTGCTCATGTGTTCCATAACAACATCTATGAAATTGCCAAGGTGAGGGTGTGGCCAACACAAGGTGGAGGAGCTTGGCCTTTCACTTACATCACATTATGGACCCCTTGGTAGGACTCTCTCATCCCATCTGACTTCCTTCTCTATCACTGGATGTGAAATTTTTCTTTAGGGGAAATTTTCCCATGCAGTGTTCCATCCAGGATGATCTCTGGAGCACCTCTAGACCTAATCTATTCTTTATGCTCACACCCCAGAAGCATTAGGTCTGATGCTTTGTGTAGCTCCAACTCAAGCCTCAAAGAAATGTCACTAAGGACAGTCCTCTGCCCTATAACCTCTGCCTCAAGCATCACATTGCCAGTGTTTTCTCCTCACACCCCCAAAGACTCTGTCCTGTCTAAAAATGTCCTCTAGGAGCTAAGTAGATAATATAAACCTAGGATGAATGTGTGCCTTGATCCCAAGAGGGGGTCTCCCACATCCCCTAACTCAGAAGGACACACTAAGCCATGTCTGGCAGGGGACCTGTGCATGCCCAGACTAATCCTCCTGTGGCAGGCATTTGCAGAGTACTTCACCCAAATCCAGCTCACCAACCTGGTGCTGATGGCCATGGAGGGCCTGACGGACAGCAAGGCCAAGGTGTCTCTGGCTGCAGCCCAGCTGATGAACGCTGTCATGAAAGAACGGGGCAAAGACGTGATAAAGGTAGTATGGCTTTGTGGCAGGCTCCTGCAAGTCCTGGGTTCTTTTCTGAAGTGCCTTGGGCAAGTCCCTTCTCCTCTGCTGGCCTCATTCACTCAGTTATAAATGTAGGCTTGGATGAGCTCTGACATTGTAATCTTGAGCTTATAGCTGCTCCTGTCTTGGGGCTGCTTCCTCAGTTAATAACAACCACCTTCAGGGGTGCAGGTAGCTGGAGGGCTCAGTAGCCAGAGCATAAGGAAGCATAATTGGGGGATGTACCCTCATTCTTTGGGGCATCAGGGGACTTAGATTGAGGATTGCAAATCAACAAATGCATGGAATGACTTTAAATGGGAAGGGTTTGCATAAAAATCTGCATTTCCTACTTCACTAAAAAATCCCTGGAAAATGGGGTCACATGTGCTCCTCTTTGGGAGGTCACCAACCCTTTTATATGAACTTTATAGGGATGCATAGACTTCCCAAAGGCCACGTATTTGGGACCTGAGGTCCAAGGCAGTTCCTGTGGTCCTCACACCTCTAATACCAGGTGTTTTTGCAGTTTTGTGGGTCAAAAGCTGATGCCAGCTGGGGTGTGTGTTGGGGGAAGCTCTAGAGTGTTCCTTGGGGAGTGTCTTGTTGCTCCTGAGTAGTAGCCCAGGAACTCCTCTCCTCTGTGGACTTTGAGTCTATGGGCAGGCACTTGACCTTGGCACCAGCTTCTGGACTTCATTCTGTGGCCTCTGCTGTTCTGACTTCTGGCATCCTCGGAACTGTGTCTCAAGACAGGATTGCAATGAGGCCCTTGAATTGCAGAAACTTGAGCTGATAGAGGAAGGTAAGAAGGAAGGCTTTGCAGACACTAAAGCTTTCCCCATAGATCGAACAGATTGTGGAGGGGATCCTTGAACGACTCAACTTGCAACAGGAGCCCAGCACCAGGGAGGAGATTCAGCAGGTCATGTGCTCACTGGCAGGCAGCAACACTGATGCTGTGGTGCCCATGCTGCTTAACAAGCCCTTGCCTTGGGACAGGTACTGGGGACACAGCCTGAAACGCAGTAGCCCTTCCGTTGCCCAGCCCATTCCCAGAACAAAATCACTGCACATAGATGCTTTCTCCCTTCCTTCTCTTTGATCCCAGCGAAGCCTCATTTCCATGTTCCTCATTGGTCCCACTCCCTCCAGCCCCTGAGTACTGGCTCTTTAAGGGTCTATGACTGAGACGTTCTGGGAGCACGGTCAGCATGGCCCATGACCTACCTGTCCCTGGGTCCTGCAGAACCAAACTGACCTTGTGGAGAACATTTGGCACCCAGCGAGGGACCACCATCAAGATCCTTCAGCTACTCATCAATATCCTGGAGAAGAACCCCAGGGAGGACACCAAGGAGATGGCCTTCCAGCCCGTGGCGGTCAGTGCCAGGCAGGAGAGGGACTGGGAGCTTCAGGGTAGTGCTGAAGATCAAAGGGCTTGGTCTGAGGGGCCAAGTAGGCATTGGGGAAGGTCAAGGTGGAGAGGGTTAACACTGGAATTATTAATACTGTATTTTGGATTAGCTCTTTAGCCTTTGGAACTGAATGATGGAGGGTGGGCAGGGATTAATACTGTTTTATGGACAGGAAGTTGATACTGCAGGGTTAATCAACCTTTTCTGAGTCCTGATTCTAGGGATGACATCATTTTGTTGGTAGCCTGGAATGTGCATGGGGGATAAGAGAGAAGTTTAATTGTTTGGAATTGGGGTGATAAAGTTTGTCCCAAATCATCTTTTGCTGGATTGGTTCAACTATTTTATTTCCCTCCCTCCCTCCCTCTCTCCCTCCCTCCCTCTCTCCCTACCTCCCTCCTTCCCTCCTTCCCTCCCTTTCTTCCTTTCTCCTTTGTGGGCTTTTACTATATTGCCCAGGCTGGCCCCAAATGCCTGGGTTCAAGCAATCCTCCAGCCTCAGCCTCCTGAGTCACTGGGAACCACAATGCCTGCTCCCTGTTCATTTGTAATGTCAAGGGAGCAGAAGAGAAAGCAGATAGCATTTCCCTAGGACTGGGGTATGGGTTTTCAGTTTGGGGCATTTCCTACAAGGTGGAGTCAAAAATAAACTGCCCCCATCAGGCAGCTGTAGGGAGCACAGGGCTAAGTCCAGCCTATGCTCTCAGTGTGAGGAATCCTGTCAATTCTGCTTTCCCATCTCCTAGGTAACATGTGCCTTGTGTGAGATGCTGTCAGGGCCTCCCAGCCAGGAGGCCGTCAGAGAACTGTATCCCCGGCTGCTGCTGGCTGTGCTATGTCATCTCTACTGGGTGATTGAGCAAAGTCCTCCCCAGAATATGTTGGTTTACAGCAAGGAGGGCGCCCTGGGCAGCAAGAGCAAGCCCTTTGACCCTGCTAGGTAAGCCTGGCCTCCATGTAAAGGAGGAATGGAAATAGTTGCTGAGAGCCCTGGATAACCACATGCCGATCCCTTCAGGATGCCAGGAAGGAGCAGTAGAAGGGAGGCAGCCTAGGGGTGTGGGTGCTGCAGCACGGACACTAAAATACTCTCACAGATTTCCAAATCTGCCACTAATCCTATTATTGCATACAGCCTTCTGATTCACACAATTCATGTTCATAACCACGCATGAAAAGATTCAGGTTAGATGGCAAGTGACAGCCGCAAGACGATGGCGTTTTTTTCTTGTGGGTTTGACCATTTGAGACAGTCTGGCTGGCCTCTGGCTTGACTGTGTCACTGGCCTCATTCAAGTCACTACTAGACTTCATTTTCCTCATGTGTGAAATGGAGGGTTAGACTCCTGAATAAGTGGTTAACATATTGTTTTGGCTTTTATATCAGAATGTGTAATTCCAGTGAAATCTTACATGAAAGTGAAAGCAATAGAGCAGAGATATTCTGATTAGGTAGATGCGGACATGAGGAGAGTCCCTAGCCCTGCTTCTGTGTCCTGGAGAACATAATTGAAAACCATGGCACTTGACATCTCCATAGCCTCTTTCACAGGACTCTAGTTGGTCGAGGACCAGAGTTGGAGGAGCGAGTAGAAGAGAAAATTGCTGATGGTTCCTCAGAACCATCAGCAGGAAGGCAGAACCTTGCATCCAAAGTCAAGAACTGTCTGCTAGTTTGCCAGCAGAGGAGTGCAAGCCAGGGCATAATGCCTTGTTTATTCTTCTGTCCCTTCCTTTTCACAATGGTGGTGGCTTTCAGTTGTACCTTGGAGGTAGTGAAGTTGGTGTTCATGGCGGCTGCATATGATAGCGTGGTGATCTATGCCAGTGAACATCACTGCTGGGACCTTCTGTCCAGCCCCAAATCTTACTACATAGGGATCATGGACTTGACAAGGTGAGACCTTTCCCCCAACCACCTTTGTATCCCAGTCGTCTGACCCCCCATCTCCCAGTCCCAGCACTCAAATATAGTAGCCCCCAACCCTCCCTTTTCCGTCTCCTGGCCTTCTGGTCTCTGATTCCACAGCCCTCATGTCTCCCCTGTTCTGAGTACACTGGTTCCTGGTCACATCCACCAACTCCTGGCTTCCTGTTTCTCATCCCAGTGGCATCGTGAAGAACTGTGAAACCTTCATCCTGCACCGATTCCTGAACCGTGTCAGGAACATGCTCTATAGCTTGGATCACCGCCAGAAGGTCACGGCCAGGACCTTCTACGTGCAGGTGAAAGCTGGGGAGAGGTCAGCCACACTAGCCATTCATTTCTTGCAACTCAGGAGCCACTTAATAGACTTAAAAAAATTTTCCTAGAAAATAGGAAGGACTAGAATCAAGACATCTAAAATGGGGCTCCCTTCCTTGGCATTTTAGGGGCCTGGTTAAAGGAGGCAGGGAAAATCTGGACAGGAGACTAGCAGATCTAGAATGATCCATGGATCCTAGCTCAAAATCTAAGTCTCATCAGCATTGTCTCCTTCTTGTTGGTCTCTAACCCCATGTGCTTTCAACTGGACACAGGCCTGAATTGAGAATGGGGCCTGAGGGCAGGCTGGGGGAGCACTGGGTACCTATGATACTTTCTCTATCCATAGCTATGATCACCTCACCCTTACAGCTCCTCTGGCATCGAACAGTGGCAGAGACCCTGGGTCAAGACTGTGTGGACAATCTAGTCAGGTGGATCAAGGAACCCAGCCTCATTATGAAGGAAATTGGTCTCCGAGGAATCAGTAACCTGGCACTGCACCCAAAACATGTAAGGGACTGGGAGGACTGGGGTCCAGTGCTGGTCTCCGAAGCACTGGATCCCCCTCTCTTGGGTCTCTCAGTTGCCCATGCCTTTGTATATTCCTCAGCCCCCTGTCCCAGGGCTCCTTGTTTTCAGGTCTCCATAGACTGGTCCTCACCACCCAGAACCTTCCCTTTCCATTTCTTCCATATCACCTCTACAATTCCCATGTTGGTCTCACTTAGGTGCCATCTATTTTCTCAAAGCCTGTCTGCAGATACTGTGTGATCTTTGTGATTGATCAGTGATCTCTGCCTTTTCCTAAATAGTCAGAGGCTCTTAAGAGCCTGGTTCCACTGTTGAGAGACTTCCTGAAGAATGAGGCGCGAGTGACAGTGCAGGCGGTGAAGGCCCTGAGGAACATCATCTACCACAGGCTGGGGGAGGACACCAAGCTGATCTTTTGTAGCATCTCCAAGCAACTGTGTCCACTCATCAATGATGTATGGGTCAACGTTCCTGAACTGGTTGGAAGCAATACAGGCTGGGGCTGAAGATGAACCTTGGAAGCTAAACTAAGAGTATTGGGTTTTGGTTCAGGGATTGTGGTTGAAGACTGAAATAACTGTGAGGCAGAGAAAAGGAGATTTGGATTCTTAAAGCAGTGCATAGGACACCCTAAATGTCTCATCACATCAGATGTGGCACACGTTCATTCACTTGTTCTCTCATCAGAAATTCCCCAAAGAAGCCATTGTTCCAAAAATACAAAGCCACATACTGATAGGAAATTGATTCTGGTTCCCAGCAATTTTCTCCAGCAGACTTCACTCATGCTATGAAGACTAGAGAAGATAATAGCTCTGTCCTCCTACCACACAATACGAGGTCTTTAGAATGCTAGGATTCTTGTGGCAAGAGAAATTTAAGAGTCAGAAACTTGAATTTACCAATATTCACACCCCTTATCCTCCTCACTCATCATAGAATTGTAGATTGGGAGGGACTTCACATTCCTGAAATAGACATGCTTATAGGAACTCCCGCTCTGGCATTTATGATGTTTTCTAGCTGTGAACCTTGGGTTTGAATTATTTATATATTAGTCTCATCTCTTCTATGACCCTAGACACCCCAAAATGGCAAGGACACTGTCTGATTCATTCAGTTTGTTTTTAAAAGTCAGAATGTACACTTGACTTCACAAAGCCTGAAGATAATCTTTTTCCTCCATTCAAATAACATGAGCCTTACAATGCTATATATCTATATATCTGTATATAATCAATCTCTCTCTTTCTTTCTATTTCTAGAATGATAGCCATAAGCCACTGGAACCTGGCGTACCGTCTTATCTTATGTTATATGATAATGGTGTCTAGCACTTAAGTTCAACTTCCTTTTTAAATCTCTTGGTCTGATCCTTGCATCCCCATCATTGTGACTGTTATTATCTTACATAGTCAACATTCCCTTGGGTTTATCTACATATATGTTTGCAAATTCTTTTGTTCACCTTTTCCTCCTGCAGCTCTGTCCTCCATTCTAGATTCATTTTCCTCTGTGGTTTCCTTTGTGGCTCCGTTCTGTCTTGATCTAGAAATGTCTAGATGTCTTCGTTTTGCCTCTTGTTTGTGTTCCGTTCTCAGTGGTTTCTGTTGTGTCTAGGTGTACATTTCTCTGGTTTTAGCTTGTTTGGGGTTCACTGAGTTTCTTGAATCCCTAAGTTTCTATCTTTCACCAAACTTGGGAAATTTTTAGTGATTACATCGTCAAAAAAATTAAGTGTCACAGGCTTTCTTCTCTTCCTCTTTGACACAAATGTCTTATGAGTCACAAGATTCTTTTTGCTTTCAATCATTTTTCTCTTAGTTCAGATTGGGTGATTTTTGTTGATCTGTCTTCAAGTCCACTAATTCTTTCCTCTGACATCTCCATTTTGCTACTTAATTTTGTATTTCTCAGTTCAAAATTTTCTACTCTTTTCTTCTCTCACATGTGTAGCACACAATTTAAACTTCTTTTTTCTTTTCTGGTGGTGCTGATTCAGGGCCTTGTGCTTGCTAGGCAGGTACTGTACCACTTGAGCCACTCTACCAGCCTTAATTCTTTTTTTTCAGGCCTGGGGTTTGAACTCAGGGCTTCATACTTACAAAGCACACACTCTACCACTTGACCACACCTCCAGTCCATTTTGCTCTGGTTATTTTGGAGATGGGATCTTGTGAACTATTTACCGAGGCTGGCCTCAAACCGAGATCCTCCTGATCTTAGCCTCTCAAAGTAGCTAGGATTATGGCACACAGTTCTTTATATCTTCTTCTTTTTTTTTTTGCCCAGACTTTCTATTTCTGTATTCATTTCAGGAGGGTTTACTGTTGCTCTTTAGAACACTTCATATAATAACCACTTTAAGGTTCTGCTTGTGTGTTTGGAGGTAGAGTCTGTCTTACCCAGGCTTATCACAAACTCCTAGATTCCAGTGATTTTCCTTGGGAGACTCAGCCTCCCAAGTGCAGTGCATACCACCATCCCCAGCTCACTTTAAATTCTTTTTTTTTTTTTAATTTTTTAATTTTTATTTTTTTTTTCCTCTTTTTTTTTTTTTCATTTTTCTTTTATTATTCATATGTGCATACAAGGCTTGGTTTATTTCTCCCCCCTGCCCCCACCCCTTCCCTTACCACCCTCTCCACCCCCTCCCGCTCCCCCCCTCAATATCACTTTAAATTCTTTATCACATAATTCTAACATTTTGACTTTGGCATACCCGTTGTCTTTTCCTGTCTGAGTTAAGATTCTTCTGGTTCCTTGCATGCTGAATAATTTTGGGTTGTATCATGGACATAATGAATATTACAGGACTTTGAGGGCTAGGGGTGGGCTCAAGTGGTAGAGCACTTTCCTCAAGAAGTTCAAGATCCCGAGTTCAAACTTCCCCTCTAAAAAGAGAATGACTATTATGAGACTTTGAAGCTTCCCCTGAGAGTACTGACACTTTTGTTTCAGCAGGCTATTGACCTGTGTAACTTCAATCTGCAAATTGTGACTGACTAGTCTTCTATGGGATATAACTCCATGCCAGTTCTGAGTTCAAAGTCTTGCTACTGAATTTGTGCTACAAATGGCCAGTCTGGGACCTGACAGTAGGCTATTCTGTAGCTCAGTTCTAGTCTGTGGTATGCTGTTTATGGAGCTCAGAAACAACTTTGTAGGAGCACTTTCTCAATTACTTCCTCTCTGCAACTTCTCTGGTGCTCCACAGTGCCCTGGGGCTCCCTTTCTCTGGCCTTCTGGTCAGAGAGCTGGGCTTTAGTTACCGCGCAATGCCAGGCCCTTCTATGACTATAGCACATCTGGTGCTTAGTGGCAGGAAGGCAGAGAGAGTGGGGAGCAACAGGTATTTCCCCACCTTCCTTGCTCATCTGAATGTAAAGTTTCTCTCCCTCAGAGTTTTGACTCCTGCAGGCTTCCATCCGTGAGCTGAGGGAGAGACTACAAAAACAAATGAGGGATTTCTCCACTTTCTCTGAGCATTTTGAGTTCTCTTGCTGGGTTCTAGAGCCTGGTTACCAGGGCTTCTCCTAGAACTCTGTCTGCAGCCCACCATGGCTGGCTGGCTTATCTATAACTGATGATTCAGTAGATAGTACAGTGCTTGCCCAGGGTTGTGGAGATTAGTAATGTCTCCTCCCACAGGGGCAGCTGCTTCCTTTTTGGTCCCCGGGGACTTCTCTTAATTTCTTGAAAGCTTAGCTACCCATTTGAAAATATTTCTGGCATTTTTATTCAGTAGTTAAAGGTGTTCATAATGGGAAGGTTGTTATTGTCTCCATTGCTGAATGTGGAAATCAGGATTTTAGGCCTATTCAAGAAATATTAAGTGGTCACCATCTGCACAATGTCATCCTGATGACCTGGGAAGAGTGTAGCAGAGGCACCTCCTGACCATTCGCTTAGTCTGCAGAATTGAGGAGGCTCCCTTATGCAAGGCTATGGTTTTATCAACATTATCTTCTGTCTTTTTGTTGTGGTTAATTTGGCTTCTTTTCTTTCTGTGATGGTTTTTGGAGCTTCTTTGGGTTTATCCTCCCTGCTTCCCCTCCCTCCATTGCTTCCTTTCTTTCTGTTTCTTCTGAGACAGGCTCTTGCTATGTAGCCCAGGCTGGCCTTGAACTTGCAATTCTTCTGCCTCAGCCTTTAATTTTTCTTTTATATTTCTCATCAATTTGTCTACTTGGGAAGAATTTCTGGAATGACTCTCCTCTTACAAATTCTCCTTTTTAACTGATTATTCTATTAAACTCATTGACTGATTATCATCCGTGAGCACTTTGCCTTTTATGTGTTTTTAATGACACAGCTGCTCTTTATTTCTCTCTTCTGTTTCATGGTGTGGTAGCTCAATAGCTATTATGTTATTTTATGGCAGTATCACTTTTTTTAGTCTATATTGATTTATCTATAATGTCAAAGTTCAAATTTCTAAGTACTTTAAAAATGAACTCAATATCTTAAGAGAAACAAAAACCTTTCTGAGGATTCAGTTATTAATTATGTCCTTGGATAACTAGAGGTTTTTGTGTATCTCTAGAATGTTGTTCAGAATAGTGCTGGGCTGTTCACCACTTGATGGCTGATATGATACTCAGGAGATGGGAATGGCAGGAGGGACTCAGGTTTCATCCCTGGAGGTGGGAATGAGAAGAGGGTCTCCCTCAGTTTTCTAGTTTCCACACTTATTCCAGGAATTTGAGATTCACAGTGAAAAGCATTTCAGAGAGCCTCATAAAAAAGAGTGTGTCACGAGGTAGGCACTTTATTAAGAATTTATTGTAACAAAACAGGGTAAGGTATGAAGAATAGTCTAGCGACATATTTAGACAATCTGTCAGAAGGTGAGAGATAGAGCTGGGTGCTGGGGACGCACGCTTGTAATCCTAGCTACTCAGGATGCAGAGATCAGGAGGATCATGGTTCCAAGCCAACCTGGGCAAATAATTCTCGAGACCCTATCTCAAAAAAACCCATCACAAAAAAAGGGCTGGTGGAGTGGCTCAGGGTGAAGGCCCTGAGTTCAAACCCCAGTACCGCAAAAAAAAAAAAAAAAGATGGGAGCTAGAACTCCAAGGGAGGTCTTGGACCTAGGGTGGACCTATTTATTAACTGGACTAGAGGTTTCCAGTTCAGAACTAGTCAGCTGGATGTCTGGTCACCTAGCAACTTCCCAATTATCATGTTTTGATCCTATCACTCAACCTGGAGACAAACAGTCTGGGTTGGCTTTAGAATCAAAGAATTTTGTGACATGGGTGTGTCTGTTCTTTATGGTCCTTTTAAAGGTATTTTTCCTGGTCACAGAATTACAAAAAAGCCAGGCACTTTCTATTCCAGGACCTAATTACTCATCTAGAGGCAGTGTGTCTTATTTAACATCTAAGATAGAGGGGAGGGTGAGGCAGGAATGTAGGTCTGTGCATTCCTGAAGAGCTGATTCAGTTCCTTGCTGGTCTAGTGATTTTTTTTTTTTAGCCTTATTTTTTGGTTCATCTTGACTCTTGAATCTGTCTTAATTTTTGACATATTTTCTAATTTTCCTGTTTCCTTACCCTAGCTATCCTACCTTAGTTTAAGAGGGGGCTGGCATCTTAGAAAATGTAGGGTACTATCATCCCTGAAGTCCCATCTTGGAGATTCGGGTCAAAAGTAGACTACTGCTGAGCTGGGTCATTGTCAACCTTGTTCTTCTCCTGAACGTGGCAATGGACCTCAGCCTCCTGGAACCTGCTCCTGTAGTTCTTGCAGACAGGCATCCTCGTAGAACTAAAGACTAAGGGTGGGTGGCTGTGGCGGGTGTTCAAAGGTCTTCAACTCTTCTGGGTTCTGTAAATCCAAAGAAAGACTTAGTGTTAACATTCTAACCATTTAGGTGGGGCTTCTCTTTCGAATTTAGAATGGGGGGGACAAAGGGGAGGGATACAAAAGGGCCAGGGAGGGATAAAAACCTTGAGGAAGGGCAAGTGCAGAGAGGCAGCCTGGCTGCAATTCCTTTTGTAACGTTGTATTTTGCTAGGTGTGTGCCAACTCTTGGTAGTGATTTCTATCATTTCTGTACTAGAGATTTCTGAGCTCTCTCCTTTTATTCCAGCCCTGTCAGCTGTTGGTCTTTCAGGGAGACATTAGTTCTTGGGGACCCTGTCTAGTATTTCAGATTTATTATGAATTTAAAAGTACATCTCTAGTATTTCTTCTAGAGATGTGGGGCAAGAGGGGATGACTGAATAACCCTCAATCACCCATCCTGGGCTGCTCTGCATGTGATACTTTTTCTCTATTTTTATTTTTTAATTTTTTAACTTGCTTTGATAGTACTGGGGTTTGAACTCAGGGCCTCACACTTGCTAGGCAGGTGCTCTACCATCTGAACTATACCTGGTTATTTTGGAGATAGTGTCTCAGTTTTTGCCCAGGCTGGCCTATTTTATGCCTTAGCTGGGATGACAGGCACATGCCACCCTATCATTGAGATGGGGGTTTCACAAACTTTTTTTTTTTTCTTTGCCTAGGCTGGTCTGAAACCACAATCCTCTAATCCCAGCCTCCCATGTAGCTTGGGATGATGGGTGTATGCCACTGAGCCCAGCTACTGGTGTCCTAAACTCCCTGCCCGGACTGGCCTTGAAATGAGATCCTCCTAATCTTGACCTCCCAAGTAGCATGAGCCACAGGGGTCCAGCTTACTTTTTAATTAAAAAAAAATTTTTTTTGCTTGTTTTGTTTTGCTTTTGAGACTATGGCCTCGAACTTGCATTCTCCTGACTTTGCCTCCCAGGTGCTTAATTTATTTATTTTTGGTGGGGGACCGGGGGTCATAACTCAAAACTCAAGTGGTAAAGCAAGTGCATAGCAAGTCCTGAGTTCAAACCCCATTATTACCAAAAAATAAATATATACTATATATATATACATTATATAATGTATATATGTTATATATATATACATATATAATGTATATATATTTTATATATAATGTATATATTATATATATACAATGTATATAATATATATATTATATATATATATATATATATATATATATATTTTTTTTTTTTTTTTTGTGGTGCTGGGGATCAAACCCAGGACTTCATACATGCTAGGCAAGTGCTCTACCACTTGAGCCACATGCCCAGTCCTCCCTCTGTTTTTTAAATTAAAATATTAACATGGGGTCATCTCTGTGTTTAGCCATTGTGCTATCATGTGTATACCTAACTTGTTGAAGTGTCTGCATTTGTTTTGAGGGACTCTGTTCGCCCATCATGTTCCTGTTATTTGGCACTGGGCCTACCTCATGATAGGTGCTCAATCTTCGTTCAGTCTGCATGTAATATATCCCTAAATGTGTACAGAGCTGCTTAAGATCATTGTTAATGCAAGCTCATGTAGGTTTAAACAAGTTTATTCACAGTGCAAGCATGATAACTATATATATAACTATATATATTAATAACTATATATATATATATAAAAATTTGGCCTTCTTGTGCTACCAGAAGGGGACAAAGTTACAAGCTATAGATATGGTCCAAGGTAGAACAGACCAAGGGTGACCTTGGTTCCCTGGCATTGTGCCTTAATTACTCAGACACTCAGTCCTAGTGCCCTTGCCTGGAAACAGTGAGATCAGCCAGTGGGCTTTGGGCATGGAGGATGAGAAGTGGGAGGAAGGAAGCCAGGTCAGGAGGGGCCAGAGAAACGACTGACTTTCATCTCCACTCTTGTGGCAGGAGAGGGACCAGGTGAGGATCTCAGCCACCTCTTCCCTGGGCCACATGCTCCGTCGACTGTTCCAGTTCAAGCCTGGAACCAGTGTCCGAAGGGAGATCTACACTTTCCTTGTCCCGTTGCTGCTCAGCCTACAGGACAACAATATCCAGGTGGTCAAGGTAGAGGTCATCTTTGTTCTGCCAACCCCAGGCCTGACTCCTCCCCACTTTCTGCTGGAGCACAGCCCCCTGGCCTTCCCTCTGACTCCTTTTCCAGTGTGGCCTGTTCATTCTACATCTGCCTCTTTTCCATCTTCCTCTGGCGGGCTGGCTGTGGGTTTGCAGATCCTGACTTCATGGCCTTCCGCTCACCTCTGGCCTGGTGAGTCACACAGCTGGGGACTCCCTTCTCTTCACCCATAGGCCTGTGGAGGGGCCCTGTCTGAGTGGGCTAACGTGATTGGCTGGTCATCACTCATACAGATGTTCCGACACACCACTCTCAGTGATCACATCCAGGTACTAGAAGAAACGTGCAGTTTCCTGGTGAGTGAGTCTCTCAGGAAGCTCAGCTATAGCATTGGCTCTGGGCACTCAAGGACAGGCTGGGTGAGCAAAGAGCAGAGGGCTGACTAGGGTTCCCTGCTTCTCATTCTGTATCATTAGCAAACTCTGAGACCATGTTTGGGTTGCCAGTCCCTGGTTCCCTGTAGTGATCCTTCTAGAATCACCATTTTTGCCTCAGAGGCTGGGTGGTCACCCCAGGCTACTGGATGGTGACAGGACAGAGGTCTTCTGGTTAGAGTGCTAGGAAGAGATGTGGGAGGGACTCTTCAGGCCTTTAGGTCAGTAATCAAGATGTTGAGAGTCAGCAACTCCAATGAAATCAAGCACAGGCCAGAGACCAGGAATCCTTGTTGAAAAGTAAACAAGTGTTTAGCAAGTTGGGCGTGGTGGTACGTGCCTGTAGTCCTAGCACTTAGGAGGCTGAGGCAGGAGGATCATGAGTTCAAGGTGATCCTGTCTTAAAAAAGAAAAAAAAAACAAAAACCAAAAGTCAGTTAGGAACTAACATAAGTAATTCTAATATTATGAAACCCTTATCTAGGTAGAGCACTTTACAAAGCACTTTGACATTCGTTACCCCACTGAAGCCTTATAATTATATGAGGGAGGTTGGGAAGGTTTCCTATCCTCCCTCCCTCCCTGCCTTCCTTCCTTCCTCCCCTCCTCCTCCTCCTTCTTTTCTCTCTCTCTCTCTCTCTCTCTCTCTCTCTCTCTCTCTCTCTCCCCCTCAGATTAGACCCAGGACTAAACACATTCTCAATTACTGAGCTACATCCCTAGCTCCTGGGTTCTATGTCACCTCTACAGATGACATAGATGAGTAACCACAAGTGTCAGGGCCTGTGTTCAAACCTGGGTCTCCCAGCTCCACCTGTCTTCTCCCTTATCCTGCTGGCACATGGGAGCAAATTTCTCTTTATGAACTTCATACTGGGTTTGTGTGGTGCTGGGAGCAGGGGCAGGATGGGGGTCTGAGGATGCAGGTTCAAGCAATCAAAGGGACAAAAGACTGATGGATGCTGCTGTGGACAGGGTGTGAGGCAGGGTTCCAGGGCTGCCCTCTAATGGTCAGCATGGCCCATCTTCGCTCCACAGGTCTACACAGTCAGACATTATCTCCTGGGGGTGTTACTAACCCAGAGCTTCAGCTTTCTGAAGAGCCCTCAAGTGTTCCTCCGGACAGCCGCACTCAACTTCATAGGTAATGCACTGGCACCAGACCATTGCTGCAGGGAGTCTCCTGACCTTCTGCTAAAGTGCTAAGCCAGACCACAGTGTGATGTGTGACCTGTGACTGTGTGACAGAGATCACTTTCCTTAGCTTGATCTGATCAGAGAGGTTGACCTGGGGCCAGGCCTCCAATTCTGATTTTGAAAGGCTCAGGAGAGGACAGGAGGTTCCTGTACCCCAGCTCTGTGTCCCCTACCCCCCCAAACACACTGTCTGGGCTTTGCTTTGGCAGGGCTGGGGTTTGAACTCAGTGCCTTTGGCTTGCTAGGCAGGTGTTCTACCGCTTTGCTCCAAACCCCTAGCCCTTTTGCAAATTTTAATGGGTTTCATTATACTATTTTCATAATACATATAATGCACTTTGATCATTCAGCATTATTTTTAATGTCTGCATAAAATTAATTCCATTGTATGGATGACTTTATGAAGTGATGTATTTAATCAGTCTATTCTTGTGAATATCTGCACTCATTATTTCAAGCAGGATGGAGTGGCAAGTTTCTGCCTGCCATCATGATTAGTTCATGAAGATAAATTTCAAGTAGAATTGTATGCAGAAATTTAAGGATTTTGATGTTTGTTGCAAGCTGCTCTCTGAAAAGACTGAACCCTTTTCTCCTCCCATCAGTACTGTAGGCAAGTATCCATTTCTGTGGACACTTGCCAACCCTGGGTAGTAGTTTTAAATTCTTGATCAACTTGATAGATGACAGATAGTGTCTTGTTTTGATTCATAGCATCTTTGGAAAACATTTATTAGGACGCCATTAAAAGGGATGGATTGGGGGCGGCTACATGAAGGAGCATAAGTGCCAGTAGTATTTTTTATCCTCACCTAGGGGAAATTCTTTCCTATCTTGATTGGCAGTGTGTGTTTGACTTTTGCAAATTAGCTGCCTCGTGTCCACCTCTCTATTGGTGTGGACCTCATGAAGTTTAATGCCCAGGACTCATGCTCTGCTTGCCACCTGCTGACAGCAGTTTTTGGGTTACAGCCACTCTGAGGGTTATTCTTTTACTAAAACGTTAACATTTAGGCTACAAGGCATTTCTTAGATGTTTTTCTTGCTAACATTGGTTTTTAAATGCTCACTTCTTGTTCAGTACTGAGCCTGGGGAAAGGGATGGCCTAACGGCCCAGGAAATCTAGAAGGGCTTGTCTTGTTTTTAGGGTTAACAACTAAGAAAATAAACATGAGCCACATTCAGGAGAGTGACGTGCAGCTGGTACAGAATGGTGAGTCTGTGCCTTGCCCTATGTTTGGGTTCTGAGTTCCAGTAGCGGGGAGGGGGAACGATCCAATGGACTATTGGGAAATTTCGTCCTTTTTTTGGTGGCACTGGGATTTGAACTCAGGGCCTCAATGCTTGCTAGGCAGGTGCTCTAAGCTTAGGCCACTCCACCAGCCCTTTTTTGTGATGGATATTTTTTGAGCTAGGGTCTTGAGAACTATTTGCCTGGGACTGACTTCGAATCACCATGCTCCTGACCTCTGCCTGCTGAATAGCTAGAATTATAGGTGTGAGTCACCAGTGCTTGATGGGAAATTTCTTAGGAACATATTTTATTATTTTAAAGTGCATTTTTTACTATATAAATATAATGTAGAAGAGTATAAAATGGAAGACAGTAGCAAGAAGAAGGAAATTATTTGTTTTCTTTCCAGTTAGATGAAAACACTGCTGACATTTTGGGGACATTTATTACATGCCTTAGCTACTTGTGTTGCAGTGGTGTTTAAGACAGATAGTCCCTTCCCCTAAAGAGTTTAGTGTTTTGGCTCAGTGTGGTGGTATATGCCTATCATCTCAGCTACTTGGGAAGTGGAGGTAGGAGGATTATGGCCCAAGGCAGACTGGGAGAAAGCATGAGCCCTATCTAGAAAAAGTAAATTAAAAAGGGCTGGGGTGTGACTCAAGTGTTAGAGCACTTGCCTAGCAAATATAAGGCTCTGAGTTCAAATCCCAGCACCAGTCGAACAAAACAAAAGAACTTGCTGGGTTTTTGTTTGTTTGTTTTTGTTCTTTTTTTATTGCATGAAAACATTTTAACATTAATTTATATTTATAGAAGACACATGAATATAGTCTCTTTGCAAACAAAAATAGAAACATGTCAATAAGAGTAAAGGTCCATTTACCCTCCATGCAGTCTTCTTCCTTTTCCTCCTCTCCTCCCAGTTTTCAGTCTAGTCCTGACTTCTTTTCCTGTGTACGTTATATGTAAATATCCATATATGCATGCTGAATGCAGTATGCATACATAATGTATATAGTTTATATTGCATTAGTCAGCTTTTTATTACTGTAATAATTACTTGAGCTAAATCAACTTAATAAGTGAAAAGGTTTATTTTGCTCATAGTTCAGAAGTTTTCAGTCCATGACTGATTGGCCCATTGCTTTGGGCCTATGGCAAGGCAGCACATCATGGAGGGGAGTGCATCAGGAGCAAACTCTTTACCTCATAACTGCTGTGAAGTATAAAGAGAGGAAGAAAGTTGGGCATGATGGTGTGCACCTGTAATCCCAGCACTTGGGAGGCTGAGGCAGGAAGATCATGAGGTCAAGGCCATCCTAGGCTACATAGCAAGACCTTATCTTAAACCTTTGCTGCCTACCCCTTTCCCCCCCACACCAAAAAAAGAGGAAAAAGAAGAAACTGTTGTTTCATAATCTCCTTCAAGGGCACACCTCCAGTTACCTTAGACATCTCACTAGGTCCCGCCTCCTAAAGCTAGTCTTGAACACATGGGCCTTTGGGAGACATTTCAGATCTGAAGTATAGCAAGTGATAGTTCCATAGTATAGTTTAATTTCCTACCTAGATGAATGTTCAAGTTATTTCTAATGTTTTGCTATTCAAACAATGAGACTATGAACGTTCTTTTTTTCTTTTTGTGTGACTGGGATTTGAACTCAGGGCTCTGCACTTACCAAGCAGGTACTCTACCACTTGAGAGCTGCTCAAGTGCATTTTGAGCTGCTCGTCCAGTCCATTTTGCTCTGGTTATTTTGGCCATGGGCTCTTGAGAACTATTTGCCTGGGCTGGCCTTGAAACTTGAGTCTCCCCATCTCAGCCCCCCAAGTAGCAAGGATTACAGGTGTAAGTCACCAGCACCTGGCTAAATATTCTTATATATCTCTTTATATAAATTTGTAAATGTTTCTCCAGGCTGGAGACCAAAAAGTACTTTTTTTAATGCATATTTAGTTTAACAGAACTTAAAACAGTTTAACCTTCTCTGTTATTTTGACAGTAATTCTAATTGCCATCTTTCCTAATTGTGCCAGCCAGCTTTCTGTCACTATGACAAAATACCTGAGACAACTCATTAGGAAAGGTTTATTATGGCTCATGGATTCAGACATTTCAGTCCCTGATTATGTGACCCTGAGTTTTTGAGCCTGTGGTGACACAGTACACTGTGGTGGAAGAGCATGGCAGAAGGTAACTGTTCACCTCATGGAAGTGTGGAAGCAAAGAGAGAGGAGAAGGGGCCAGGATCCCAAAATCTTCTTCAAGGGCACACCCCCAATGACCTAACTCCCTATTAGGCTCCGCCTCTTAAAGCTTCCACCGCCTCCCAATATTGCTGCAGGCTGGTGACCAAGCCTTTAGCACAGCCTTTGGGAGGGATTCAAACTATGGCATGTAACTCATGGGCTTCTGTTACCCATTATTTTGGTTCTCTCTCCCTTTTCAAACTCAGAATTTAGATGCTGTGGTTGTTATTTTATACAAAGTGTTTAGATTTACACGTATTCCTCACCACTTCTTTTGTCTTCTCCAACCATCCTTTCCAGACCATTTTTCTTCATCCCAGAGCGCTAGAAGTTTCTTTGGTACTGGTATCTAGGTGGTATGCTTATGGATGCTTATTTGCAAAATTCTCTTTTTACTCTTATTCTTGAAAGACAGCTTTAATGGTGCCATAATTCTATTTCAGCATTTTGGGGACATTATACTTGTGTTTTCTGGCTTTCCTTATTGTCATTGAGGAGTCTGAGGTTAGTTGTTTTGTTATTTTTAGGTCTTCTATAATTTTTCTCTGGCTGTTTTAGGATTTTTCTTTTTCTTTTCTTTCTTTCTTTCTTTTTTTTGGTACTGGGGATTGAACCCAGGGCCTTCACTCATTCTGCCATTTGAGGTACACCCCCAGTCCTTTTAAAATGCTTTTTTGTTTTTGAGACAGGATCTCACTACCTTTGTCCAGGCCAGCCTCAAATGAGAGATTCTCCTGTCTCCAGCTCCTGAGCACCTGGGATTATAGGTGTGTGCCACTATGCCTGAGAGATTTTTCTTTTTCTTTTTAGTTTTCTACAGAAGTATAGAGAATTAATATTCATAAGCTCAAACATATCCATTCTGCAGAAGGGCCAGGAAGAAGGGGCCAGCATTCCTATATCCTGGGATCCTGTATCAGCTCATGGTTACCCTGTTTTTCTTCTACTTCCCCCACTATAAACTCTCTGTCAGGATTATTCTGAGTCAAATCCTGGACTTGATATTATTATATCCATAAATATTTCACTACATATTTCTAAATAATACTTTTTAAAATTAAAGCATCAAAATTATAATGGACTTATTATGGATGCAAATTATGCCTAAATTTTTAAGATAAAAAGAGGTTCCCATCTATCTATCTTCCTTCCTTCTCTCCCTCCTTCCCTCCCTCCCTCCCTCCCTCCCTCTTTCCTTCCTTCTTCATTCATTTTTTTTGGCAGTATTGGGACTTGAACGCAGGGCCTCACACTTGCTAGGCAGGTGCTCTACCACTTGAGCCACTCTGCTAGCCCCCAAACTAAATAATTTTTAAAGGTCCTTTTCTTTCCTCAAAGTCAGTGGTGTAAAGAAAAACGCGGGCCCCAACGTCAGTCAGATTGTGTCAAATCCTAGCTCTGTCAGAACCAGCTGTGTGAACTGACTCGCTGTGCCTCAGTTTCTCCATCTGCATCATGAAGACAATGGTGTTGATATTAACCTTAGTTTTAGGTATTGAAAAAAAAATGCATGTGAAGACAGGAAATGTGGCTCAAGTGATAGAGCCCCTGCTTAGCAAAGCCCTGAGTTCAAACCCCAGTACTGCAAAAACAAACAATAAGCAAAATGCATGCAAAACCCTAAGCTTTGCACAGCACATACATGGCTCACATACAGTTTTGTGGATTGATTTGGGTTTCTGAACCAAGGGAAAATGAATTTGTTGCTTCTCAAAGGACAGCTACACTACACCATTGCCATTCAAGGCAAAAAAGTCAGTGAGACCCCCATCTCAACCAATAAGCTGGGCATAGTTGTGTGTGTGTTGTCCAAGTGGGCCCCAGGCAAAAGGCAAGACCCTATCTGAAAAATAACTTAAAGCAAAATGGGCTAATAGTGTGGTCCAAGTGGCAGAGCGCCTGCCTACCAAGCTCAAGACCCTGAATTCAAACCCCAGTAGCACCAAAAAAAAAAAAAAAAAAAAAAGTGACAAGAATGATTCTAGGGCTGGTGGAGTGGCTCAAGCAGTAAGAGCACCTGCCTGGCAAGCATCAGAAGCCCTGAACTCAAACCCCAGTGCCTCCCTGCCGTCCCCATGACAAAAAAAAAAAAAAGATTCTATATGTAATGCAATGAGTTGACACATGGGGTGGGTAAGAATGGGGTTTGGTCGTTCTGGGGATCCAGCCTCAGAGTGGACTGCCTTCTGGTTTCAGTTCTCGAAAGTATGGATAGTGACCCCGTGGAATCTGTGCGGTCGATGGCCAGTGATATCCTGAAAACAATAGACAAAGACGTGAAGCACCATCACGCCCATCTGTCCAGGTTGAGTCACATAAGCGTCAACTTTCTCAAGGTTTCTGGCATCAAAGCCCCAAAGAGAAAGAAACGCCTTTTCAAGACTGTCAAACAGGAGGGGGATTATGACGGCAGATGGAAAAGGAAGATGTGGAATTGGTTCCGAAGTGCCACAAATTCCATTTCCAAATGGTGCAGTGGAGGGGTCACCTTGTTGCAAAGTTCAGTGAAGAAGCAATCTTTAGGAAAGTCCACTGACAAAGCTGAGAATGTCTAAAAGGCAGCTGTGTGGGGGTTGCTGGAGATTCTGCACAACAGGTTGGGGCTTTTCTCCACAGTGCTCCCTCTACTTTTCGTTCACTGGGACAGGCTACTTCGGATTAATCCAAAGGAGCCAGTTTTGACTTTGGAAGATGTTTTGTGTGCCTTGTCCTTATCTCCCTGGGGGATAACTGGTTATCAGCATAAAGATTTGTCAATAAAACTTATTTTCTCATCCTAAGGTTAGCTGGCTTCCTCCATTCCTGCCTTGGGGTTTGGGGGTAAGCCCAAATGTCAGGACCATCTCTGGACAGATGCTCTTCAACATTCAGGAAGGGTTCTCCATGACAGAAGAGAGGAACAGTGGGCAGAACAGCTGGAACTTAGTTTTCAGATTGTTCAGCTCCTCCACACGTGCTAGATGAAATTCTCGTGCCCAACACACTTCCCCAGTCACGTGCAGATTACATGTTAGAATGTGAGAATGGAGGCCTGTGGGATAGGACAGTGGCATCTCCATTACGCCAGGCCCCTCGATGTTACTCAAGAAAGCAACGGATTGCCACTCAGTGAGATAACTGGAGTGTATTCTAATTTATTTTGAAAAATCATTCTGAAACTGGTTCAAATCCTTGCTTCCTCTACCCTGGGACAGATGTAGGATCACCTGGTTCCCCCCACTTTTTATCTGTCCTGACCAAGGAACACATGGTGCTTCAACTGTTCTGTGACCCAGCCAGCTGCGTGGTTTCCCAGTAGGCTGGGTCGCAAGTGGGGGCCTTTAACATTCCCATAAAGGTGACAAGGTTGTTGCCCAAAACACTGAAAGAAATGAGATCCAGCCCTGGGTCAAATTCCGTAAAGCCTCCTATAAACTCCATCCATGCCTAGGCCCCTTACTGCGGATGTACCTGTGTGGAGCACCCCTTCCTCTCCATGTCTACTACAAGGCTTTGCTGCCCGCCCCCACCCTGCACAGAAACTCCCCTGGCAAATGCTGTGGACGGATCCTGGCATTTAGTGCTTTCTTTGGAATCTGAACAGGCCCCACGTTGGAACGTTTGAGGCTTCTTTTGGGGCCACTCCAGCCTCAGATTTGGCTAGGACAAAACAGCTATTACTAATGTTCTTTTCCTTAAAAACAATGATTAAAATTTATTATGACTTAGCGTTTCTGTGGGTCAGGAATTTGGGTGTGTGATGGCTGAGCTATATGCCTCAGAATTCTCTTCCCAGCATGTGTTCAGACAGGGTGGGCTACTAGATGCAGTCTCATGAGAGCTGAGGTTGGGAAACCAGAAGTGGTTTGAAGTGCACGCCCCTTCTCCTAGTCATTCCAGCAAACACTAACCTCGACTAGTTCTTTTATGCTGCTTCAAAGCTCTGTGGTTAACTTTCTTGTATCTAATTTGTCATCTGCAAAATGGCATTCATTTATTTTTTGGCAGTACCGGGGATTGAACTCTACCACTTGAGCCACACCTCCAGTTCCTTATGCTTTTAGTTCCTTTTTTAGATAGGGTCTCATACATTTACCTAGGCTGCCCTCAGACCTCAGTCCTCCTACCTCTGCCTCCAGAGTAGCCAGGACCACAGGCATGTGCCACCACATCTGGCTTGTTTTTTTCTTGGGGTGGGGTGGGGCAGGGTGTCTTACTAACTTTTGCTCAGGATAGCTTCCAACTATGATCTGTAGCTCAGATTACAGGCATATGTGCTGGCTGCAAAGATGGTAAATTAAGCACACAGTTTTGAAATAGCATAAAAAAATGAGTCAAGGTTAGTGTCTGCTGAAATGACTAGGAGGTATTTATAATACCTCTTAATATTCTTCTGTTCCTCCTTTTTTACCCATGTATTTGACTTCCTAGAATAAATGTTTCTGAGCCTTCCTTGCAGCTAGGTTTGGCCACGTAATAAAATCTGACCAAGCAGGTGTTGGTTGAAATAGATTATATGACTTTCAGGAAATATTCTTAAAGGGCAAGGAGCATCCATCTTTGTCCTGGCTGTCTTCTTGGTGACTTGAATGCAGATAGAGGGCTGGAGGGAAGACAGCTATCTTGAACCATCAGGCAGAAGTGGTAATTTAAAGATGGCAGAACCAAAAGATAGAAGGAACCTAGATCAATTACCAAAGTAGAGCTGTTTACCACTCTGGTCTTCATTCATAGGGCAAGAGGTCAGAAGGCTCCTTTGAGTCTCCATCTCAGGTAAACCCATCCACTTGATTTACTCAACCTAACCCTATTGCTAAATGGATTAAAGATAAAAAGGGCTGGGGGAGTGGCTCAAGAGGTAGAGTTCTTATCTGTCAAACATGAGGCCCTGAGTTCAAACCCCAGTACCACCAAAAAAAAAAAAAAAAAAAGAAAATGAATACAAAGTACTTAGCAGTTTGACATGAAAAGGGCGATTTAAAAAAATTGTTATAGAAAACATAAGCTATCAGAGCTTGGTTCTGAGAACTTATTTCCCCCAAATTTACTTTTTTGAGATGGGGTTTTAGTCTGTAGGCTTATCTTGAACTTGTGAGCTCATGTGCTCCTCCAGCCTCAGACTCCTGAGTAGTTGGGACTACAGTGTGCATCACTACACTTGGCTTGGTTCAGAGAACTTTGAAAAATGTAGGAAAAACCAAAGAACCAGTATCCACTTTGGTTAGAATTGACTGTATTACTTCCTTGAAGTTGGTAATGATCAAAATGGTTTTGATAGCTTCTAAATTTTAGTGTTCTGAATAAACCTTTCTGAGATTTGTTTCCTCATGTTTATAAATAAGAATATTTAAACTTACTTTATAGGCTTTACATAATTAAATGAAATAGTATTGTATACTTATTACCCTAGTGTGATGGTTAATTTTTAAAAATTATTTGATTTTTGTATTTTCATACATCAACAATAGGAGGGGATTTCATTGTGACAATGTCATATATGCAAACAGTGTACCTGAACAAGTTCACCTCCATTATATTTCCATTTTCTCCTCCCCCAATGTGATGGTTAACTTTATGTGTCAACTTGGGAGGACACAGTGCCAAGTTATTTGGTCAGACATTTTTCTGATTGTTTTTGGGAAGTGTGTTCAGATGAGATTAACATTTGAATTGGTGGATTTGTGTGTGTGTGTGTGTGTGACAGTACTGGGGTTTGAACTCGGCCTTGTGCTTACTTGGCAGGTGCTCTCCATTTGAGTCATGCCCCCTAGCCCTTTTTGCTGTAGTTATTTTTTGAATAGGATCTCACATTTATGCCTAGGCAGGCCTCGACCCTGATCCTCCTGTTTACCTTTCCTATCATACTGGGGATGACAGGCATAAACCACCACACCCAGCTTTTATTAATTGGGCATAGTCTTGCTAACTTTTTTGCCGGGGCTGACCTCAAACCTCAACCTTCATCATCTCTGCCTCCTGAGTAGCCAGACTTAAATTGGTAGATTTTAAGTAAAGTAGATACAGGTGGGTCTTATCCAGACAGCTGAAGATCTGACTAGAACAAAAGACTGATTTCCCCGAGCAAGAAGGAACTTTGCCAGCAGGTGGCATTGGTCTTCAGTCTGGAACTACAAGTCAGCTCTTCCCTGGGTCTCCAGCCCCATGCCCACCCTGTAGAGTTTGGACTTGCCAGCCTCCATAATCAGGTGAAGTAATTCCTTGAAATAAATCTCTCTATATACTCACACACCTATTGGTTCTGTTTCTCTGGAGAACCCTAATACATTAGGTGCAATGGAATGAATGCTTATGTCCCTGCAAGTTGTATGTTGAAATCCCAACCTCCGAGGTGATGGTATTAGGTGGCGGGGCCTTTGGGAAATAATCAAGTCATGAAGGCAGAGCCTTAGTGAATGGGATCAGTGCTCTTATTAAAAGAGGCCCCAGCCAGGCACCAGTGGCTCACGGCTGCAATCCTAGCTACTTAGGAGGCAGAGATCAGGAGGATCACGGTTTGAAGCCAGCAAGACCCTATCTTAAAAAAACCCTTCACCAAAAAGGCCTGGTGGAGTGGCTCAAGATGTAGGCCCTGAGTTCAAATCCCAGTACCACACACACACACACACACACACACAAAAGAGGCCCCAGAAAGACTCCTCACCCTTCCATCATTCAAGGACAACAGTGAGATGGTGCTAACTATGTACTAGGAAGAAAGCCCTCACCAGACACCAAGTCTGGCTTGATCTTGGACTAGCCAGTCTCCAGGTCTATGAGAATTAAAACTCTCTTGCTTATAAGCTGCCCAGTTTATATTTTATTACTGCAGTCCAAGTGGATTAAAACACCAGGTATGTGGTCCTATCCTGTAGGCTAAGTTATACGTAAGCAATGAGCCAAGGAAACACAAGGGACTATTTGGTATGTGCCTAGCAACTATTGATCTTGAGGGATGAAACAATCAACACACAAAAGTTACATATATCATCCTGTCTAGTTATAAAAAAAGAAATGGGCACACAATACCAGGTTCCAACTCAAAGCCAATGGAGGGACCAAGAGTTACTTTGGGTCATTAATATGTCATTTTAATTTTGTAATCGCAGATTCCCCCAGCTCCAGTGAGTTTTTCTTAGATGCTCATGGGTAATCAAATGTATAGAGTGACTTTGGAAATGTACCATAATTATCTCACAGTTTTCATGTCAGTCACTCCCCATGGGCTGGTCCTGGAGAGGCACTTGCCACTCCAAGCCCCTTATACTTCAATAAAAGCCTGTGTCAGGGTAGAAGTGATTGCTGTACTTTACCTCTCTAAGACAACCCACTTTTGCCTTTTTTCTTTTTTCACAGTACTGGGATTTGAACTCAGGGCCTACACCTTGAGCCACTCCACCAGCCTTTTTGTGTGTGTGGGGTTTTTTTTTTCGAAATAGGGTCTCTCAAACTATTTGCCTGGTGTTGGCTTTGAACTGTGATCCACCTGATCTCTGCCTCCTAGGAAGCCAGGATTATAGGCATGAGCCACTGGCACCTGGTTGAAAGTATCTATTCTAATGAACTATTTTATTCTCAATAAACTACACTTTTTACTACTTTGCCTCTTGCCTGAAATCTCTAGACTCAAGAATTGAGGTAGCTGTTCAGACATTCCGGTAACAATCCTCTGAACCAGTAGAGACATGTCAAATCTTGAGGATGAGTGCAGGGTGACTGATGAAATGGCTGGAACTTTAGAAGAGAAATAAGAACTGAGATTGTCCATGCTCTTTATATTGGTGTTTTCAGTGAGCTCTGTCCTCTACCTTTGACTTTTTAACTTTTATTTATTGGCAGTACTGGGGTTTGAACTCAGAGCCTCGCACTTGCTAGGCAGGCGTTCTATCGCTTGAGCCAAGCCCCCAGCCCTTTTTGCGTTAGTTATTTTTCGAATAGGGCCTCATGTTTTTGCCTGGATCTTCCACATCTCTGCCTTCTGAGTAGCTGGGATTACAGGTGAGCCACCACACCTTGGCTATCTTTGGCTTTTGAATTTCCCTTCAATTTGCCACCAGCTTGAACTTCTTAGGGATGTCTCCCATCCTGTCATGATCTTTAGTTCTTTCTACTGCTTCCTGGCTCATATTCTTAGTACAGCTGTCCCAATCTCCAAGATTTCATGGGTCCCTAATCTTTTGTATTTTGGGATCTTCACCAAATCAGGCCACCTGACAAGAGAAAATGGTCAAGGAAGAGGGAAAAGTTGCCCTCTCAATCTTTGTGCCTAGGTCTTCAGGGTCTTCCCTTGCATGATTTCTAAATGCATTAGCTTGCTGCTTAAAGTCTTGAACACCCAGACTGACTGACTGACTTTCATGTCCTACCATTTTCCCCTCCAATGGTTGTTCTTAAATTGGAAGGAATGTGTGGAGTTTAGGAGTGTGTGCAGAGATGGGAGGGGAGATGTGAAGCCATAGGGTAAACCCTCGTGTCAAAAAAAAAAAAAAAAACCAAACCAAACCACAACAAAAAACTCTAGTGTGTCTTATTTATGGAAGAGTTATTTTAGTAAACAACTCAAGAAATTACTTTTATGTTAAAACAAACAGGAAGAATTCAACATTTACATGAATTTTAAAGTTAAAACTTTAAAGACCTTTCAGGACTTCGGTATATTAGTTCCTAGCCCTCTCCAAACTTCCCCAGTTGGTGGTCGTGGAAGCAGATGTCAAAAACTCACCTTGGAATTCATCACCTTTGTGAATTCCCAGCTCTAAGCTTTCACACAGCTCCCAACTGCTAGCTCCTTTCCAGCAGGTCCCAACAACTCCCCTACCTTCTTCACCCTTTGGGGGAAGTCACACCTCAAAGTCATTCAGGGGCAGCCATACACTGCTCCCAGTTACCTTTTCATGGGCCCACCTTTCAGAAAAGCTGTTAGTGATCATCTACTCAATCTCTCCATTGAACAAGGGAGAAACCAAGTCCAGCGAGGTGAAGGTGGTGTGTTTTGTCCTCCTAATTCGAAGGCGGTCCCTTCTTTGGTCCCTGCAGGGCCGTGCCTGGCAACAATTCTATCAACGTGCCATCTAAACATCACTCAACATCGAAGATCCCTCACAACCCTGGGATGCGGGCATGGCAGGGCTGCTCCCTGGCAGGCAATACAACTGCTCCAGACATACCAAGGCCTGACAAAGGTCAGGACCAGGATACAGGTTTCCAGATTCTTGGACACTGCGCATCCTATCTCGAGTGTATGGAGAAGATGGGCGAATTTGACCAAGCCAATTGCAGAGCGCCTGGTACAACTGGAGCTAATTGGCTGAGGCTCAATCAAACACCCTTTGCCCCTGTCGCGAGCCTAGAGGCTAAGGCCAAGGTGGGCCGCGTCCCGCGTTCACAGCGCCATACAAAGCCGCACCTCTGCGCAAGCGCAATGGCTCAGAGCGTGCATAGCCACGCCCCTCCGAATGCCGGCGGCCGTGCACACGCGTGGGCGTGTGTGTTTTGGAGCGCGCAGGCGCAGTGGTGTGGGGGCGTGGCGACGCGGCGCGCTCCTTTCCTCGCTGGTGTTGGCCCGGCTCGGCGGCGATTCAAATCCAGTAATGCGCGGAGCTGATTCCTCCTCGGCCTGACTCAGCGAAGCGGTCCTGCCGTTGAAAAGGGTGAGTGCAGTGCTGCTTGGTGGCACAGCTGAGGACGAGGACAAGCGAGACAACACCGGGCAAATTTGGAGGAGATGCCAACCACCTAGGCTGTGTGCGGGAGTAAGAAGGCGGGGCGAACCGGGCGCGGGAAACGGTCCGAAATTGGGGGGGGTGGTGCCAGCGTGTGATTGACGGGCGGGGAACCAATGGGAGGGGAAAGGGCTGGCCAACGAGGGTGGTCCCTTTAGTTCAACTAGAGAAGTTTGTAGGGGTGATAATAGCTAACAGGTGTCGGGGTCTTAAATTTGGCTCAGCTATTCTAATCGATTTTCAGTAGTTATTTTATCTAGTGGTCGCAACACTATAAATGCTACCCATCTCTTGTATAGAAGAGGAGAATGGCTTAGAGATACTAACTTAAAGATAGTGCTAGGATCCCAAACTTGGCAGTCTCACCCAGGGCCTGTACTTTTAGGTGCTCTGTTACACTGGCCCTTAGGAGCAGAGGAGGATCAGGGTCCAGTAAAGAGGACAGGGATGAATGTAACTGACCAGATGGCGGAGGTGTCATAAAAGTGGAAGTAAATATTAAGTAGATGGTTGGGTCCTACATCATGTGAAAACTGCAAGGATGGAGATAGGAGAGGAGAGGAGGCCCTAGCAAGGTGAGAATGGGTAGGACCGCTCAGGCCATCCCCCAGCCGTGGGAACCCAGCAGCTCTGAGCATGGTGTAGCCCTGATTAACAGGGGGTACAGAAAAGCTTTTCTCTTGGGAGACAAAGCATTTTAGGAGTACAATAATATTATAGCACTTGGTACATTGTTGTCTCTGGCTGCCATAGCAAAATACCATAGACTGGGTGGCTTAGACAGAAGAAATATATTTGCTAACAGTTCTAGAGCCTGGGAAGTTGAAGGTCAATTGCATGCCTGCTCTTGGTGAGGGCTCTTGATGGCTTGCACATGACCACCACCTTGGTGTGTCCTCACCTAGTGGAGAGATCTTTTTTTTTTTCCTTTCCTTATTAAGTCATCCATCCTATTGGAGTGGGATTCCACTCTTGTGACTTCATTTGATTTTTTTTTTACCTCCTAAATGCTTAATCTCCAAATACAGCCACATGGAGGTGGGGTTAGGCTGTCAACAGATGAATTTGGGTGAGGAGAACTCTTCAGTTCATAGCAATAGTTTATGGTCAGTAAGTAAATAAGGAGTGATAATTGAAGACTGAAGAAAGTGAACACATTCAGGACCAGTATGTATCTGAAGTGCTTTCACAAATCTTACCTTGCTTGATGAGCCTGTGATTTGCTGGGCTGGTGTGTGCTTAGCACGGGTGTGCCATTCTAATGACAACTTGAATGCGAGGTCATGGCTATACCCTACACAGCCAATCTGAAGCGATCTGAAAAGGTGACACCAGGTGTCCTTGCTGTGCTTAGGAGATTCACTGTTACATTTATCTAAACCACTCTTTTTTGACCGATACTGGCGTTTGAACTCAGGGCTTTGCACTTGCCAGTGAAACAGGTTAAGAGCAAGCATAGGCAGTTAGGGTATGGCCCCTGGTGATAAATCAAGACTCATGCTCTCACTCTCTGTGAGAAAGCAACAGGTATGGAGACTCTCAAGGTTTCCATGGGAAAGTAACAGGCACAGTGACTACATGACACATGGCTCACTTCCTTGTGACTGGAACCCTTTCCATTGTCTGATGTGTGATCAGAGACCTACTAAGGCAAGACACACAAACAAATCATGCAGATGCCTGGTTGGCCCAAAAAGGCAATCTGAATGGTTGCCTGCCAATTGGGATAAGGGGCTTTGTCTGAGTTCCCTTCCCCTCAGCAATATAGGCCACTAGACAGAGACTAGCCAATGGCAGCCTGTCTTGGGACCTTTCCCAGTTGTGGGAACTCTGCTCTTTGCTCTTTCTCTCTCTCAGTAAACTTTTCTGCTTTGCTCACTCTTGTTGTCCATGATTTTCATTCTTTGAAACTGTAAGACAAAGACCCAGGGCTCAGACAGAACAAGTTGGTAACACTAGCAAGTGCTCTACCATCTGAGCCATGCCTCCAGTCTGTCTAAGTCACTCTTCGTTTTTTTTTAGTTTTTTTTTTTGGTGGTACTGGGGTTTGAACTCAGGGCCTCACACTTACTAGGTAGATACGCTACCACTTGAGCCACTCCACCAGCCCCTAAGTCACTCTTTAACTGTTACTAACCTGCGCTGATCCTGGAATAATGAGATCCCTAATTACCGCCCGCGGGGGAATTTCAAATTTTTTTCACATCCTTCTTCTCCTGGTGGGGAAGAAGAATCATGAACTACAGAGCTCGAGGATCGAGTGGGGCAGAGAGTCCAGCTCTTGGATCCATTCACGTGTTGAGTGAACTTGAGCAAGTCACTAAGCTTTTCAGAGTCTCCATTTGTTGGTCTGTAAAATAGAGCTGATAAATTTACTGACCACACGGTTGTGAGATTGTAGGAAAACAGTTTTAAACCATGAAAGAACTGGCCCATGGACTAGATATTTGAGTTATGGGATCCATCTCTGCCTAATGACTAGCTGGCTGCTTATTTCTTCACCAGAATTTTATTGAATGCCTGTGATGTATTCAAGCCCTTCATTCTGAGTCTTGGGACAAGGAAGTACAAGACAGACGGGGTTCTCCTCTTATGCAGTTTGTATTCCCATGGGGGGAAAACAAAGTTAAAATAGTGTTAATGTTACAGGAAAGTCAGCAGAGTGTCTGGTGGGAGAAGAATTCAGGCAACACACACAAGTGCAATGAAAGTAATGACGGTTTTTTAGGAAAGGAATACACCTCAGTAGACTGAAAATGGGTTGTCTCTAGAGTGAGAATGAGAATGACCATTATTTTTACCCTGGCACCAGTTTTTATTGAGGTAGACGAGGCTTGGAGCATTAAGTCCCTCCCTAGCAACAGCCCATGAACTAAAGTCACAGTTAAGGTCAGGAGGCTAGGGTAGGTCCACAGATTTATAACTTGTCAACTATTATTGGGTCCACTTGACCCCTAGGATATGTTTTTCAGGCCTGGGTCTTTTTTTGTTCATTCTTTGGTTTCAGGAACTGATGACTCACCCTAGGGTGGGTGACTCAAAAAACATCTTGTGACATCCCATGATCTTGGTGGGCTATTTTGATCTTAACAGGGGCTGTTAAGTGTTTTTCTCTAGGCAGTCTTGAAGAATCCTCCATTGTAAGTTTTCCTTGCATATTCCCATCACTAATGGCTCACTGCTACCATCAGGAGCAATGAAGAAATTAACGACAAGCTGGGTGTGATGGTGCACACCCTCAATCCCAGTTACTTGGAAGGAGGGTTTTGAGGTCAAGACCAGTCTGGAAAGTCAGTGAGACTTTTTTTTTTTCTTTTTTTCTCATTTTCAAAAGCAAAATACAAAAAAAAAGGGCTGGGGGCATAGCTCAACTGGTAGAGTATGAGGCCCTGGGTTCAGTACCCAGTACTGCTTCCCCCTCCCCAAAAGAAAGAAGAAAATAAAGACAGGGTGATGTGATAAGAGTGACTTAACACAGGGCAATACATAGCATGAGTGTGGAGCGTGTGCCGCCATGATAGGGTGGCCAAGCAGTGGGAGAGGAAGTGAGCTGTGTCCTAAACACTGACTCATGATTTCCCAGGCAGGAAAATAGCAGTTGTAGGGCCCAAGGGATTAGGTCCCTAATCCCTGCCAGACATCCTGTAGGCTGACAAGTGATCTTTCTTAAAAGAGAGGTGAGGGGCAGGAAACACTGAGTTCAAACCCCAGTACCACCAAAAAAAAAAAAGAGAGAGGTATTGCTAATCAGACTTTTGAGATTTGGAACTAAGAAACTCAAAAAGTTTTATTTTATTTTAGGTGGTATTGGGTTTGAACTCAGGGCCTTGCACTTGCTAGGCAGGTGCGCTACCATTTTAGCCAAACCTCCAGCCATTTTTGCTTTAGTTATTTTCTTAGATAGGGTCTCACGCTTTTTGCCTGGGCCAGCCTCAGTCCTTGATCTTCCCTCAGGACTGGTGGAGTGACTCTTACTTCTTAAGAAATTAAGAATGGAGAGGCCAAGCTCTGTGTCAGTAGCTCATACCTGTAATTCCAGCTACTCAGGTGGCAGAGATCAAGAAGTCAAGGCTCAAGACCAGCCTGGGCAAAATCATGAGACCCTACCTGAAAAATAACTAAAGCAAAAAGGGCTGGGGGCAAGGCTCAAGTGGTAGAGCTCCTGTCTGCTCAGCAAGCATGAGGCTCCGAGTTCAAATCCCAGTACCACCACAACAAACAAAAGGAATTGGGGAGGCCAGCCCAGGGTACATTTTGAGACCTTGTCTCAAAAAGAAAAAGAATTGGGATGATCTGGAAAAACCCAGAACACAGGTGGTTGGCCGGGTGGGGCTTCTTGCAGATGAGAACTGCATGCTAGCTGGGGTTTCAAGACAGCCTTCAAGAACTGTGCCAACAAGTAAGTGCCAGTATCGTTCTCCTGCTCTGTCAGGTGCCAGATGGAGCCACAAGCTTACTTCCTCAGATTACCCAGTTTCTGCTTACACAAAACTTCATATGGCCACTTCAGTCCCCTCTGCTGAGTAAAAATTCTTTTCACGCCAAGCACAGTGGCTCACACCTGTAATCCCAGCTATGAGGGAAGCATAGGGGTTTTCAGTAAACCTTCCTTTTTATTTATTCTAGTTATCTTTCTTTTTGGTGGTGCTGGGGGTTGAGCTCAGGGCCTAGGCAGGTGCACTTTTAGCAGTGCTGCTAGTTATGTCTTATAACCAGGTGAACTTGACTAAAGCAGAACTATATAGACCTGGGTTCACATTCCTGGTTTTCTTCTTTTCTTTTCCTTTTTTGTCTGTGTGTGGGAGATTGGATCCAGGGCCTCTTGCATGGCAGGCAAATGTTCTACCACTGAGCCGCATTCCAGTAGCAATTACCTTAATTTCTGCAAGTGTCGGTAGCCAACAGCTGTACCTGTATGCTGCTGTGCAGATGAAGTAAATGACAGAAGTAAAAGGGGATAGAGAATAACACGTAGCAGCTGCTCACCACTTGTTAGGGACCTTTCTTCTTCCCCTTCTTTCACGTTTGAGTGGTTTTTCAATAGGTCCTTTCCTCTCTCATTACTGAATTGTCCTAGTTTGTGTTTTTGTTTTGTTTTGTTTTTTGTTCTTCTTGTAGCGATCCCTCCACCTGGGAAGTCAAGTGGTAAAAGCACTTGCCTGGCAAGTGCAAGGCCCTGAGTTCAAATCCCAGTGCTGCCAAAAAAAAAAAAAGAAGGAATAAAGGGTTTGTCAAAACATGTCAGAGAAAAGTAATTTCAGAAGAGGAGAAAAAAAGATGACATAACCCTGAAGCAAGACCACGGCTGGTGAGGAACAGCAAATGCTGTAGCCTTGTTTGGGGAAGCTAGTGCAGCCGTGGCTTCTACAGGAGCCGTGCTCCCTCTCCCCGTGTACCACGGTTTCACTGTAGACAGGCGCAGCACCTTTGAGTGCTGCCTGCGGAGGCTGGGAGGATAGTGTTGCAGGAGTCACCAGCCACAGCCTCCATCCCGGCGGTGGCTCTGGGCTTGGGGAAGGCTCTCAGCTGTCTGTAGAGACGTCGGAAAGGTATCCAGCAGCAGTGGAATAGCAGGAGGTGCGGGTTGAGACTTTCCTGGCCTGCATTCTGCTACAGCCATTTCTTTCCTGGGGGGATGGGATGGTAATGGGATTTGAACTCGGGGCTTTGCACTTGTTAGGCAGGTGCTCTACCCCTTGAGCCACACCTCAGTTGTTTTTGCTTTAGTTATTTTTTGGATAGGGTCTTACAGTTTTTATCTGGACTGGCCTGGACTATGATCCTCCTACCTATGCCTCCTGCAAAGCTGGGATTACAGGACTAAACCACCATATCTAGAGTTTTTGTTGAGATGTGGGCTCGTTAACTCCCTCCACCCCCTGGCTGGCCTTAAACCTCAATCCTCTCAGTCTCTGCCTTGTTTATAGTTGGGATTATAGGTGTGAGCCACTGCTCCTGGCCCCTGCTATATAGCCATTTCTAATGAACGTCGCCGGATGGATGGATTGTATAGTCTGCTTTGTCTTCGTGGATGTACAAAGGATGGCAAAAACATGGTCTCTGCTTGCCAAAAAGTGTGCAGCCCGAGAAGCAGTTCTGTGACAGTGTGGAGGCTGATCTTACACCTCTGTGGATCCCGTATGAGACCGAGCAGATTTCCTTATTTGTCTCCCTAGGACCATGGCTCATCACACCCAGGAGGATGGTGGCATCCATTTCCCTTTTCCCTTCCCGCCCTATTCCATCCAGAAGGAGTTCATGGCAGAGCTGTACCAGGTTCTGGAGACTGGCAAGATCGGGATATTTGAGAGCCCAACTGGCACGGTGAGTGGGCCGATGAGGCAGTGTGGACCAGAGTTGGAGACAGCCTCGGTTGTGTTTCCAGTTTGCCTGTGTGGAGACTGTCATGGTGTGGTGTTGGGCAAAGCAGTCTCTCAGCTTATCTTTTTGAGTAATGGTTATTTCCTATATTAAATTGTTAAAAACAGCCCCAAGGTCTGAGAAAAACTAGGCTAAAGGCAACTGAAATTTAAATGACAGTGCCAGCCTCCACCCATAACACTGACACTTCCCAGACTTCTCTGGCACAGAACTGCCTTGATGTTGAGGGACACAGAAACGACTCGACTTTATCACAGATTCAACATCCCATTTCAGTCTCCAGGTTCTAGCTCACACGTGTCAGAGGGAGGCAACCAGGGGCCCTATGTTTTCCTTCCTGGCCCAGAAGGAGGGAGAGAAATGTCTGTCAAGGGTGAGTGGGGCTGTCCCTGGCTTCTCTGCCACACTTGATGTACTGTGAGAGTGAAATGTTTGTTTCTCCAAGTAGGCTGCAGCCTCCTGCAGGATAAGGACTCAGAGTCCCTGTCACTTAGCAGAGCTTGGCAAGGTTGGCCTGTAACAACAGGATCTTTTTTTTTGGGGGGGGGGTGCTAGGATTTGAACTCAGGGCCACTTCTCCTTTCCTTCTCTCCTAAGCCCAGTCATTGTCTCTCCTTCGAAGTCTTTTGTTTTTGTGTAACCTTGTTTGCTACTTTGGTGCAATTTTCACGTTTTGGAAAAAAGTGTGGAAGCACAGTGTTGGCTCTGCCGTTTAACCTGAAGGCCCAGCCCCATCAGGTCTTTCAGTCCTGTCCCCTGTCCCCTTCCTCCCTTACATGTTGAAGTTGTAACAGTACCACAGCCTCATCTGTGTGTCCGCTCCCTGTGTGAACCTGCACCTGTGACTCAGGTATCTTTACATTCTGATATCTTCTGAGTCATACCTCAGTCTCCAGTGCCCTTGTACCTGCAGGAGATGGCTGTGCTGTCTCACCCCAACTGGAGTTTTGTTACCTGCTGGCCTCTGATCCCTGTTTACCCTTAGAGAGTCACCTGTTGAAGCCTTTCATGATTCCCCCAGGTGGAGCTGATGTCTCAACTTTGTGTACATTGTAGTCCTGGGAGCTCTCCCACCCGGAGGCTATGTGCACATGTCCTTCAGAGTCACCTTACATTTGTACATGTGGGTATTTTCTAGAGGGTTCTGCACCTCTGCATGCCCAGCCCCCCAAAACCTGTAGGTGTTGATGAGATGAATTTACTTATCCTGCCATAAGTAACTGTGTTCTGTAGCACAGTACTCCATGAAGTAACATTGCTCAAAGCCAGGCATTCTGTGAGTGCTTTACTAAGTTGACTTCATGACTAAGTTGACTTCATGACTCAGGTGAGCATTTGGATGGACAGCCCTTTGACAAGTTCCAGTCTGCTTCCCACCGTCCCCACCACCTTGGTCTTTTTGCAGTGCTGGGGATCTAACCAGGCCCTCGAGCATCCGAGACAAGCATTTTACCACTGAGCTACATCCCATCACTCTCAGTCTACAACTTTTGCGGCCTATTACTCATAAAAACATACGAGGCCCCGGTTACCCTTTAGTCTTTGTGTTTGAAGGCACGTGTGGTTGCTTTGGAAGACAACTTTGACCAGGTCCTTAGGAACATCCTCAGTTCCCTTTCAAGTGGAGGACAGGGGCTCTGTAGCCAGGCCTGGGGGCATTAACATTAGTGGCCAGTGTTATGGGAGATGGCTCGCCTGCCCCATTCAGTGACAGCCCAAGCCCCTGCTCCTCATCCACAAGCAGCATGGGTCTGCAGCCCCTAGCTTCTGCTCCTGGACCTCCACTATTTAGTGTCTGTCAGAGCTCAGCAGAGTGGTACACGGGGCCTCCTACAGCCGCGTGGTCTGTCTGCTCCTCAGAAGTTTGTCCAGACACAGGGACTTTCAAGATTTTGGTGAAAGCTGATAGGTTATTATTATTTCAGGATAATGGCAGTTTTATCATGATTAATAATATCAATCAAGTCGCTAACTCCAAGTGCTCCCTTGTTGTATGTTAGGTAGTCTTTGGCTCCTGCTGTAGGCGCTAACCTTCATGTGTATTAATGAATACAGTGCTCACACTAGCTCTGCCAGGAAGGTACCCCTATTATCAGCCCCATTTTTGCATAGATGGAAATGAGCTCTGAGAGGTCAGAGGAGCCAGGACACAACCCAGGCATGGCATCCAAAGCCTTCCTTACCCACAATGAACTCAACCCCTGGTCAGGTTCTAAAGCCTGCTCTGCAGACTTGGAGATGCCTCTGGTTAAGCAGGCTGGGCAAGCTGAGTGGACAGAAGGGCTTGGCTCCAGAGACTCTGCACCAACACCCTCTGCACCTGGAACAGCCTTGGGGCTCTGCAGTCACCTCTCCAGCAGAACAGTGGTAGTTTCTTCAGGTTCCATAATGGAAGCCCACAGCCTAGGAGCTTAAACCACAGAAATCTCTTGGTTGGAGATCTGAAACAAGCATGTCACCAGGGTTGGTCTCTCCTGAGGGCTCTCTCCTTGGCTAGTAATGCCACCTTCCTCCTGTGTCTCATCACACTGCACATGTCCACTTCTAAATTTCCCCTTTTTCTTAAGGGTCCCAGTTCTTACAAAGGATTGGGGCCTGCCCTGATAGCCTCTTGTTAACTAATTAAATCTACAGTGATCCTGTTTCCAAAAGGTCCCATCTAAGACACTGGAGTTAGGGCTTAAGCATAGCAGTTTTGAAGGGACACAGTTCAGCCCATAACAAGGACCCACAGGAGAAATTCTGACCTTGAAGTCAAGAATAGTGTTTGCCAGAGCAATTGGCTCACTTGTAAAAAAGAAAAAACAACTTAAAACACTAGGACTCACGGGGCTGATCGTGCTGTACCTGCATCTCCATTGCATTAAAGCTTAGGGCTTTTCCTTGCAAGTATGTGGGATTTCACGCGCTGCATCTTTTGGCCTTAATTCTTTCAGGGGGCTGTTTGTCTAATTTCTTATCATTGCCTAATGATGTTAGCTTGCAGTGTCTGTATATAATCTGATAAACCACTTTCTTTTCAGAACAGGGAACTATCAAATTAAAAAGAAGCTCTTTCCCACTTTTCAGGCCCAGTTTTTATTTCTTCCCTGTTCCCGTTTTCACTGGTTCCCTTGCTGTCCTTTCCTGAGTGATCTTACAGCATCCACTAATATTCAGCGCTGGAGCTCTTTTGAAGCCCTTATTAAAATTGAGAACAGTGGTTTAGGAAGCTTTGCTTTTTTGCCCTGTTTCTGATGATGCTTTTCTTCCTGTAGGGAAAGTCCTTAAGTCTCATCTGTGGGGCCCTTTCCTGGCTCCGTGACTTTGAACAGAAGAAACAGCAAGAAGAGGCACGTCTCCTTGAACCTGGAGCTGGCCCTTTGTGTGATGGGAGGGAGCTGTCCCTGCTGGCCTCATCTTCCTGCCAAGAGCCCCCTGACACTCCAAGGCCTGCAGGAGAACCCGACTGGGTCACCCAGTTCGTGCAGAAGAAAGAAGAAAGGGACCTAGTGGAGCGACTGAAGGTGGGCCATGGAGTGGCAGGGAGGGGCGTGATTATCTTGGGTAGATTCCAGCATTGGGTTATCCCATGTTTTTGCCTCTGGTGCCTCTTAGCCCTCTTTGGCTTGAGTGGATGCTGTGACCTCTTTGCTGTCTTTTCTGAAGGGATGCCAATAGGACTTCTTCATTTGGGGCTATGGGCCACCTGGCTTCCTTTGCATTACTCACCTGGGAAAAGAACCTGATTGTTGCCATTGGTAACATGGCTCAGTTGAGCAGAAAGTTTGGTTGTGTGGCTTGGGGAGGGAGGATGCAGACTGCCTGCCCTGAGTGGTGAATTGGGCCTGTAGAAGTGGGGGCTCAGGCCAAGGGCTGCCACAGCAGCCAGCTCTGTGAGAAAGGTCTGCGGGGACTTCCTATAGGAGTCTCCTTCATGGCTGCTTCGCCCTTTAGGAGGAGCAGGTGAGGAGGAGGAAGCGAGAGGAGCGCCTGCAGCAGATCCGCCATGATGTGCGGCTCAAGTACACAGCCAAGCGCCTGGTGAGTGTGTCTGGAGGGCCATTCTCCTGTCTGGCAGGTGGCACTGCCTGAAGACTGGGTGAGTGGTCCCCCACTCTGTGACCCTTGCTACTGTCTCCTCACCCAGTAGCCAGGCAGCTTAAGTGGTGAAGGCCCTGGGCCTGGAGTGGATTCCTCCTCCAGTCAGGGCCTGTGTTACTGGGGTTATGTGGGGGTCCTTGGCGACATCTACACTAGAGGCCACCTCTGTTCAGGAGTCAGCTGGGTGTCCCAGGGCCAAGACCTTTTCCTCTTTCCACCTCCTACCCAGAGACAGGAAGAGGAAACTGAGAGTCTCCTGCGCCTTAGCAGAGAGATTCTGGCTGCTGGATCAGGAGTGGAGCATCTGGAACAGCTGGAATCTGGGGAGGAGGAGCTGGTCCTGGCCGAATATGAGAGTGATGAGGAGAAGAGGGTGGCAAATGGGTGAGCTGGCCCATATCCCCTGAGCACCTGATGTGAGGGCCTGATGGCTACTGCCCCCTTTCTCTGAGCCACAGTCCTTCTTATGGTTCACAAACACTGGTGACGAGATGGCCAGCCTTACTCTGCCAGTCCCTGGACTCCTGCATGTTGATTCAGTTTTCCCTACAGCAGCTCGGCGATGGCAGTCATGAAGGCTGCAGTCCAGCCAGGTGCTGTGCCTCAGCCAAGGCCAGCCAGCTTGCCTGATTCTAGATCCTGGACTCTCAAATGCCAAACCTCACTGTTCATGACCCAAACCGTCAAGGAGTCCCTGGCCTCAGCTTTCCTGTTGCCTTAAGGCTTCTGTTGGTCCAGATTGTAGGTTTCAATTGAATGAGCTTCACCTCTGGCTATACCAGAGAACCCCAAAGAGAGTGACTAGGCCACTTCTGGGTCACACCCTGTCTTCCCAGAATATAACTCCAAGGACTGAAAGCCTGCATGGACTCGTGAAGCATGAAGTCAGTCCCTTATAGTCCATGTGATAGGCACCTTCTGACTTCACCTGCAGACAGACACTAGACTTTTTTTTTTTGCAGTGCTGCGGTGGAACCCAGGGCCTTGCACATATTAGGCAAGCACTCTACCAGTAGGGAGCTACATCCCCAGACCTTGGAGGTTTTTTTTGAGGCAGGCTGTGTAGCCTAGGCTGGCCTTGAACTCACTGTCCTGTTTCCTCTACCTCCTCAGGGCTGAGATTGCAGGTGTGAGCCACCACACTGCCTGCCCTGATTTCTTAAAAGTGCCAGGCCTCCCCTGTTCTGTCTGAGGATTTGCAGATGCTCTTTGCCTCCTTGAAGGCTCAGCTTGTTTGTTGTCTCAGTGGCCTTGAGTGTCAGCCCCTTGCTGTTTCTCTCAGAGACCTGCACGTGTTTTGAGTTTGCTGGCTTATCCTCCTCTTCATCACTGAGCTGTGAGCTGCTCCACAATGGGAGCCATTAGTATTTTAAATTTTTATTCCCAGCACTGAGGGCATGATTGGTGTGCTCAGGGCAAGCTAGTTGACTTGAAGAGTAGTCACTAGCTAGGTTCAGTCTGTGATACACTTCCACCTGAGAGTTTCAGAAATGCCAAGATGTCAGGGATCTGTAGATGGCATACAGTGGGGCTGTGGCCTTCATTAACCCACATACAAAGTTAGTGTGCTGGAGCATTTTACTGGTAGGAGAGGGCTGTGATTTTTGCAGGAAGCCTGTGACCACTTCCCTGTCCCCACAGAGAATGTTTCAGAACTCCCAAGATAGTAGCTGACTCCCAGTTGGGTTCAGCGTTTGGCTGTTTAACCTCCATTCCTCCAAGTGACAGCCAAAGTCATGAGTTTAGCCTGCGAGCCCCTGAACTGCCGAGGAGAACTGGTGAGGGTATTCTGGTTTCTCCTGTTTCTGCTCGAAACTTTCTAGAAGCAAATATTGGGCCACATTTGTATAGATTTCTCCCTCACAAGCATTTTTCATCCTCCGAAAGGTGTCTCTGCCCTTTCCTCCTCACGAAGGCCCCTCCTAGGCTGGGTGAGGGAAGGAGGATGGTGTGTGTCTGGCAGTGGGGAAGCAGGTACTGGGGCTATGCTTGAGCACAGAGGTCAGAACTGGGATAAGAAGGACACCCTGGCCCTGCCTGAGGACAGTGAAAGGGTCACAAGTGCTCCATAAACCCTTCCCACCTGCCTCCTAGGTGACTTCTCTAGAGTCCCTTGGGGACAAGGTAAAGAACTTGGGTAGCAAGTGCATTAATCCTACAGCTTAGCTTCCCTGACACCCTGGTATTTCTGGAGAGACAGGAGCCTCTCTGGACACAACAAAAACACAAAATTTTTGTTCTTCATTTCTTCACATATCCAGCCTCTCACCTAGCTTCTACTGGCCTTGTCCAGATTGTGATAAATGATTTAAATCCAAGCCTTTCTGACTGGGATGTGTCTCCACTGGTAGATCACCTGCCTAGCAAGCATGGGGCCCTGAGTTCAAACTCCGGTACTGCCAAAAAAAAAAAAAAAAATTCAGGTCTCTGAGACGAAACTGACAACAATTCTTTACTCTTAGGCCAGATCCTGAAATTAACCTTCCTAATAGCCCAAGGTAATTAATTTCATTAGAAAATTGAATCTCAAGGTGAACAAGAAATTTTCCTCTTCCATGTGATCTCTAGCAGGTATTGAATATCTGTAAGGAGCCTCCCAACCCAGTGGGTGCCAGTGGGTCATCATTCAGTGCTGGGAAGTCTTCTCCAGGCATGTCTTCTTGGGGCAGTCAAGGTCCCAAGAAGACTTTGGTGACAGCATTTCTCATTCCGTCAGGCAGCAGCTTCACTCAGGAAATGAGTTTGAGCTCCTGCTGCTACCAGGCTGCTCTGGCAGATCAAGACAGGCCCAGGTTCTGCACTACCACAGGCAGAGCAGGAGTAGGCGACACTGAGTGGCGTGGTGTCACAGCAAGGCAGTGCTGATTATGGTGAGGGAAGGAAGGAGGGAGCGTTCCCGGCCCAAAGAACGGCTTTGCCAGGACCTGAGGTAGCAACAGCGTTCTCTTGGGTGTTCAGTGTGCTGCACGGTGATCTGACGGAGAAGCCTGTGATGACTGCCAGAGTCAGACATCGAGTCCAGGTTTTCAGCTTGCAATGTGGGGACCCTGTACCCCTTCTTCTTTGTAGGTTCTACAGGCAGTGGAGGCCTGGACTTGAGCCTGCCTGGGGTGTCCTAAATGAGCAAGGCTTTGGCAGAGCCTCGTTGCTGGGATGTGTCTCTGTTGCCTTTTGGGCTCAGAGCTCAGCCCTCAGCCATGTCAGCTTCTGGGGAAAGAGACTTCATCTTGCTTACTGGCAAGTGTCCAGAGCTCATCACCGCTGCTCAGTAGGTGTACTTTGGTAGACCTGAGCTTGCTGGGGAAAGACTATTTTCTCTGTGTTCCCTGTCTCTCACACACACAGAGTGGATGAGGACGAGGATGACCTGGAGGAAGAACATATAACTAAGGTAAGATACGTTTTTGTGTGCAAGGGCCTCCATCCAGCATTCTCCACCTCTGACAGGAATGAGTCATTCCAGCTGTGTCTTAGCCTCATGTTGGTGAAAAGCTTCCAACTCATGGGCCCTGTGAGTCCCAGACCTGGAGCATGGTCTTTCGTTGTTTGCTTGTCAGGCGGTGGGAGGCCTCTGTCCTAGGAGCAAGGCCTGGGTTGTTCCCGTGGCATTGGCGGGCAGCTCAGGGTTTCTGTCTCCAGTGGGCAGTGGTGGAAGGTGAAGGAAGGACATCTTGCTTGTATTTTCATTTGTGTGTAGCTCAGCATGTGGTTCGGCCATGTCTCAGATTTAAAAATACATGGTTTCATTCAAGACTTCTGTTTTCTGTTGAAAACAGGTGTCTTCTCTCATTTTTTGTCTTTTCTTCTCACTCTGCTGAATCCCAGAGTGGAGAGTATCCAGCTCAGCCTCTGCCTCCCCCTTCAGGGGGATGTATAGGGAGTGACCCTCCCCAAATGTCCCAGAAGTTTGGGGGTCTTTGCCACATTAAGAGTCAGCACTCAGGGGAGGCTTGTCTCCTGAGATCATGGAGCCCTCTGACACAGTTGGACTGGGTGTGCCTGGGTGGGGTTGTCACATCTTATGTCCTCTCTTGAACTTGTAGAGCTGCAGGAGGCTTGGGTAGTTCAGGCCCCCATCAGGTGTGAGCTGCCATGGGTTGACAGTATCTCAGGTGTGCATTTGCAGCCACCCTTCTGCTCCCACAAGCCCTGAGGCCATGTCACACCTTGATGTAGGGATGTTAGAGTCCCCTCTTTGATGTCCCCTTCTTTTCCTGTGACCAGATTTACTACTGCAGCCGGACACACTCGCAGCTGGCCCAGTTTGTGCATGAAGTACAGAAGAGCCCTTTTGGCAAGGAAACCCGACTTGTCTCCCTGGGCTCCCGGCAGGTAAGTAGAGGCAGAGTGTTCCAGCCCAAGTTGTCCTGCTCCTTCCTTGTGCCTTTGTCTCTTGGTCCAGGAGTAGAAGGATGTTGGGGCCAAGGCAGGCTGAGTGGCAGCCCCTTCCCTGGCCTCCCCGCTCCTTGGAAGGAGAGAGGCAGGATGGGTAAGTCAGTGGGGTGTTTGCCTGTCAGTTAGCACCATTTCTCCCTCCTCTTCTCTATCTTCCCCTCTTCTTTCTCCTGTTCTTCCTCCTTCTGACTGATTTCTTTATTTCAAAAAGACACTTGTCAGTATTCAGTATCAAAACAGTTGCACTGTTGGTTTTTTTTTCCTCTCAGCTGGCTCTAAAGAGACCACAGCCAAGATGAAGATCTTTTAAGCCAATAAGCTACAAGATGTCACATTTCACAGGCCTCGTAGGAGCATCACCTAGAAGTGGGATTGTGTGAAGAGAGAAGCTTCAAAAGATGGGCACAGTGCCAACTCACACACTAGAAAATTCTCACAGCCAGACAGTGTGGCCAGGACACCCTAATCCAAAGAAACAGTTGAAAGTAAAATGCAGTTTTAAGACATTTCATACTTTATCTATTGGAGATTCTCCAGCACTGACTGATAGAGGAGCACAGAGAGGTCACACTGTTGGAAACAGCAGCTTCAGATCTGGAGAAGGGTAGTAAGATGGTTAAACCAGGAACAAACCTAGTTTCCTGTCTTTCAGGGAGGCAGAAGAGCCATTAGAGGTCACTTCAACATTAAGGGCACCTGATCCATTCTGAGAGCTGCTGGAAAGGGTGTAGAGATGGGACCAGAATTTGTTCCCAGGGCTGGGGAATGAGGTTAATGGTAGAGCGCTCACCTAACATGTACAAAGGCCAGCACCGTTTCTTTGCCTCTTTCTTTCTCTTGTCTTGTAGAACCTCTGTGTGAATGAAGAGGTGAAAAACCTGGGTTCTGTGCAGCTTATCAACGACCGCTGTAGAGACATGCAGAGAAACAAACATGGTAGTCCCTGGGACCGTGCATGGCCTTGGGCAGTGCTGGGGAGCAGGGCTTGGGACCAGGGACAGAGGTAAAGACTAAGTGTCATAAGGGAAATAACAGCAGAGCAGATTCTGGTTCCCTCCTAAGGTCCCTCCTTGAGAAAGAGTGTTCTTGCATCCTGGGTCAGGGTCAGTCCTAGGCCCTGCCTTGGAGAGAATTTTATAGAGAGAATAAAGTCCCAGAATGTTCTGGTCTTTGCTCTCTGACACCTGTACCACCACAGAGAAGAGCAGAGCTGAGGAGAACAAGCCAAAGAGGAGGAGGCAGGAGAGCCGGGCCGCCTGCCCCTTCTACAACCATGAGCAGATGCAGCTCCTCCGGGACGAGATCCTGGTGGAGGTGAAGGACATGGAGCAGCTCGTCACTCTGGGCAAGGAAGCTCGGGCCTGCCCCTACTACGGAAGCCGGTTTGCCATCCCTGCAGCCCAGGTGAGGACTCCCACCCAGCGGCTGGAGGGGGTAGCTCTTAGCTCTGACTGGGGCCCTGGACGAGGGGAGTCCTGTTCCCCTTTAATTTGGGAGGATGCCAAGAGCCTCACTGCATACTGATGGCACATCGCCATCTGTCCTGGAATGTAGAGTCGGAGGAGGCCCAGGGATCCTTGGTGGCTCTGTATAGCCATTGGCATTACTGGGGGCCAGCAGGTAGGAGCTGGGGAAGAGTGCCTTCCTTGGAGAACCACAGAACACAAGCAGTTCTAAGTGGCTTTTCAGAATGTCAGCCCCACTGTATTTGCCTACCTGCTGCATGTGACAATACTGTCATGTTAGATCTGCCACATCTTTAAATAGAGAGGAGATTGCTCATTTGACGGGTCAAAGACGGTATCTTCTTGTTGTGTTGCGATTGAACTGTTTTCTTGCTCCTTCTCCATTTGAGTGACTGTAGAAACAGGACTTCTTTCATTTGTGTTCAACGTAGTCGGGAAGGTTTCAGTAGTCTTCAGAAAGGGAAGAGGTCTCTTGTTAGCGGTCACGTCACACACGTAAAGTGCTCACCTCCATACGCCCTGCACTGTGGGTCACAGAAACTGAATCATGCTCCCCTCCCCACAGCCCTGGTGCCAGTTCTCTGGCTTGTTTGCCACAGAGTTAGTGCTGTGGCCCTTTATGTAGACATATAAAAAGAAGGCCTGAAATTGTCGTGCTCCTAGTGTCTTAAAGCACTGTCGCCTCGTTTTTGCCTTTATGGTGTCCCACTGAAATAGCCTTACTCTCCAGTTCCAGACACTGGGTCCAGAAAAGTGAACTGATTTCTCACTGCATGTGAGTGACAGCGCCCATGGCAGAACCTGGCTTTCAGCTTCCAGTCTTCTGAATGTTCATGCTACCTATCAGAATTCTCCTTAACTGGGAACTCTTCATAACATGCACCTAAACATTTACAGAGTGCTTTGTTTTTGTCCTTCCACCTCCCACTCCTCAGTCTTAACTGAGATACAGCTATTCAAGCCCACTTGGCAGATAAGGAATCCGAGGATCCGAGAGGTTAAATAGTTTTTCCAGAGTCACATATCTGGGAAGAAGCAACTCCAGGGCCAGAAGCTAGGGCTGCTTTCTGGTACACCAGAGGTTTTCAGTGTTTTGAGGAACCCTGGAGGCTTCAGGGGTACTAGGTCCCCACTGCAGGGGCTCTACTCTCCCCTCCTGGGGTCTCTTTTGGAGGTGGGTCAGCTCCAGTTTAGTTTCATACTTGACATCCACCTAAAACTTCTGAGGAAAGGTTTGCTGCCACAAGCACAGGACTGTGCCATTGCACCCTGGCTTGAACATCCTTACACGTGACCCAGGCAGGAAGTGAAGCAGCTCACACTCAGGACTTAGGTGGGCTGGGTAGGCTCACTGCAGGACGAGCTCCCATGCCTCATCCCACCTCTCCCCACAGCTGGTGGTGCTGCCCTATCCAATGCTGCTGCACGCAGCTACCCGGCAGGCTGCAGGCATCCAGCTGCAGGGCCAGGTGGTAATCATCGATGAGGCGCACAACCTGATCGACGCCATCACAGGCATGCACAGCGCAGAGGTCAGCGGGTCCCAGGTGGGTCGGCCTCTCCCTCTCTTGGGCTCGCTGTGGGGTAGAGGCACATAGGGCATTCCTCTCAATACATGGGCCTGGAATTCCCCTGGAAATGGACTTGGCGGAGGGGGCGCTGGGCCCAGGTGCCGGCCTCGCCCGGCCCACTGGCTTTCTAGCATGTGTTAGAACTCTGGGGACCCAGCCCAGCCCAGCCAGCAATGTGACTTCTCTCCCCACTCTTCACCCACCTATGCCCTCCCAAGTCCCCAGCCCAGGAAGGGAAGCAGGAGTCTCCTGTGCGGGCGGGACCTGGTTACTGATGCGGCTTTGAGGGGATTTAATGGAAGAGTACTCACGGTCTGGTACCCTGCACTGGAAGAGATAGCTCTGCTCTTCACACTGACCCTACAGTGAGGGCTGGATCGGGAACCTGGAGATTCAGAGAGGGTCTACAGTGTGCCCAGGATCCACATTGCATGAGCGGGGAGCCAGAATCCGACCACTGATTTCTGCCTGTGAAGCCCGCACAGCATCTGCCGCCCCCTGACCAGTGCCTGGGTTTCCTAAGTCAAGATGTGATGGTTACAGGGAACATCACACTTAGTAGACAACAAGTTCTCCCCGGCACGGTGAAAACTAACAGGGAGACACATTACCTGAGAGCTTCGGCCTCCTGCTTTGCCTAAGCTCAAAGCAGACACCTGAGCAGCACGTCCTTCCCCTCTCAGACCCCAGCAGACTGAGGACCACTGCGTCCCGGGCCTTTGTCTGTGCCTAGCCTCCTTCCTGTCACGTAGTCTGAGGTTTTACTGCACAGCCCTCGGCCATTTGCCAGGAGCCTGGACTGCCTTCACGCCACTGTGTTTTCTCTCTCCAGCTCTGCCAGGCCCATTCCCAGTTGCTCCAGTATATGGAAAGATACGGGTGAGACACTACCGCCTGAGGTGGAAGGCACAGCCCTGCTCAGCCTCAGAAGCCCCTAAGTCCTCCGGGAGGACACACTTGGGTTATCATCACTGGCCCGAGATCAGAGTTGTGGATCAACTTGATGTCAGGTCTTGGGTCCATCGTTGTGTGTCCCCCATAAGCCCCCATAAGCTGTTCTGTTTGGGACAGAACAGCTGGCTCTGAGGGCCTTGGTCCTTGGCTAGCCTGGTTTTTCTGGGGGAGGATTTATAGCTAATGGCTCAGTTTGAGAGGGAGCAGACAGAAAGACCTCGGCTAGGGGCAGGTAGAGGGAAGCTGCTGTTGGTGCCTCAGCACTTGACCTCTGGTGGTTTCTCCTCAGGAAGCGTTTGAAAGCCAAGAACCTGATGTACATCAAGCAGATCCTGTACTTGCTGGAGAAGTTTGTGGCTGTCCTGGGTGGTAGGAGAGCACTGTCCCCATCTGGGCTTACCAGTCATGTTCCTTGGGTGCCGTCAGGGGACCTAGATCTTCCATGTTCTTAAGAATTATCTGATGGAAGCAGGGAGGGATAAAGGAGAATGATGGAGGCGGTGAATTCAACTGTGATACATTGTAAGAACTTTGGTAAATGTCACAATGTATCCCCAAAATTACAGGGAAGAAAAGGAGAAAAAAATGATCTTGATAGGATTTAGAGAATTTTCGTTCATCTTAGCTCAGTTGAGTTGTCTGACCTTAAGTTTGTTTTTGGAATCCAGTTCATTTGCCCATATTCTCTGTCCTTTAATTATACCAGACCCTACTCCCTGAGTGTAATAATGATGCATTGTAAGGTAAAACCACAACGGTTTGTGACATAGTTACAGTCCAGCGCCATTTTCAGAGTCTCTGTGAGGAGAGCGGCCCAGGTGTCTTAATCTTCATTTATGCATGAGTGACTAAAAAATCTCTGGCTCCAGCACCCATGCCTCTTGTTTTCTGTGCGTGGACTCTTTAGCATATGCAGTGCCTCTAAAGTCCTCTAGAAGCTGGAGTTCCAGAAAGCCAGTGGGATCCTCTGGAGGGTTCTCGTTGCATGTTGGTGCCCCTGATGTCCATCTCTGCCTTTGCCACTGCACTGTGTGACTCAGGGCAGCTCCCATACACAGTTGGGTGGCTGTTTTGGCCTGACCTCCTAGAGGAGGTGTAAAAAGAATGAAATTGGGTTCCAGGGTGCAAACAGGTGAGCCAGATCTGGAACCTCCTCCCTTTCAGTGGGTTCTTTGTGTGCTATAAATGAATGAAAACCTGTTCAAGTACAGGTGCACTTCTCAGTTGATGAGGACAGTGTAGACTGTTGAGGATATGGAAGAGGGGGGGAGTTCCACCACCCTAACCTGTTTGAATTACCTTTTTTAGGGAACATTAGGCAAAATCCCAACACACAGAGCCTCTCGCAGACAGGTGAGGGGGTTGCTGTTGAGGTACAGAGTGACCCGGGCCACTTCTGGGCTTCATTCTGGGACTGAAAGCCAAGGACTTCGGGGCACAGCTCCCAAGGCCTTTCATTTGTGTGCTCTTAGGGGCGGAACTGAAGACCATCAACGACTTCCTCTTTCAAAGCCAGGTGGACAACATCAACCTGTTCAAGGTAGAGGCTGACACTCTCTGATGTTAGTACAGGTTCCTCCTTCTCGCCACCTGTGGGCAGACACCGCATTAAGACCTTGGAAGGTGGGCAGCGGTGTGGCTCAGCAGCAGAGCTCTTGTCCAGCATGCACGAGGCCCTGGGTTTCACCCCCAGCTCTGCAAAGCAAAGGCTAAAAGAATGAACGGGAAATTTCTTCTGTCCTCAAGCAGTCTTAAGATCTGAGGATCTCAGTCACAGCCATACACAATGACTTAACCCTTAAAGCAACCTGTCAGGAAGAGCCAAATGGTCTTTAGTTGAGGGTTGAGGGTTAGAGGGCTTGTGAGGAAGGGTGTACCTTCTAGGCACAAATGGAGATTTCTGCAGGGTCCTAATCACCCCTTTCTGTCTCTTCTGTCACAGTCTTTCCCTGGGGAGTTGATTTTGGGAGTGTGATCTAGGTTCCATGTGTTAGGGTTGAGCGGGGTAAGAATAGGTAGGGCTGCTTGACCTACCGCTGGAGCCTTGGGTTGGATTGCAGCCATGGGCCTTTGTTTACGCTGGTCCTGCATATCCAGCACTTTCTCTAGTGGGGTATGGCCTCTGTCACTTGAATCACAACCTAGTGCTTGTAAGTTAATAATCATAGCTGCCTCCGTGGACAGAGTGCTTACGTGTTCTGGGAAGTGTGCCAGCATCTGCGACTTGGAGGATGGGTGGACTGTTGCCATTTGAGAACAAAGGAAATTGAGGGGCAGGGAGGTTAATTGGGAGGATGGCAGGCACAGATCACAGACCAGTAAACCAAGGGCGAGTGGGCAGAGCCACTATTCAAACCCAGCTGCAGTTACCTAAATTCCTCCATTTTCCCCCTCGCACTTACTCTTTTGGTCATTGTCATTGTCACCATCCTGTCAGACAGACTGGAAATCAGCATCGTCTTTGATACCTTTCTCTCCTTTTGTGTTCTGCATTCACATAGTTGCTAGAGGGTCTAAAATAGCTCTTGAATTACCATGGCTTTTCACTGCCACAACCACAATCTCCATGTGGGCTTTTCCCTTTTGCCTTCTTCCTGCCCTCCTTGCTTCCATTCTCTTCCCCCTGCTTTTAATTTACCTTATAGTATGATGGAATGAATCTTCTCTAAAGGATGTCAGGCTCTGTAAAAATCTTTACAGGCCCCATCATCTCAGCATTCCAAGCTCAGACAAGGCACCAAACTCCATTAGTTGCACGCACCTGTAGTTTGCACTCTAGCCTCCTTTGTGCCTTTGCTCAGACAACTGCTTTTTTAACCTAACTCTTACTTTCAGTTAAATGCTGTCACTGGAGGGAAAGCAGGTGGATAGAACTTCTATTGAGCACACTTAGACATGTCACTGGGACACGTCTGTGAGGAGGCTGTGTGTGTGAGGCTGAGCAGCACCTCCCCCATGGGGAGCACTGTGTTGGGGGGGGAGGCAGTGGAGGAGTGACCTCAGAAAGGTGGCCTGCAAGGAGGTTTTGGGCTCCTCCCAGGTGGCAGTCAGCTGGGCTCCCTGCGGGGTGGAGTGTGGCTGTTTTTCAAAATGTAACAGCTTGCTTTCTTCTCCCTGGGGTTTGCACTGGCCCTGGCTTTGCAGGTGCAGCGGTACTTTGAGAAGAGCATGCTCAGCAGGAAGGTACCCACTTCCCATGGGACCCCTGCCTGCTTCCCTCATGCTATCCTGACTTGTCTGTCTCCTCCCTCTGCAGTGTGCGGTGCTTGACAGATGGGCGAGGGGTGGACAGTAAGCCAGCTGGGTTTCTTCTCATTCCTTTCCCCTCCTCTCTCCCTTGATCCAGCTCTTTGGCTTCACAGAACGCTATGGTGCTGTCCTCCCAGCCTCCCAGGAACAGTCCAGACTGTCTGGCTTTCAGCACTTCCTGCAGAGCCTTCAGTCCGGGACCGCTGAGGGTAAGGAAGGGGTGGGAAGGACAAACGGGCTGGCTGCAGACCCTGGGTAGGAATGTGCACCAGATCTCAGGGAGGCCTCCTCCAATCCCACTTTGCGCAGGTGCTGCAGGTGCTGCAGCCCCCGAGGAGGAGGGTCAGGCGGGGCTCCACGGCCTGCTTCCCCACTGATGCACATTGAAGGGTTCCTTGCAGCTCTCACCACTGCCAACCAGGATGGCAGGGTAATCCTGAGCCGCCAAGGTAATGTCAGGCTGGACGGAGCCAGAGACCCCTATGCCTGAAGGGACATGCAATCCTTGCCTGGATGGGAGGAGGACTGTCTGTAATGGACTGGGGCAAGCTGTGGCGCTGAGGGGCCAGGATTGGAGGGGCTGGGTCATCTTGGCCAAGGTCACCAGCGAACCCTGTAGCCTGGTGTCGAGATGGCAGGCTTGGGTTTGAGTTGTGGCTCCACCATCTATGTGGAGCATGCCTTAGACCCATCTGTGTACCTCCATTTCCTCATGTGGAAAGGAGACAGCACTGTCCTGTGTACCTCAGAGACTTTTCCTGGAGGAAATGGGCTTGGCTTTCAGGGGAATGTGCAGACTCATCTGCGTCCTACATGGATCAACTGGAGACCCCTGTGCTCAGGCTGTCCTCCCTATCCCCAGCCTGTCTGTCCGTATTCCAGGCAGCCTCAGTCAGAGCAGCCTCAAGTTCCTGCTCCTGAATCCAGCGGTGCACTTTGCCCAGGTGGTGAAGGAATGCCGGGCGGTGGTCATTGCGGGTGGCACCATGCAGCCGGTAAGGGCCACATCCCAGCCTCCCGTGCCAGGCGTTGGAATGGGGCAAGGGAGGGACACCATCAGCCCTGTCTCTTCCCTGCACCCTGGGCGGCTAAACAGGACCAGGCCAGCACATGCAGACCCAGAAGTGTCCACCAGGTGCCGCTGCTGTGCCATCTTATGGGCAGTTCAGGCTACTCTGGTCAGCCTTGGGTCATTCCAGAGACCCACACTCACTTATGTGCCTTCCTGCCATTCCTTCCTGCACCCACAGAGGGACCAACCTCTCTTACAAATTTAAGTTGTGATACGTACTTTTCAGAAAAGTTACATTTTCATTGTAGAAAGTGGAAAAAAGCAAAAATGGGGAAGATCATGTATCAACAGAAGATTCACATTGTCACATGTAGTTAAAATAGTCTTTCTACGAATAGTTCTTACATATGTGTACATATTTTAACAACAGCAATGGTATTCTCTCTCTGTGCTCTTGTTATAATTTGCATTTTTACTCAGCAACAGTTTCCCTTGTTGGCAAGTACAGGCTTATCCACTATATCTGCTGTGCGGTGTTCCAGTTCCGTGGATGTGCTACATTTCACATAAGCACTCTTGTTTTGCTAGTTATTTAGAATGCTGTTCGCAGCCCTCCTCTGCTCTGAGCAGTTCTGTGATGAATGTCACTAAACCTCTGCACAGGGCCTGGTGTCCCAAGCCTGCACACTCTGAACAGTGCTCACAGATCCTGCGTGGGTTCCCTGCTGTGCTGTGTACAATCGCCCCTACCTTCCCTCCTACCCCCATGCTGGGGTGGAAGCCAGGGAGCCACACTGCAGGCCCCGTAACTGTTTATCTTTCAGTGTTTTTTGTGTGTAGATCCACAGATTTTTATCCACCCAGTGTATTGAAGTTGGTAGTATTAATCGCCTCACTCACACTTGGCCTCTCGGAGCCCCTGCAGTCTTGGGGCACCCTTTGTCTCTCTGGCTCTAGAACAGGGACATTCGTTTCTCCAGGGCGCCTGGTTTCTTCCTGTGGTGGTGGTGGGGTGATATGTAGAAACTTGGGTGACTTGCGGCTCTTGGGTTACCACAGCACATTTCAGTAAACAGCCCTAGGAAATGTGTTTATGAAAGCATTTTGTTGCTGAATGAACATTTGGTTTAATACATTAGCATAACTACTTGTTTGCTTTATCCCATAATATGTTTAGAAGTTTCAGAACAATATTACTTCTAACAATAGATATGCTGATTCCAGCTTCCTTAAGGTCTTGGCCTTTATTTTTCCTGTCCTGTAAAGATAGGAAGTCATTTGAAATTGGGGTTTTCTCTGTGTGCTTATGTTGTTAGTCTGGACAGATTGCTAGGCTTTTTTTAGTTTCACTTTGTTTTCAACTTCAGAGTTTGCTTTTTTCCTTTTTAACTTAATTCTGCCAGCCTGTCCCCTTCCCGACAGGTAATCATTTTCATTAACTAGTGCTCCAGATTTTCAGTGGTTTTTTTTGTTTGTTTGTTTGTTTTCCCAGTACTGGGGTTTGAACTCAGGGTCTCACGCTTGCTAGGCAGCCACTCTACCACTTGAGCCACTTCATTCAGCATTTTTTTTGTGATTTGTGTGTGTGTGTGTGTGTGTGTGTGTGTGTGTGTGTGAGATGAGTTGTTTCGAGATAAGAGTCTTGGTTTCATTTGTCCAGGCTGGCATTGAACTGTGATCCTTCTGATCTCTGCTTCCTGAGTAGCTAGGATTATAGGCGTGAGCCACCAGCATTGGCTTTCCCAGTGTTTTTGTTTTGGCAAAAATAAGCCAACATATGTATTCCCTTCCTTTTTAATTTTCATCAGAGTCATTGATGAGTTACTTACCTGGCACGGAGCAGCCTGCGCCAGTCTGATGGCCTGCGTGCTTAGCTGGCTGCCTAGTTCTTTGTCGGGTGTGTAGCAGAGCTCATTCAATCGGTCCCTGCTGATGGGAGGTCTGACTACTGCGAGTACTTTCGCATAAAGAATGCTTGTGTGGATCTTAACTGTATTTGTGGGTTCCATCTTCAGGAGTAGCACCCAAGATATAGATTGCTGGGTTCAAAAGTAAAACCACCCATCTTAACTAATTAAATATGATCAAATTCCCCTTCTGGGGTTTGCGACTATCTTGTGTCCCACCAGTACTAAGGATGCCATTTTATCTAGAGTGGTGAAACGTTTGGATTTTTGCCAATTCAATGGGTGAAAACCCTGGAGAGCTATCTGAGGTTGGGCTAGGGACTGGCCGTGGGGATTTTAAATTCCCGCTAGTGATTCTGATGCATAGCCAGGGGTGAGAGCATCCAAGCCAAAGTGCCAAATTTCCTGTGCTGTTTCCACAAGTAGTTTAAGCAAGGATGCCAATATTGGATGTCATTACAATTGTTTTCTTTTTGCTAATTTGCTGTCAGCCTTTTTTTTTTTTTCCAGCTCCTCTTTCTATTGTATGTACTTGGTATCTCCTAGCCCAGACTTCTCCTCCCACTCCCTGCCTCCCTACCCCCCAGCCCCTCACGAAGTCTTGACATTGTGGCTTGCAGGTGTCTGACTTTCGGGAGCAGCTGCTGGCGTGTGCCGGGGTGGAAGCTGAGCGAGTGGTAGAGTTTTCCTGTGGTGAGGACCTGTGTCCAGGTGGGATGGCCACGCCTCCTCGCTCTGGCCTCTGTGCTCCTCATTTAGCCATGCACGGCCCAGGGCTGAGGAGAGCATGGGATGGGAGCCTGATCCTTTGCTTGTTTGCTCCGCAGCTCGCTCCCCCTGCTTTCACACCCTGCGCTGTACCATCCACATTGCCCACTTGTATTGTGGCTGTGGTGGGTGGGTGTTACAAATTGCTGTTCCCACTTTGGGAGACAGGTTGGGGAAATGTTCTCCCTGAGAAACTCTGCCTTGCAGAATTTTCTGTGCCTCCAGTTTTCAGCCCCTCACTGTGTCTCACCAGGTCACGTGATCCCTCCAGACAACATACTGCCCCTCGTCATCTGCAGCGGGCCCTCCGGTCAGCAGCTGGAATTCACATACCAGAAGAGAGAGCTGCCTCAGATGGTTAGTGTGAATGAGGGCCTTCCCACAGCCCCTCGTGGGTGGGTGGGGGTTCTGGCCAGACCTGGCCTTGGGGAAGGTGGTCATAGCTGGCACAGGTGAGCAGTGTATATAGATGTTTATGAAGGAAGGTCTCAGCTGTCCCCACCCCTGAGACTGCATGTGACGTTTTAAGGCCTCCAGGCAGTCCTTCAGGACAAAGTCTGTGAGAAGCTGCTTATTCCCTTTGGAGGTCTCGCCACTTGGTTACACCATCCCTGCTGCAGGTCTTGGGGGCACATCTCCAGTGACATGGCTGGTGATCCTGCCTGATTTGTCCTGGATGGGTGCATCAGGACATGGGGAATTGGGGAAAGAGGAGTCAGTCAGAGGTGAACAAGTGAAATGCTTTATCTCTGGGGCGCCAGCATTGGGGCATGTCTGGTAGAAGGGTGGCACATTCCAGTGAAATTCTCACCCAAGGGAGCCGCTGTGCTGTCGGCCTCCACCTTGGACTGATAACCATGTGTCTGTGCCTTTGGCTTTGAGTCCCAAGGTGGAAAGCTGTTTGTGGTGTGGCTGTAAAACTTGCTCCCTGTGGGCTCTTTGTCTGCCTTCCATAGATGGATGAGACGGGGCGCATCCTCTGTAACCTGTGCAACGTGGTCCCTGGAGGGGTGGTGTGTTTCTTTCCCTCCTACGAGTACCAGCGTCAGGTCTATGCCCACTGGGACAAGAGTGGCCTGCTGGCCCGCCTGGCCATCAGGAAAAAGGTGAGTGCCCTGCATCTAGAAGACAGTGCTGCCTGGAGCTCCTTCTGGGCCTCCTCGTGCTGTCGAGTCAGGATGGTTCAGCTTCTCCTTTCTTCTTACTGCTCTGGTTCCTGAGTCCTGGCCTGCAAGGTTCCTCCACAGCCAGACCCCATGATTGTCTGTCTGACCTTAGGCTGCAAATCCAGCGCCTTGAGCAGAGCCAAGACCAGCATTCCAAAGCCCTTTTCTGGGAGGTATTCTCTTCTCCCTTCAGATATTCCAGGAACCCAAGAGAGCAAGCCAGGTAGAGCAGGTGCTCATGGCGTATTCCAAGTGCATTACGGTGAGAGGTGGAATGGAGGGTGGGTCCAGAGAGCACGTCGGCCTGGAAGCTGGGAATAGTTGGGGGCACTCCAGCTTTGGCTCAGCAGCTCTGGGCTGGGTGTCTCCTACAGTGCTGTGGCCAGGTGGGAGGCACAGTGACAGGGGCCCTGCTCCTCTCTGTAGTTGGAGGAAAGATGAGCGAAGGAATCAACTTCTCTGATGATCTGGGCCGGTAGGTAGAGTGGTCCTCTTCTCTACTGGGATGGACACCCCTCCTCCCCTGCCTGCAGTCTCATGCATCAGGGTTGCACCTGCTCAAGTCACTGCCTGCTCAGGGTCAGTGGCCAGTGGGGGGAGGAAGTGCAGCAACTTTGACTTGGGTTCATGGAGCAGGGGGATATTAGGCCATAATTGCATCAGGATCCAGTACCTTTGCCTGGTCTGGATCTCTGAGCTATGAACACCCTTTCCAGGTGGTAGGTGCAGTGTGGGGTAAGATGAGCCATGAGGCTCAGCTGGAGGGAGAGGGCTGTAGAGGCTAGCCGTTGACAGTGTGTGGATGAGGGTCCCGGGAGGCATGAGATGCCCATCAGTGTGTTTGTCTCCACCCAGGTGTGTGGTGATGGTGGGCATGCCTTACCCCAACGTCAAGTCTCCAGAGCTGCAAGAGAAGATGGCCTACTTGGACCAGACCCTTGTGAGTACCTCTAGTGTTCCACAGGATGAAAGGAGAGGGCTGGAGAGGAAGAGCTGTGTCACCCCAGGGCTGGGATGCAGGGCCTTGTGCTATGAGTTCCCACTGCATACGTTTCCCATCCACTTTGGAGGTTTTAGTATATATCTCCTTGCCTCCTTAACTGCTGGCATGGGCCATGCAGCCTTCTGACTTTGCTCCAAAGCCTGGAATACTTAATGAGGTGAGAAGCAATTCAGATTGGCCATCTCCTTTGTCCTTCCCAGCCTAGGAGCCCAGGTCAGGCACCCCCAGGGAAGGCACTGGTGGAGAATCTATGTATGAAGGCTGTCAACCAATCCATAGGTAAGCCTGGAACTGCTGCTGGCCATCAGGATGAACATTTGGAGACAGATGGATGTTTGAAGGAGGAGGTGACAGGAAGGAGGGATTTTTACCTGCCACATCTCCCCTCTGGGTCCCAAGGAAAGGAGGGGATACAGTGTGTGGGCAGGCAGGTTTAACTCATAGCCCCAATCTCTGACCACCCAGGCAGGGCCATCAGGCACCAGAGGGACTTTGCTAGTATTGTGCTCCTGGACCAGCGGTATGCCCGCCCCTCTGTTCTGACAAAGCTGCCAGCCTGGATCCGAGACCGAGTAGAGGTCAAAGCCACCTTTGGCTCTGCCTTTGCTGCTATGCGGAAGGTCAGTCTGCCTTTCCTTCCCCAGGAGCCTCCCTCATCCTGAGAAGTAGCTTCTCACCGCCTTTTCCTCTCCTCTCTGCAGTTTCATCGACAGAAGTCTGTCCCTTCCTGATGGCTAGTTGCACCACTGCCTTATGCCAGGCTCTTCTTTTACCTGTCCACTCAACATAGCCTTTGTCTTGGGCCTAAGAAGGTGAAACCCACGTGGAGAGCATTGAGTCCAGACCAGCCTCCTGACCTGACGGGCTGCCAGGATCCAGGCTTACATAGAAAAAGCCAGCACATCTGGTTCATTCTAAGAAGGAGTGAGCCTGGCCCCCTCAGGTCAACTCGTCCCATTCAGCGTGGCCCAGGGTCAGCTTCCTGCCTGGCCTTTGCAGGAGGCTATAGAAGTGGCAGCCTCTACTCAAGAGGTGAGGCCCACCCTATCTCTGCCCTTTCTAGCTAAAATGAGCTGTTTGAGACTTTCACCCTGTCATCTATATTATAGGCCCCCCATTTTTAGCTCCCTGGCATCCATGGGGCGCTCCCCAAAATAAACACGTCTTACTTCCTAACCACAGCCCTGCCTCTCACCTGTTTCTGGGCCCTCTGTAGTTCTAGCTCCCTGGCTTGGCTCCAGGGCTTCCCTCAAGCCAGTGGCACCTCCCTGTCTCAACCACTTGAGCAAACTCCAGGACACCATCTACCCTGACATCAGAAATTACACCGAGGGCCATTAGGCGCTCAGCAGGGCTATTTTTAGACGCCCTGTGTCTGTCACTGATACTCTTCTTCCTGTGGAAAAACATCCCTCCCTCCACCTACGATAGCTGCCCCTGCTCCCCTCTTCTAGCCTCAACCCCCCGAGAAAGGACCCTTTGGACCTTCTGTGCTATGGTCTGGGGACCACTGAGGCAGGATAGTCCCACTCTGAGAAGCCCCCCTCATGGCCATGGCTCCTTATTAAACGTGCACTGTTGAGCCAGGGTGCTGGTGGCTCACACCTGTAATACTAGCTACTGAGGAGACAGATCAGGAGGATTGCAGTTCAGAGCCAGCCTGAGCAAACAGTTCTGGAGACCTTCTCTATCTCAAAAATACCCAAAACAAAAAAGGGCTGGTAGTGGCTCAAGTGGTGGGGTGCCTGCCTAGCAAGAGTGACACCCTGAATTCAAACACCAAAAAAATAAAGTGCACTACTGGCTTGGGCTCAGTTGTCCAGTGACCCTTATTTATTCATTCACACTGCCATTTTCTCTCAAAGGCTCTGGGAAGAGAAGAGCACCTGGAGGAGGGGTGGGTAGGGCAGTCATGGAGCCAGCAGGGCCAGGCAGATGGCACATACCATCCCTCTCGGTGAAGAGGGACTAGGCAACAACCGGGGACAGTCCTCCAGCACCCTGGACCACATCAGCAGTGGCCAAGAGGCCCAGCAGACCAAAGAGTCCTTCTGGCTGTACTTCCCTAGGACTCCCAGTCGTCCTCATCCTCCTCTCCTGGTGGCTGCTGTGGTGGTGGCAGAGGTGGAATGGAGTCTGACATTCGGGCAAAGGCTCCTCCTGGCCCCTCACTGGTACCAGTTCCAGGTCCTTTCCCAGAGATACCTGGAGGAGAAAGGCTAGTAAGGAGGGTTGCTTGGGACACCAGTTCACCAGCCCCTAGAAACTTGAAAAAAGGAAGAGAAAGATGGGAATATGTAAGAAAGATATAAAACATCCCAGGCCCCAGTCCACAGAAGTCAGGCTCTTCCTCCTACCTTTGCGCCTCATGACCAGCTTGTTGAAGAGGTCTGACATCAGGTCCCCACCCTGGCTTGTGGCTCTTACTGCAGTGGGAAAGCCATCAGTGAGGGAAGGTGAAGGGGCCAAGCAGGACACATCTCTGGGGCAACCACACACGCTTTTTTTTATTTTTGGTTTTTTGGGACAGGGTCTCACTAGGCTGGACTTGAATTTTTTGATCCTCCTGCCTCAGTTGAAGTGCTAGGATTACATCACGCCCAGCCAGTCACTCTTGCTCACTAACCCCATCCCCAACAGCACCCATCAGCTGCCCTGCCATGTGTTGGCCACAAGACCTTGGGGCCTGGGCCTGCCCATGGACCTAGCCCAGGAACTAACAAAGTAGCTAATGTTGGAATCCTCACAGCTCACTGTATGGATGAGGACGATGGCCCTGAAGGGTTAGATAATTTACGTGGGGTCACAAGCCCAGCACTCTGCCCGGCTCTGCTGCTTTGGGGCCAGGGGGTTTGTGATGCCAGTGCATGGGATTCACACAGACAGAAGCTGGGCCCCAGAGCCTTCTCTAAGTAGGACTGAGCTAACCCCAAGTCCTCTTCCTCTCCAGCACTTCAGGTCCCTGAAATTGTTCTCTTTTGTCATGGTTTGAGCTGGTTGAGGAGCCCATGGCCCAGGCAGGAGAAGCAAGGCTGTCAGGGCATCCCTGGGGCTTCCAGCTAGCACCCTAGGGAAGGCTTGGGCAGTTTAGCCAGATGTTAGCTTGCTTGGTGGGGTACAGGGGCAGGTGGCCTGGGGCTGGGAGGCCTACTGAGACAGGCCAAGTGTCTCCTTACCTTGCTCCTGTTCCTTCTGTTTCTTCTTCTCCAGCTTGCGCTCCTTGACACTGCGCAGCTTGGCTTTGCCTATGCCTCCAGCTTGGCGGATGGACTCAAGCAAGGTGGCCCGACCACTGGAAGGGTCAACCACTTCCTTGGGAGCTCCTTGGACTGGAGCTGGGAGGGGAAGAGTGCAATGACTACTCAGGCAGGCCTGGGTACGGACAGCCTTGCCAGGCCTAAGGTGGGAGTGACCTCTTGAAAGAAGCCAGCTGGGGAACTGGGCCTTCCAGGGCTTTCTGTGACCACCAAGCTCACGGGTCTTGAGTCCAGGCATCCTAGATCCCTCTCCAAATTCCCCCTTCTTCCTCCCCCCACCCCACATTCAGGTGCCGCTCTGCAGAGGTGAACCTTGTGAATCACTGATACGCTGTCATGTTCTGACTTAACACACAAACCAACAAGGAATTTTGTGTTTCCTGTGTTGGCTAGAATTCTACAATTTCAATTTTCTGCAGAACCTTTTTGTCATTGGTTTAACTGGGGATAGGAGGTCAGAATTGCAAGCCCTACAGTTTGAAAAAACAGTCTTACGGAGATAACAGAATAGGTTATTTAAAATGAAAGCTGTTCAGCAAGCCTGGGCTTTATGACCACTTAGCCCACAGAAGACCCCAGGGGTCCAGAAGTTGCCAGGTGCCCTCAAGGAAGAAACCCAACAGCCAGTCCTGTACTGCCCCTACCTGATGGGGGTGCACTGCTGGTGCCATCCTCCTCCCTGGCACCCTGGGCAGGTGAGGCTGTGGTCTGAGGGACGGTGGAGGTGGGGGTGCACTGGTCAGGACTGCAGGAGCTAGGGGAGGTGGTGGAGGTGGGGGTGGGGGTGGGGGAGCCGCTAGCACCCCATCCTCTAAGTCTAGAAGAAAAGAAAGTATGAGTGCCTAGGGCAAGAGGCCAAAAAGGGAGCTCTGTGGCCCAAGTCCCAGCTCACCTGGCTTGAAAGGCTCAGCTATCTCTGTATGGAAAGTGGGCAATTCTGGAATGGCACCAGGGGCAGAGGGGGCAATGCCAGGGCCTAGGTCAGCACTGTACATGAGGTCATCAGCAATGCCAGGCAGATCGGGCAGGTAGGATGGTACGTCAATCTCAGGCACTTGGCCCAGGTCTGGCACGTAGAAGTAGTTCTCTGGAATCTGTGGATTTTGGTAAGGATGCTTGAGTGGGAAGGCCTGCAGTGTGACCCTGGGTAGTCAGTGGGGCCTGGCGTGGACCCCCACACAGCTGGGCAGATAAGGGGCTTGGTAGAGTCTTCCCTCAGAGAAGCACCTTGGCAGAGCCCACCCACCCACCCAAGCCCCCTCTAGCTCCACCTGCCGCTCTAGTTGCTCTCTCTTGCTGATGGACAGAGGGGCATCGAACAGCTTCTCCTCTGTGTCTGCCCCCAGCATCACATGGGTCTTTGTTACAGCACCAGCCAGGGGGTCCAGGAAGACGTATTTCTTGTACCTGTATGGTAGAATGAAGAGGCCATCACCTTGTGTTCTGGGCTGACTCCTGACCACTCCGCCCACTTCATCAGGGGCTTCCACTGCATTTGTGGGTTCCCAAGCCAAACCAGTCAGCTCCGGAATGCTGTATGGGTCTGATGCCCCTGGACCCCAGCTAAGCCCTCCCTCCCCTTTTCCCTCCACGCCTCGTGGCCATACAAGTTCTCAGTGGTGTTGAACAGCAGCAGGGAGCTGACAGAGCTGATGTTGCTGGGAAGACCCCCAAGCCCTTCCTCAGCTTCATCCTCGGGCTCTGGCTTGGTAGTCACACAGACGGGGAAGTATTTCAGCTTCTCCTGGGGAGAGGGAGACAGAAGGATGGATGGTGGGTTTCAACACCACACCAAATTGACCCCCACCCCATCCTAGACAGACTTCTCTTGGAGCACAGAAGCCTATGGTGGATCCTCAGATCCTGTCTCCTGGTATCCACAGACTCCAGGTGCGTGATAGGTGGGTAGCTGTCAGACCTGTAGGGCCCGCTCATCCAGGGGGCGATGTTTGCTCTGGATCCGATGGCGGGGTCGTCTCTGCAGGCCAGGGTCCTGTGCGCCTGTGAAAATGGAGCCGTATTCCTGCAGGTGCTCTGGAGCTGGGTACTTGGCACTGGAGAACACCTATGGACACGAGGACAAGTCTGAAAGGCTCCGGACAACCTAGGGTTGGTCTGCAAACACGGCACAGGAGGAAATCATGAGGTATGGCTGGACAGCAGGGGCACAGGAAGATGGAGAGACTGCACACCAGTCACAGAACACCAGGCAGGTGGGCTACCTTGATGGCCTTCTTGCTGCCCTTGATTTTCTCAATCTTGGCCTGGGCCAAGGAGACCCTCTCCCCAATGGCCTGCAGCTGGCTCCGGCTCAGCTCCACTCGCTGGGAGATCCTGTTGTGGAAAAGATGCAGAGGCTGGGGGCTGCCCCCACGCCCTGCAGTCTCTGCACCTCCTGTTCTAAGAGCAGACCTGCAATTCACCAGGGCCCTGGGCAGAGACTTTCAGCACAGTGCCAGTTCTAGTACTGTCCAGGGTCTAGAATTGCACTGAGCCCTGGGTAGACATGTACCGCCACCCTGGCTGGCCACCCCACATTGGCACTTGTACAGGTTATTTATAGGGATGTAGGTTCCTGCCTCCAGGGACTCACAGCCTCAAGAAGGAGCACGCAGAGACCGTTGTCCTCACCTGCACATTGGTAGAGAGCTATTGACAGTGGGCAGAGCATCAGCACCCTCCTTTCATGGTCACATGAAGTCGAAAGACTTCTGGCTTCCTTGCACGCAGGAAACTAGAGTTCAGTGAGGCTAAGGAAGTGATCAGGCTGGATCAAGATTCTGTCACCTCAATTCAACCCCAGACCTGTTCAGAAATTGCCTACACACAGCAGGCTCCGGGTGAGAAGTGACACCAGCTGCCCTGACACACCCAGGCTCTTCTTCAAAAAGGATGAACAAGAATCTGACCGACACCTCCTATATCACCCCCACCAACTCTAGAGAGTCTTCCCCCTCCCATGAAACCTGGGTCTCCATGCCCTAATGAAGTCTGCTCTGACTATTCCTGGCTCTCAGGCAGAGGTATGGGTAAAGTGGCAGAGCTGGAGTATGCGTGAGCACCAAGCAGTTTACTTCTTGGCAGATGGGGCTGAGGGTGTTAACAATACAGAAAAGAAAAGGTGGACACTGTCTCCTTACAGTGGGAGAAGCAGAATCAGCCCACCAGGTACTGTTTTCTCTAGCACAGACAGGTCTCCATCTGTGGTAATGGGACTTGGACACAAGCCGTTTTACCTCCCTCCAGATTCTGACAGCCACACTCCACCTAAGTAACCTCGGGTTACATAACAGCTCCACTCAGGGTCTACAGAGAGAATGGGAGGGATACTGGAATCTGAGATGGACGGTGGTAACCCTGTCTTGGTTCTTAGGAGAGAATAGAAAGGCTGATTTCTCAAAGTTGCCAACAGTGAGTTTCCAAATGAACCCTGCCAAATTTCTGGAAAGTGTATTAAATGGAGGGCCTGTACACCCTTAGAAAAGGAAAAGGTAAGTCCTGGGGGCCAGCACTGTTCTAAATTCATTGCATTTCTTTTTTTTTTGATGGGGTTATTAGGTGGGGACACCAGGAGAAAACATCTACCACGGCACATCTTGAGCCAGTAAGGATTATGACAGCTTCTAACAAAATCCAATGGGTAAGATGCAGTACAGAAGGAAATCAGAGCCAGACGGACAGCAGTCCTGAAGGGCACTGCTGATGAAGGGCTGACTTCAGCCTGGCACGCAGGGCTCAGGCCCTGCCCAGTTCATTCAACACTCGATAGAAAACTGCTGATTTCACATGGGGAGGGTCAAAGTGCACCATGGAATCAGGACTTGGTGTTGAAGGCCAGAGGATGGACTGCTATCAACAAGATCTCATTTACCAGGAATGGATGTGAAACCTGACACTTAGGTGTGAAAAATCAAGTGCACAAATATACAAGGTAGAGGGAACTTGGCTTGGGAGCAATTCAGAAAATAAAGACCTGGAGGTTTTAGTTCACTGTATGCCCAGTAAGGGCTCAAAGCATGTTAAGCAGCTTAAAAAGGAAGTGTAATTTTAAAAGGAAGGGAGGGTACGCAACCCCTCATCCTCTCTCCTACCTCCCTTCTCCTTTCCACAAGCAGGGAACATACAGCCTATTGGAAGCACAAAAGAAAACCACCCTGAACATGAGAGCTGCTCTACGCCAGGAACCAGTTTCACCCACGGGCATGTCCCCTTCAATGCTCTGAGCACCCTTTTAGACAGTAGAGTCTGTTTGTTCTCTGCTTTATCTCTAGCACTTGGGTCAGAACCTGACAGGTAACAAGCACTAGCTGGATAGAATGTGACGAATGAACGAACACCCAAAGGAGGGTGAAGAAGACGGTGGTGACTGAGAAACTTGTGCCATAAGAAGACAAACTGAAGGATGTTCTGGCTAAAGATGAGAAGATGGAATTCCCCTCACATATCCAAAATATCAAAAGGGATGTCAGGTGGAAAATAAATCAGACTTATTCTGTCACCACAGAGTGGTGTTAGGACTAGCAGTTGGGGTTAGGAGGAATCAAATCTCTGCAGAGAACGTCCTACTGTAGTTGCACAGCTTTGCAACTACAGTATTCCAGATGGATGACTGCCTGTCAGGGACACACCAAGGGAGAATCCTGCCTCAGACGGGAAATGGAGGACATGTCTGGGATTCTTCCCTTACTGGAGAGCCTGTATGTCTAAGTAAAGCCCCAGATACTCTAATCTTCTATGGTCACATGAGGTGACACGAAGGGACAGTAGATACAGTATTCTGAAGCATTCATTTGTCCTCTCAGTTGACCAGCAGTAGTGGTCTGGAAGGCTGTGCTAGGAAGGACTGTTAGGCCAAGTTGGGCTGAGATGCTGATTAATGACACACACCCTGAGGCCAAAGGTGGAACAGTGGCAGGAGGGCGATGTATGCGCCATTACTGGTCTGGACCCCCTGGTCTGGTGGCCTACTTCAGGGTAGGTGCATTTCTGAGCTCATGGCTGAAGCCATAGTCCTACAACACACTAGCAGGGGAGGAGTGTGTGTCTGCCAGGGCAGGGACGGGACTGGCTCACTCAGTCTGGCCATGGCTTGGACCTCGAGATAGTCCATCTTCTTTTACCGGCAGGGGAGGGCAGCCTTCCAAACATCTCCCTCTCTTTCTCCTTTCTCTTCCCACCCCTTGTTGTTTAATAAATGACCTAAGTGGGTTTAGTTTGTATAACACAACGCTAGGGGTTGTGGGGAACAGAGGTGAACAGACAATACACATCTGTCTGAGGCTATTCGGGCCCACCAAGGAGGGAAGAAAGGAACATCAATAACCACAGTGTCCCACGGCCCTGGATTGCACATCCATTTAGAAGCAGCGTGACCTTGCACAAGTCACTTTTTGGTCAACGCTCAGCTTCAGCTGAAAATCTGGAATTGTACCTTCTGTATCATGGAATGACAATGTATTCATGGAGGGTTAGCGCTCCTGTGCTAGCTGTCGCTCCCCAATCACTCGGTTCATGTAGGTGGGGAGTGCAAGGGCCACAGGCACACAGAGGAACTGCGTACTCCTGCAGGGGTGGACTGGGCAAGTTGTTCGGAAGAAAGGGAGAAGGAAACTCCAACAGGAAGCAGACTTTTGCAAAAGAACATGGTGGGGGGGCGGGGAGATGGGATGTCAAGAGGGACTACAGTGGCTCCCCTGGCTGGAGCAGGCTGCTGTAAAGTGGCACAGTAGGAAAGTGAGGGTCAGGATGGTGCCTGGCCTCCTTGTCTGCCATCTCCAAAGATGACCCCTATTTCCTATGGGATTATTTCACATGAGGCCCTACAGGGCTGTACTGGCTCGCACAGCCAGCATACAAGTCCCTGGAGCTGCTGGGGCAGAGGGAGCATACACTCCTTACTGGCTCAACTGCTTCCCTCTGCTGCCTCCTGGCAACCCCAGAAGAGGGGCTGAACCTTGGCTCCTGCCTTCACCTGAATCTTCTTGAGTCTCTGGGATAATTAAGAATGATCTGCTAATTATTCAGGCGGCTGACTGAATGCTTTGTAACCTTGGGGGCCACCAGGTGTCAATCAATGGTGAGAAGGGGAGGGAAGTGAGGAGAGGAGGAGGGAGGCATGGAGAAAGTGAGGACGGGAAAGGATGGGAAGGTGAAAAGGAGGAAAGAAAGATGGAGGAAGAAGGAAGAGAGGGAGGAGGGAGGAAGGAGGAAAGCTTCAGAAAGAAAATTAACCCTCTCCCAGGAAGAAGGAGCTAGGTAGGGCTGCTGTTTCTGGGGTGATGCAGCTGGGCTAGGCTGGTGAAGAAGGGCAGACAACAGCACTGACAACGTCCACACAATCTCCAGCTTCTCCTTTTAGCCATTCCACCCCCTCCTGCCACATCTTCTAAGTCATGTGAAGCAGGTAGTGGCTTTGGTGGATACTCTGGGGTGAAGATGGGGCAGAGGGAGGGCAGGTGATCTGCAGGGAGCGGCTGGAGAGAGCCTGAGAGGTACTTGTCATTCAGTCTGCGCACGGCTCCCCACCGCGGCAGAGGAGGAGGAAGGATGCCAGCTCTGAATGCTAATTTGCCATGAGCTCATCTACCTGCACTGCTGCCCAGGCTGCACTGAGGCCAGGGGTCTGCCAGGTTCCAAGATGGGGAGCAGTGGGCTGGTGAGTCTCTCCACCTGTCTGTGTCTTCTTTCAAGATTTCCAGGCAGGTGGAGCATGTCTCAGGGGGAGTTCTAAGCTGGGGTCACATCCCCATCCCAAAAGCTCATGAAAAATGAAAGGCCACAGGCTTGTGGACTGCTGCAGGTGAGGAGGGCAGGGGTGAGCACAGGTGTTGGGGATCCCCACGCAGTAAGTCCTCCCTTCTTTGCGTTCTGTTCCCAACCTGTCACTGTAGCCTGTCACTGCTTCCTTTGAGATTTCTCTTCCCTGCCTCTAACAGCCTGGACCACACTCCTTTTCTTGTCCTTGACAGCTCTTTGCCCCATTGCTTCTATGTTCAAGGCCCTCATGTGGCCCCCCTGAAACTCCCAGATGGAATTCAGTCTTGTCCTGCTACGGGAGTCTGGTGGGTCAGATTTACTGATCCCAGCTTCCACTCCCTGCCCTGCTGCTCCCAGTGCTGCTGTGGTACAGCACTGTGAAGTGTTCCCACAGCACAACAGAGGACAAGGAGCACAGGCAAAGTGCCAAGACACGCAACCTGAAAAGGGATGCAAGGCCCACAAACATGCAGAAAGTCAACTTTTTCTACTTTGTTCTGAAGTGAAGGGGCTGAAAGTGTGGGACAGGCAGCTAAGCCTGCACTCTCAGCACCAATATACCTCTTCCCCTACAGAGGCCAGGCTCCCTGGCAGCCTATGACACACCATGTTCTGGGCCATATTCAGGCTTCTCTTTAAGCCTGTGCCTCCCTTTTCTGGACTCCACCAGATGACCTGCATGCCCACCTTCCAAGTCCTAGCTCTAAACCTGTATCTCCTTCCCAGCCAGCTCCTGCAGTTGGCATGGCGTTTTCCTCCTGATTCAAGTAACAGTCCTGTTTCCTTTAGGGAGTCATCTCTCGCACAGGCTCAGTACCCTGCTGCAGATGGGGTTCCACCACCAGGGCTAGGACTACATTGGAGTCAGTCAGTGTAGGGTATACCCACAGCCCCAGCAACTGATTCTGGGAGACAATGAGTACCATGCTGGGCATGGATGTGACACCTGGAGGAAGAGCTGGCACAGTGGAGGGCATTCTTTCTGGCTAGACCTGAACCTGAGTATTAGAGCTCTCACCCTACTAGCAGTCCCCGTCACCACTACAGCAAGATCTGTCTGGGAATGCAGCCGACCCTGAAGAAGCAAAACCAGGCCCTGAGGACATCACTGAAGCTCTTCAACTCCAAACCTGCCTTACGGATTGGTTACTTTGGGTTTAACCTGGTTTGGGGAATTCTGATTGACAGTGTGCTGCTGATTCTTTTTTTTCTTCTCTAGATTCCTGGAAGCCCGTACAGTCCATGTCACATACCTAAGAATCAACCAGTTCTTTGCTTTCCTATTCTAGACTCTAATTCCTGGAAGACACCATATCACACACTTCAGTATCCCTCAGGGTCCACCCAATGCTGAGCACAAGATGAATGGAACTTGTCTGTGAGGGAGCCTAGATTCAGGTGCGGGCCCAATCACATGGAAGGCCTGTACCCATGTGCTTCTAACTCTCACTTCCTGTCAAGCTGGCTTTCCTGCCGTCTTGTCACCCCATCCATGGGTAAGGGAACATACAATTGTCTACAAGGTGCCCCCAGGATGGGAAAGGAAAATATGACCAAATCCAACATTCCCCTTAGAGAAGGGAGCGCATGAGGTCATAATCCCAATGAGGAAACGATTTCTGAGGGGTTGGTTTGGGCATCCATTCCTAGCCCTGGGCATGGATGGCCATCATCTGGAGCTGATGGCTCTTAAAGGCCTGTGTCCTCTTGTTTATGTGTCACTTGGGCACATTTAGTGCAAAAGTGAGCACAAAGGAAGCATCTAGAAATTCCTACGCCTGCTAATAGTTGACTGACAGATGGCCACTGTAGGCAGCAGTGAGCAGAATGGTGTCCACAGATAGGTACTAACCTTCACCGAATGCTTATAGCCTGCTGGGCCCTGCTTACTTCCCTTGCATGTTTAATCCACTTAGCTTTTACAACAATCTGACAAAGAAGTACTTTCATCATCATAATTTTACAGATGAGAACACTGACACGTAGACAGATTAAGTAATGTGCCCAATGTTATAGAGCAAGCAAATGGTGAGCCAGACTGGAGCTGAGGCATTCTGCTCCAGAGGTGATGACCTAACACTGTCAGTGCACTGCCCCTGGCTATGTCTATTTTCTGAATAGGCTTAAAGCTGGCAGGTGAGTCAGCAGGCAGGAAAAGAGCAGAAGAGTCAAGAAGATCTGGGGAGACAAATGACCACATTTTCTCCCTTAATTGAGAGGGCTTCCAGGAAGAGGTAGACATCCAACTGGTGAAGGAAGAGGAGATTCATGGGGAAGGAGCAGCAGTTCCAGGTATGGACTACAAACTGGGATGGAGTAAGTGAACATGTGGTCTGTGAGAAGAACTGAATCAGGCAGTCAAATACTTCGCATGGGGTGGGAGAAGTCATTGAGCAGAAGACCAAGCCTTATTAGTTGACTTGCCACCAAAGACAGAACCTGGGTACCAGACAAAATCTGGGACCCTTGCAAGCAAAGAGAATTAATTCAATCATGTTAAATAAACACTGAATGAAAAAAATCACTGTAACCCAAGGGCTGTGCGAGGTAAGTGCTGGAAATTCAGAAAGCTGCAGTTCTCCAACTCTGCTGTGGTTTGGAAGTATCCCTCAAAGCCCCATGTGTTGAAGGCTTGGTCTTCTGCCTGTGCTGTTATTGAGAGGTGATGGGGCCTAGAGGGAGGAAGTTAGGTCACTGGGGGCATGCCCTTGGAGGGAATATTGGGACCCCAGCCCCTGCAGTCTCTCTGCTTCCTGGCCGCCATGAGGTGAACAGGCCTCACTGCCTCACACTCCTGCCTCAATGTACTGTAGCACTGAGACAATGTACTTTGGGTACCACAGGCCCAAAGCAACCATGGACTAAAACTGTAAGCCAAAATAAACCTTTTCTCCTTTAAGTTGTCTTAGGTATTTTGTCACAGCAACAGAAAGATGACTAACGAGTTCAAAATCACAAATGACCTAAAGGGCTCTGCCTACCTCACCAGCCTCTCCTTGCTCCAGCCACACCAGCTTCCTTTCAGGTCTTTGCTACCTCAGGGATTCTGCTCATGCCCTTATTTCTTTCTTGGAATGTTCTTCCTGACCTAACTCCTCTCCCCCAGATTCTACCATAAAATGTTTTTTCCTCACATACCCCTTCCCTGATCTTTCTAGGCCAAGTCAGGGCTCCCATTAAAGTATCACAGCACCTCATCTCCCCTTCATTGAGATGATATTAGTCACACGGAATCTGTAACCAAAGTCCCTGAGTTTGAACCCTGGTTTTGCCATGTGGCCAAGTCTCTTTGTGTGCCTCAGTTTGTCTATAAAAGGGAGCTAACAGTACCTCCTCCCATAGTGTAGCTAAGTGAGTTAATGTACCTACCTCAATGTCCATGGCTGATGCTAAATAAATTCTATAAAAATTGTCTTACTTCTACTGCAGTTCATTAATTGTGCAGTTGGTTAGTCAGGCACCACATAGCCCTATTTTAACTAAAAAGGGACCACAAATATGATAGTGGAGCTGACAAATCCCTATCACCTAGTGACTGAGCCCTTGGAACACTGCCATAGGCACAGCACATTTCTCCTGTGTGTGAGGAGATGCTGGTGTAAACAAATCTACTGCATGGCCAGTCACATAAAGTACAGCAATACAGTCACGCACAGCTTATCTATGCTGGCGATAATAAATGACTGCTACTGCTCTCTGTATTTGCTATGCTATTTGCTCTTGCTACTTTACAGCGCACTCCTACTACTTATAAAAGTCTGCAGTAAAGAGTCTGCGGGGCTCACCTTTACTGCCTCTCTCGATCACGGCAAGAGGCTATGTGCAGTGAGTGCCTACACTGTCTAGCTCTGTATGGCACTCTACAACGCTCACACAAGGCAAGGTCACCTACTGTTGCAATTCTCAAAACAGCCTGGCATTAAGTGAGGCTTACTGTATTGAAGTCTGCAGCTCCTACCAGAGAGAATACTCTATGTAAATGGGGTGTGGCTTACTGCTGCAGCTAGAACCCAGCTCAGAGCCCTGTGCTCCTGAGTGCCAAGTCAGTGTTGGCTGGCTGCAGGAGTAAGTGGAGGAACAGGCCTGCCAGTGGGAGGAAGATTAGAGCTGCCACTGGGGCCTGTGGATCTTACCCAAAGTCCAGGGAATACATGGAACAGTGGGTGGTGAGCTCTTGGGCACTTAGGAGAAACTCTTTTAAGCTGGGCTCCTGCCTTGCACCCCTCTGACACAGGCCTGAGTCCCCTAAGAATCACTAAAAGGTATGTTCCCAGAAGGTGCATTCCTAGGACTAGAGTGAAGCCTGCCCAGGACAGGGGCGGCCTCTATTAGGTGGGGGTAGGTGACAGCTCCCACCTGCTAAAGATGTCTCCAGAGACCTTCTGTAGGTACTGCAGCGCATCTGCCACCTGCTGGATGGCCTCCTCCCGCCGCAGGTCTGGCTGGATGAGGGGCACAGCGTAGGTTTGTCCCGCCAAGGAGTGCTGGGTTCTCACGGGAGTCATGGTGCCTGTGGGTGGGAACCAGAGCATCAGGATGGCAACCCACACTCCTCCACACCCACTTGCTGCAGGGACAAGTGGTGTCAAGGACAGAAGACCTGGCATCTACAGGGTTTCAGCCTGTGCGAGGCAGTGTGGGGGAGGGAATGAGGCCAGGAAGCTGACGGGGGCAGCAGCAGGAACCAGTAATTGGCAGGGACAAGAGAAGTTCAGAAAACTGAGGCATGTTGTGACGCATCCCTGCTCCCAGGAGCTCGGGACCCTGCTAAGCACCTGTCCACACATTATCTCAGTTCCACCTCCCACACTTGGTAACACAAAAGAAGCCCCGGCTGCAGAGTACAAAAGAAGCTGGAAGCAGAGGGCTGAATGGGGGGATGGGATCACCTGAATCCAATGCCACATGGTCCCCAAATCCCCTAAAGCAGAGAAATTGGACACTTGGGTTCTCCCACTTTGGCCCTGGGGACCTCAGGCTTTTCCTAGTCACTGGTCAGTAACTCCAAGAAGAGTGTCCTGTCCAGGCTTTGCATACCTAGGCCAGCAAGAAGAGGGTCAGAAAGAAGGAGGTACATGTGGGGGTGGAGGACAGGAAGGAAAAACACACCTCCAAATTGCAAGGCGAGGGCAGAGTCTATTTATATTGGGTTTAATTAACTCCGCTCCCCGGTGCCACTAAAGCAGCAATCACACTGCAGACGGCACTGATTTGATTGGCAAGAGACGCGCCAGGCAGAATATTAAGGCACCAGGCCCCTATAAATAGGCCTAATCACAGCCCCTCACTGGAAGACGATGAGGAAGACATTAATCAGGCCTGGCACCATGCCCCAAACCTACTCTTAGGCACCACCTGGGGCCCTTGGTTGCAATGGAGGTGTGAGTGGGACCCGGTTAAGCATGACAGAAAGGGCTAGGAGGCTTCATCTGGTGTTAAAGTGCTGTGTGACCTTGAGGAAGTTGCTTATCTTCTCTGAGTCTGATCCCTCCCATCTCCTATGGACTGAAAATTGGCGCTGCTAAGAAGTTACTACTTCAGAATACACATAAAAATGTATATATCCTACATAATGCATCAAACCAACATCTTCACCAAGTGGGAGCCTCACCTGGTTCCACTGCTGGTTTCCTGAGCTCTTCCTTCTACCCTACTGGCTCTGTCCTACCCTCCTCAGGCCAGCATCTCTCCCAAGCTGAGATGATCAACTCATCTGCTCTTCAACTACACCTCCAGCAGGGAGCTCCTCCTTCGCACCGTCCAAACCCGAACCTGCCTTGCACACTCATCAAGGCCAGGAGTTACTCCTCACTCCCCACATCCTTCCCTCTCAGCAAGTCACCAAAGTGGGGCCAGCTGCTCCCTAACCCTGAGGCCACACACCATTTCAAGAACTTTCCTCCCTTCCCTGTGTATGCATCCGTCCATATGCAAATGTGCTGGCCATCCGACTTTGTCCTATGCCTCAATTCTCCCATCTGTAAGATCAGGAGGGGAAAAAGAGAAGGTACTTTCTGTGCTCATCTTTTTATTTGTTTATTTATTTTTGGTGGCACTGGGGTTTGAACTCAGTGGCTTGGGCCATTCTGCCACCCCCTTTTCTGTGATGGGTTTTTTCGAGATAGGATCTTGTGAACTATTTGTCTGGGGCTGGCTCTGAACTGGGATACTCCTGATCTCTGCCACCTGAGTAACTAGGATTACAGGCGTGAGCCACTGGCATCCAGCTCTGTGCTCATCTTGAGATGAATTTCTCATTAGTTACAGCATCTGGATGTGTGTAGTTGCCCGCACACAGGCACAAGCGTAATACAGGCAAAAATCTCAACAAGGAAGTGGCAAGTCCGCTATAGAATTCTGAGTGAATACAGCTGTCTGTGGTTCATTCTGTCTGCAAACATCTACTGATCAGCTCTTAAGTGCAGGCATAATCACAACAGAGATGAGTAAGACACAGCACTAGGCAGGCAGATAGCCTCAAAAACAAACTTCCCATGAGAAGAACTCTAATCCAGCCATGACAGCAGTGCTAAGGAATGATAACCCATATCTTGGATTAAGGGAGTCAGGAAAAGCCTTAGCAGAATCTGTGACTCTGCACCAAGACTCAGAGACAGGCCCAGGGAGAGGGTACAGAGAGCATTCTAGGTAAAGTAGGTAATGGTGAGTGACCATGCATGCTTTGGGTTTAAGTGTCCTTGGGGAAGTAACAGGAAATGAGAAAGAGAAGCCAGTCTGTATCATGGGCTAAGAGTTTTAGACTTAGGCCAGGAACGAAACCCTGAGGCCTGTGCTGTTCAATACACTGGCTACCAGTGACATGAAGCTACTGAGCACTTGAAAATGTGGATGAATTGAGATGTACTCTAAGTGTAAAATCCACATCCAAATTCAACAATTTAGTAGGAAAAAAGAATGGAAAATACCACATTAAATTTTTATATGGATTACATGCCGAAATGACCCTATTGGGTTAAATAAAATATACTGCTAATTTCACCTGTTTCTTTTTACTTCTAAAAATCACTTAAGTGTCTGGCATAACCTTCCTTCCTCCCTCCTTTCCTTCTTGTCTCCTATGATTCTAAACAAAAAAGCCTTCTCTTCTTTTTAGGCAAAAGACATCCTAGAATAGATTCAGCTTAAGCATCAAAAGTAGTAACGTTTTATTACCTTTTCCTCCTATGTATGATAGCTCTTAAATGACTATCATGAGCCGGGAGCCAGTGGCTCATGCCTGTAATCCTAGTTACTCAAGAGACAGAGATCCAGAGTATCGAGGTTCAAAGCCAGCCTGGGCAAATAATTAGTGACACCCTATCTCAAAAGAATCCAACACAAAAACGAACTGGTGGAGTGGTTCAGGGTTGTAGGCCGAGTTCAAACCCCAGCACCGCAAAAAAAAAAAGACCCAAACATTATCATAAGGATAATCTTTACCTATATTTTCATATGCTACATTACTAATATTAACTAGTAACAAATTACTACTAGTTATTACTGCTAACAATACATACGTTAGAACACTTCTACCTCCTTAAGAAACAACTTATTTAATCCACAGAATCAGTGAATTTATCAGTATCCCCGATAATAAAATTTCCTTTTATTTGGAGGTACTGGGGTAGAACTCAGGGCCTCACACTTGCTAGGGAGGCACTCTACCACTTAAGACACTTTTGCAGTAGTACCCCAATTTTAGATAAAGATATGGGGCTGAACAAATCACAATTTGACATCAAAATACTTAGCTTGTGATGGAGCTCACAAGTGAATCTATGTTGTCTGAATTCAGAGTGTTCTACTGTTTTTATCCATAAAAATGCAAATCTTAAGAGCTCAAAAATTTTGTTAGTATCAATTGTCAAACACTTTATCTTAGTTTGTCGCCTACAAACCTAAACTACTTAAGTTTTTGATATTAAGGAAAGAATAATAGAATCTACTCCGAGTCTCTGTGTGAACTATACACTTTCTAGTCGTTTTGTATTGATTCAACTATTTATCTTCATAACATAAATCTTTTTTTTTTTTTTTTTTGGTGGGACTGGGATTTGAACTCAGGGGTTCACACTTTTTTTTTTATTCATATGTGCATACAAGGCTTGGGTCATTTCTCCCCCCTGCCCCCACCCCCTCCCTTAACACCCACTCCGCCCCCTCCCTCTCCCCCCCACTCAATACCCAGCAGAAACTATTTTGCCCTTATTTCTAATTTTGTTGTAGAGAGAGTATAAGCAATAATAGGAAGGACCAAGGGTTTTTGCTGGTTGAGATAAGGATAGCTATACAGGGAGTTGACTCACATTGATTTCCTGTGCATGTGTGTTACCTTCTAGGTTAATTCTTTTTGATCTAACCTTTTCTCTAGTTCCTGGTCCTCAGGGGTTCACACTTACAAAGCAAGTGCTCTACCGCTTTAGTCAAACCTCCAGTCCGTTTTACTCTGGTTATTTTGGAGATGGAGGACTCACGAAGTATTTGCCCCATGATCCTCCCCCATCGCAGCCTCCCAAGCTGGGATTATAGGCATGAGCCACCAGCGCCGGGCTTTGTTTTTTTTTTTAAAGTGGTACTGGGGCATTAGTATTTTAATAGGGGAAACCTAAGCACAAAGAAATTCATTGATAGTTATCTTTTGAAAAGTCCAGGATACACGTCTAAAATGGATGACAGCCGGGCGCTGGTGGCTCACACGCGTTATCTAGCTACTCAGCCGGTATAAATCAGAAGCATCGCAGTTCCAAGCAGCTCAGGCAAATAGTTCCTGAGACCCTACATCAAAAACAAGCCATCACAAAAAAAGTTCTGGTGGAGTGGCTCAAGATGTAGAACCGGAGTTCAAACTCCAGAAGCGCAATAAATAATAAAATGGATGACAAATGAACTCTAATTTAGTGGAAAGAAACAACAAATAGACAGTTGGGGCTGTGGGAGAAAAATAAAAGTTACAAATGTACCAGAACTCCAGCCCTCTGTGTCAGGCCCTGGGCTCCATCCCCAGCACCGGAAAAAAAAATCAAAATTGCCTTTCGATCATGGCGTTTTACTACGAGAGCCCCTCACTTCTCGGCGCACGCCTGCTGCGTGTAGCTCACGCCAAGCCCGACATTCCTGCTCATTCATCTCCGCTATTTCACGCATCGCACGACACTCACAACACGCTCTGTAGACACTCGCCGGCGTCTACGCCGCGGTCGCCGGGGCTTTTAAGTTGACAGGTAAGGACTGCATACATTCATCGTGCGTGGTCTGGGGACAACTGGTCCCGCGCGCACCGCCGGGGTCACTGCGGGATGCTCGGGGCCCCTCCCTCAAGCGGGGCGACGCGGCGGGGCGGAGGGCGGGGCCGCCCGTGCGGTCACGCAGCCCGGCCGCAGGAAGCGGAGCCCGCCGAACCCCAACCCGCGGCCTCGGCCTCCTCTGGAACCCGACGGGGACGTTCCTTACGGTCCCGCGCTCCCGGCCGCCCGGCCGGGACCTCACCCCACCCCGCCGCCCGCGCCGCCCGCGCCGCCCGCGCCGCCCGGCCGCGCGCCCCTCACCTGCGCGCCGCCGCCGCCCCCGCCGTCGTCACCGGATGCTCCGCCCCCGCGCTCCCTTCCGCTCGGCGCGCGCCGCCGGGTCCCAGCGCCGCCGCCGGGTCCTAGCGCCGCTGACTCTACCCGGCGTGGCTCCTCCACCTTCGCCTATGCGGGGACGTGGTTACTGGTTGGGGTCCGCGTGGAGGAACCCACCTACCCTCCCGGCTTGTCCCGTATCTTCTGCAGAGCACTGATCGCTTGTATTCTGGGCGCCAAGCAGCCCTCGAAGTATGTGTGGCCTGGTGCAGGAGCTCTCCCTCCTCTCGAGCCTTGCATGTTCAATTACTTTAATAAATCTTTTAGTTCGCTCTGCTTTTCCATCTTTACCTCTGTGGACAAATGCACTGAGTTCCCAAACCCCGTTAAAAATTAAATACAGAAGCCAGACACAGAAGGGCAGGCATTGTACAGTTTGACTTGTATAAGGTACCTGAAATAAAAAAGAGTAGGTACCAGCAAGGCGGGAGATGGACAGTTAGTGTTCAATTTCTGCCGGGGATGGTGAATGACTTCTAGTGGAGATGGTCACACAGTCATGTGAAGGTGCTGAATGTCACAAAACTACACTTAAAACAGATTCGGGGCTGGGGATATGGCTCAGTAGTGAAGTGTGTGCTTAGCATGTGAGACTGTTATGCGTATCATACTATAGAAAGTTAGATATTATGAGTGTACTAGTTACTTAGCATATTTACTTTGTATGAGCATTGATAACAAAATGTTACACATACATACGGCAAAACGTGTGATATGCAAATTAGCGAACCAAGGTGGCCTGGATATGTAAATTAGCTAACCCTAAGCTGTACGAGAAGATAAGGATAAGAATCTGCATATGACAACCCACGACTACCGAGTGAGAGAGGGCCGAGAGCGAGTTGTGCGAGAGTCCACGCCGCACACTTCCGGACCGAGACACGGATCCTCCTCCACCTCTGCCCTCGGTGACACCAGCCGAGTATCCCGGTGGGGCAGAGGCGACCCCGAGAGAGAGGAACGGCCCGCCGGATTCCCCTGGCGTTCCGGAGGGCGCATCGACTCTGAGATCCAGCCACAGAAGGACGGCTACTAAGACGTCCTATGTGAGTACAGCTTGGGGAATAGCTGAGAGCGCAGGCCACTAGGTTAGGACCGACCTTTTTAAAATGTGTCTTGTACCGCAAATTGATTTGATCATTCTTGCCTATTGCGCTCTGAATAGTACCGAGACCCTGGGTTTATAGCAGTAAATATTATGGGAAGGGGAAAAAGGAAGAGGGAGGGGAGAATGTAGAGGGGGAGGAGGAAACCCAGCACCTTACACACTAGGCAAGTGCTCCCACACTGAGCCCTCGTCCCAGCCCACCTACTCTTTTTAACACTCTCCTCCTCTCCCACTTCTGTCCTCCTTCCCTGCACTTCTGGGAGAACTGGGTTGAGTTGTAACAGTGGCTGCAGAAAAGAGTCCCTCTCATGGTGGCCAGGCAGGAATGGGTTTCCCCTTGTGTTGTGGACTTCTTTATGTCTGTGTTCACCCCAAATTGATATGTTAAAGCCCTACCCACCCCATGTGATGGTGTTGGAGATGAACCTTAGGTAGGTAACTAGGGTTAGATGAGGTCATGAAGGTAGGGTTCTCATGATGGATTTAGTAAGAGGACACAGAGGGAAGGCAGCTGTCTGCAAACCAGGAACCCAGTCATCTACCACCTTGGATCATACAAACTGCAGACTTGTCCCCCTTTCCCATCTGAGCAATAGCTGGGTGACTTAATGTGCCCAGGACACATCAAAGAAGATGAAAGTGCTGCCATAAGTCCACAATGCCCAGGAGAAGCAGTCTGCCAGGGAAGAGAGCACACAGGCTGGGGGGGGGGCTCTCCCACTCATTCTTTGTGTGACCTTGAGTCAGTCATTTAAGAGACCTTGATTGGCCTATTTGTAAATTGGGGTTAAAAGTGCCTGTCCAGCTGGGTGCTGGTAGGTGGCTCATGCCTATAATCCTAACCACTCAGGAGGCAGAGATCAGAAGCATCAAGGTTCTAAGCCAGCCTGGGCAAGTAGTTTGAGAGATGCTGTCTCAAAAAACCAATACAGCAGCAGTGGCTCTGTGTGTAAATGCTGTGCACTGAGGATACAAAAACAAAAAAACACGTGTACAGGATCATGCCTCCTACCAATCAGATGTCCATTTGTTCTCGTGTTTGTTAACAACCCTTTATCTCAGTGTTATAAACTCCACTTAAAACTGAAAGAAAAAACCCAATACAAAACAGGGCTGGGAGCATTGCTCAAGTGGTAGAGTGCTGGCCTAGCAAGCATGAGGCCCTGGGATCAAGTCCCAGTACCGCCAAAAAAAAAAAAAAAAAAAAGAGTGCTTGTCCTGCTGTGGCTTATGCCTATAATCCTAGCTATTTGGAGGCAGACATTGGGAGGATTGTAGCTTGAGGTCTTGAGGTCAGCTGGGAATAAACACTAGACCCTATTTGAAAAATAACCTAAAGCAAAAAGTGATGGGAACATGGTTCAACTGAAAGAGTGCCTGCCTAGCAAGCACAAGGCCCTGAATTCAATCCCCAATACTGCCAAAAAAAACCCAAAAAAACAAAAAATACATAGCACTTGTCCTGCCTCTCTTTGGGAGCTGCAGAGTAAGTATGTCAAAGTGCTTGTAATCTGTTCATTTGAACACAAAAGGAAATGTGTATGCTCTCCAGGATCCTGTCTAAACATAGACACACATGCACACATATGTATCATATCACATAGCATGCCTGGTGTCTTCTCACCAAAGTGCCGCTAGACAGCACCCCTGGTGCTAGAATGATATCAGTTCAGACAATTTATCACCAACTTCATAAAAGTTCTCTACCCAGTTGACTACTGACCCAGTCAGCCTGGACCTAACTTGAGAGATTTCCTAGAAGCTGATTGCAAAGATATTTACCTGCCTTCAGTCAAGATAAAGAAAAGCTGGTGTCACTCTCACATGTGGACACTGAGGCCCTATCTGACCTTGCTGGCCAGCTGGGGCCTGAGTGGGCCTGATGACAACAGTCTCCAGGACAGTCCTTGGCAGCCTTGCTGAACCTTGCTAGCATTTTCTAATCTCTTGGATTCCTCAGATCCATGAGGTTACTTCAAAAATTCCTCATGCAGGAGTGACAGCGCCCTGAGCCCTGACCTATAGGAAGAAAACTGGAAACAAGACTTAGAACTAAGTTGGGTGCTGGTGGCTTGCAACTGTGATCCTAGCTATTTAGGAGGTCGAGATCAGGAGGATAACAGCTTGAGGCCAGCAGGGGCAAATAGTTCTTGAGACCCCATCTCAACCAGTAGCTGGGCACAATGGCACAGACCTGTCGTCCTAACTATGCAGGAGGCTGAAGTCAGAGGATCCTGGTTCCAGACTAGCCCAGGCAAAAAAGTTTGTGAGACCCCATCTCAATGGAAAAAAGCTGGACATGGTAGTGAATACCTGTCATCCTAGCTATGCCAGGAAGCACAAAATAGGAGAATTGTTGTCCAGGCCAGCCTGGATAAATAGCAAGACCCTATGTCCAAAACAACCAGAACAAAAGGACTGAAGCCTTGGCTCAATTGATAGAGTACCTGCTTCCCAAGTGAGAAGCCCTGAGCTCAACCCCCCACCCTCCAAAAAACTGAGAACTTTGCAGGGTGTGATGTCATACTTCTGTAATCCCAGCACTCAAGAGGCTGAAACAAGAGGATCATAAATTCAAAACCAGTCTGAGCTACATAGTGAGACTCTGTCTCAAGGTAAAATAAAAAAGTGCTAGGTCAGGTGCAGGTGGCTCACATCCATCATCCTAGCTATTCAGGAAGAAGAAATAAGGAGGATTGCAGTTGGAAGCCACCCTGGGCAAAGAGTTTAGGTGACCCTATCTCAAAAAAACCCAACACAAAAAAGGGCTGGCAGAGTGACTCAAGTGGTAGAGAGCCTGCCTAGCAAGTGAAAAGCCCTGAGTTCAAACCCCCAGTACCATCAAAACCAAAAAAACCCCAAAGGGCTGGGGGTGTAGCTCAGTCGTAGAGCACTTGCCTAGCAAATGGAAGCCCCTGGTTTAATCCCCAGTTATCCCCTCCAAAAAAGACTGAGAACGCAATGTAAGTCATTTCCTACTCTAGCCTCTAGCCCTTGTGCTCTCACTATTCCTGGAAAAGGATCCCCTCTCCTGGAGACCACTTTCCTCTCTAGCATTTCATTTCATTGTTTCTTGGGAAGGTTTCCAAAACTGCCTGGAGAAAGGATGGAAATGTCTTTCTGTCCAAACAGTTAGATGGATGATACTACCAGGTCCTCTTGCTCAGGTCTAATGTATTCTTTTTTTAAAGCCTAGATCAGGAACTCTGTTCAGAGAGTGCTGTGCAGGCAAAGGCAAGAAATTTCTCCACCGGGAGGCTTGGTGGAGAAAGCCTGTTTTATTAAACAGTTGCTTATCCCTGTGTTCAAAAGGTGTCAGTTACAGCATCCTGATCTGCCCAGTTCAGACCTTACATACCCTAGCTCTCTAGGAAGCCTCCTTGAAGACTGGAGCCCAAGGGACTTCCCCTTCTGTGACATCCACAGCCCAGGAAGCTTCACCACACAACTTAGTCCCTGGCATGTGGTATTTGGGGATGTTCTCTGAGACATCTCTGTGGTTATGAGAACGGCCTTTGACACTACACTGCCTGGGCTAGAGTCCTTGTTCTGCTTAATTCTGTGTGGCCTTAGGCAAATGACTTGTGTCTCAGTTTCCTCTGGTATAAACTTGTATCTGTGTTTGTAGTGAGGATTAAGTGAGTTAATGTATTTCAAGTGTTTAAAGTGATGCCTGAGAGACTGAGGGTGTAGCTCAGTGGTAGAATGCTTGCCTAGCATGTGCAGGACCCTGGGTTTGATACTTAGTATTGGGTACAA